ATTCATAATTAAAGTTTTCCACCAGTGACGGGTCCTTAGGTACGGAGCAGGGAAACATTTCCAAAAAATCGAAAATTGATAAACATATATATACAAGGGTTGTGTTGGTACTATTTTTGATATCAATATCACGGACTTTACATACAAAGCACTAACGATTTTTTTTATTTAGAGGACGTTAAAAAAGTTTTTCCTCTTGCAAAGAAAATCCGGGGATATACTGTAGATCTATTGTGGCCTCCTTTCTTGAGTTATAACTCATCATACAGTCTCAGGGCTTTGACGAAAGCCAGCATCTGAGACGATTTTACAGAGGTTTCTCCATTTTCCCACAGAATCTGCATTCATCGTTGATCCTTGGCTTCAATCTACTGAGGTATTCATTGAGGAAACAGTGTCCTGTTAAAAACCCCGTGATAATCCGAAGTAGTGATGGGTTATTATTTAACTATCTGTTATTTTATAACAATTATTTAGAAATAACATAACGCAACCGTTACTACTTTTAAAAAATAACAGATATAAAATAACGATACGCAGAGATCGACCGTTCGTGAAACGAAGTCGGCGCTCTGCACCGCCACGAAATTCGATGCTGCTCGAAGCAATTCCAAAAAACAACTATTATGGATTATGGATGGAAAACATGTTATTTCGACAACCATCGATACATACAACGGACAACGGAGTGGGGAATGCGCTACGGCGCGGCTCGGCGAACGTAGCTGCATCGGTCGATGGTCGTGTGGGGCTTGCAACAGCTTAAAAATAATAGGATATAAAAGAAGCAGCTTTTTTGAAACAGTTGCGGGCATAACGCCTGGCGGTCGAGATAACAGGAGTGGGAAAGGAACGCTGCTGCTTCGGTCGATTGTCGATGGAGGCTCGCAACGGGTTGGAAGAAGCAGTCATTTTAGATACGTTGTTTTTTAACCTGTTACGAGCATAACAGAGCGGCGGTCGAGATAATCGGAGTGGGAAAGTAACGCTGCTGCATCGGTCGATTATCGATGGAGGTTCGAAACAGGTGGGAGAATAACGCATCAGTTGTTTTAGATACATTGCTTTTCAACCTGTTACGAGCATAACGGGCGGAGGTCGAGATATTATGGCGCTGTATGTTTCAGTACTTACTTATTAAGTTTGAATATTTAGGTATTTATTTATTCTGAAAATTTTTCAGAATATTCATATTATAATCATATTTTAAGATTTTTTAAACATGTATACAGGGTGTTTTGAAAAATTTGGTCATTGATTAATCACGATCCTGCTTAAAGCCCTTGACGTAAAAAGCTGATTTTTGGAAAACGGATTGACTTTAGGGTGTAGAGGTTCGATAAGAAGGGATTTTTCGAAACTCGAATTCTAAGGGGGTGAAACCACCCTCAAATATTAGAATATTTTTTATTTAAAAAAGCGGTGAGTTTTTCGGAAAAACTCTTAAACACGTATATTTTATTTTGTTGTTTTACATATTTTAAGATTTTTTAAAAATATATACAGGGTGTTTCATAAAATATGACCATTGAGTAATTTCGATTTTGCTTAAACTGCTTGACGTTTAAAGCTGAGTTTTGGCAAACGGATTGACTGTGGGGTTGAGGTTCGATAAGGAGGGGTTTCTCGAATCTCAAATTCCAAGAGGGTGAAAATGCCCCTCAAATATTACAATATTTGTTATTTAAAAAACGGTTAGTCTTTCGGGAAAACGCTTGGACACGCATAATTTATTTTGTTTTTTTACATATTTTGAAATTTTTTAAAAAATCATACAGGGTGTTCCAAAAGTTGAGTAATTGATTAACCACGATTCTGCTTAAACTGCTCGACGTTTAAAGCTTATTTTTGGCAAATGTGAGAAAATTTTATCCAGTTTGTATGTTAATGGAAATTCTTGCTTTGCTTTATCATCACCATTACAAATTATTAATTCGACGCGAACGAAGTCGCGGGTACACGCTAGTTTAAGTGTAAAATTAATTCGAACTCTAGTGTGTAGTTGGTTTACTTATGAAGAATATACTATACATTTTCTTATATTGCTATTTTTTGACCGCAAATGGTAAAATCATAACTAAGAGCTTCTCGCCCGTCGAGTGAGATGCACCCTGTACTACGCAATTCAGGCGGATCGAGGGGCACGGCGTAGGTAGATCGGAATGTATAGGTCTAGACGAGTGGCGGAATTTTGGCTTTTTTATATCGCAATTTGTAAACAGGGCTTATTTGTAAACAACCACGGTTTTTAGAGAGGTATTTTAGATAACAATCGATATTTAGAAATGTTTTGACACCCTAGAAATACTACCACCGAGCACGTCATTGTTGCAACTTACAACTGCGTTAATACGCCTGGCGGTGACCGCCTCATACTCTTTCAGATATTTAGCAATAAAATAAAGTAACCTGTTATTTTTAAGCTGTTATTTTAAGCTGTTTTTTATAAATAACTATAACAGTTTCAACTGTTATCTAAAAATAACAGTTTTGCCCATCACTAATCCGAAGATTGTTCTTACTAAAATCAAGAAAAATCTTTGATTTTTCACGGTCATGAGTTCTGAGAAATTTCTTCGAGACCGTTGGAGGATTCCCATTCCAGGTTACGGATGGAGTCTTCCAGGTTCTTCAATGCTTTAAGTTGGTTTCCACTTGGGAAGCTGAACGGTTCTTGTCCAGTTAGTGGGGTGTTCGCTCTTTTTTTAGCTAAATCGTTTGCTTCTTCATTACTTTTTATCCCTTGGTGGACAGGTACCTATAGTAAGATGACTTTATTCTCTTTACTTGATTGGTTTATCTTCTCTAGGCATTAAATTTGCCTTCTTCGAATTTATGGTTACTGCGTTGATTGCTTTTAATGCTGTTTGAAGGATGTTAAGTTTACCATTTATCTCTTGTATTGAAAAACCGCATACTATTTTAGAATTTCTGCTCGAGAATTTTCGAGCCGAAATTGTAATTATAATTAAAAAAAAATCAGCCATCAAATGTTGCTGTTAATTTTCCTGTGTCTCTATTGCTGTATTAGTTAAGAAGCTCATGTTTTTTTAACCATTCAAAATAATAAATATTGTATAAAAAGTTTACTTATTTGTTTAAAATTATCGTTTTTAATTTATTGCAAACTTTCCCGATTTTTTCATAAAATTTTAAAAGAAGTAATGCTGATTCAATAACTGAAAAGTAAAAAAATATTGTCAGAAAAATATTGTTTCTTTCCTAATATTTCATTTGTATTAAATTTCTTAAAATACTATTACTTTAAATAGTTTCTATTTGGAAAGTGTCTTTAGTAAAGTCGATTAAAAAAATGCATGACCTGCATTTTAACTTGCAGTAAGTCTTGCAGCAAAATTAAGACCAAGACTACTTATTAGACTGCAAGACCAAGAGTCTCTTGGTCTTGCTCATATTTTTCAGCTGGTGTTCCTTAAAAAAAGAATTTTTCTATTTACCTTTAGACGAAAAATATGCTCAAAGTCCATTGGTAGAATTTTAAAAACAAGACTATCAGGACTGTCGATCTAATCGTCGAGAATTATTGAGAATCTAGCAGCTAAGGCTAGATTCTCATAAATATCAGTCTTGCAGCAAGACCAATACCAAGACTACTTCTTAAACTCCAAGATCAAGACGAAAACATTACTACTGAATTGATCATTACTACTGAATTTTTTCTACATATACTACATATACAGGGTGAGTCTTAAATAAGTGCAAATATTTTCAGGGCTGGTAGATCTCGATAAATGAAACACATTTTTTTTGTTTACCGTTTTTCAAATAAGTTTAAAATAATTGAGATATTTTATCTCTCCAAAAGATTCATATGCGTATTTCACTGTAACAAAATCTACAAAATAAAATAGTTATTTTTTGTAAATACTGCTGCGTTAATCCAAATGAGACTAATTGTCAGCGGTGGCTAACTAATAAACAAATTTGCCTACCGGACAAAAAAATCCTTAACGTTTTGGAAAGTTTATCTCTTTCCGTCGTCGGAAGCAAAAAAATACAAAGAACAAAGAAAAAACTATTTAAAATATCTAAATGCAACTATGCGAGAACACTTTAGTTTTTTTTTTAACAGATATGTCTACAAAAACCGTGGACGTTTAGTTAAAATGATATCATATCAAGTTAAACTTCAAAATTAACAATTACTACCTGATAATTACTTAATAAGGTAAAACCAAAAAGCCCAAACTTTCTGTATGATTATTTTTAAATTTCACGTATGTTATGTATATTTATGCAATGTTCTTTAAAATCGAAGAAGCGATTGCCATACATTACTAACATCTACAGATGCATGAACAATACATTTATTTTTATTAGATTGTATTAAAAAAGCCTCTTTTGTTTTTCTTTTAGAGGCTACCGCTTCTTTCATTATAATTTTTTAATTGATAAAATCTATTCTGTGCCCTGTGTCCCATTAATGTTGACTAATCTTAGATTTGTGAAAGTCGCCCTTTCTTAAATAATGTTTATGTTCTTTTATTCGAACACTTAAGATTTTCTTGCAGTGGCAAAATACCCATAGGACTTTTTTAGAGAGATGAATCCGCCACAGAGGTATAGACATTTTTTGAGATATTTTATTTTGAACATTTCAAAAAAAAAATTTTCGCTCATATTTTTAAAACCACTGGATCTTTTTTGGGTTTTCTTTCTTGTAAATTTAATCTACTATACCTATGATGAACCTACCTACATATTATGAAGATATTATGTTTTTTAACTGAAAATTAAAAAATTATCCAAAGTATTTTTCAAAAATTTTCAAAACATTTTCTCGCGAAAAAAACTTAATAGATGTATTTCTGGGGTCGAAATATACTACCCCTAAAAATATTTGCACTTATTTAAGACTCACCCTGGCATAGATATGTTTATGTTTGAATCAATCTTATTTTATAACAATACAGTTTCGAATTCAGAACATTTTATAATAAATTATTTTTTATTTGTAGTATTAAACGCAATTCCTTCACCTGTTTGTCCTTTTCCGAGAGTCTTTTCCAAGCGGTACGGTCCAACATATTGGTGCTGAACCTCCGCAGCGTTACTGTTTTCCTTCTGCATTTTCGTCACCTTCACCCCGGTCACATGCCCCTCGCATTCACCGACACGTTCACATTTCCGCCCACACGCCACGGAAATTCCATCGTTTTTCACAGTTTCCCGTTTTCGTAAATCACTCAGTTTTTTCTTCGGTCGGAAAACTCACAGGAACCACACGGGGGTTGCAAAGAAGCGATGTTTTCCGGCAACGCGCTACAGGGACCGGATTTTTTTCTTGGTTTTCTTGGCGGCCATAGTTTGCGGGGGCGAGTTAGTGGTCGCGGACCGCGAGCTGTCGCTTCGCAGTCGACATTTTCAGCCGATTTTCGAACAGAGCTGCTGAGAAGGCCCCGATTCGACGGCACGGCGATTCCTGCGAGGGGTGGGCAAAATCAATATCGACCCCGCGAGCGCTAGGGGATGGCGGTCGCTGCTGTTGAAGCCGAAAAGTCCCTAGGCGGATGTCATGGCCGGTACGGTTTACCTTCGTTTACGAGGGCGAAAAGAAAAGTTTGGGTCAAGTGGCAAGCGCGGTTTTAGTGGTTGTTATTAAAAAATTAACATTTTTTGTATTTAAAGTATTTGAAAATTTTTAATGATTTCGCAGATATACGCACTATTATTTCATATGGCTCTCTCAACGATAAAATGTTTAACTCTATGGTAAAATACAAGAGAAAAATCATTGGGTGGCTTTGATATAAATTTACTGTGAAAAATGCCATATGAAATATAAAACCGCGAATATCTGCGAAGCCGTTAAAAATTTTGAAATACTCTAAATACAAAAAATGTTCATTTTTTAATTTTCCATCTATTGAAAAAATAATATACAGCGTATTCAATTTAAAAAACGAAAAAAAATATATTTTAGAAAGTTTGGCATAGAATTTTAAACATCATGTATGATTTACGATTACTATATTTATAGCAAAGTAAGTACAGACCATCTCAAGTAAATACCTGGTATTGTTTTGATTTCAGGACAGTTCTTGTATTTTTAATAATTTTTTTAAGGAAGAAAAATATACAGGGTGGTCCGAACTGTATTCCGGAAACTTCGGCAGCATATTCTGCAGATAAAAATAAGTTAAAATGTTCGTATAGATGTATGTCCAAAAAGATCTAAAAGGAAGCCAAAAATGCAATAATATACAGGGTGTTCCATTTAAAAAAAATCATACCGATCCGCTCACACTTTTTTGAGCCACCCTATAGAAGTTAAAATATTTTCTTGAAATACCTGCACTTAAAGAAAATTCCCAAGTTTTTTATTGTGGGAGGTACAGATGCCCGACGTACTATTGACGAACCCTGTATAGTTTTTTGAGTGTATTTTTTTTCAGAGAGGTATGTATAATAATGAGACCATGGTAGAGAGGTATGAGAGTAACAGAAGTAATAATGAGACAATGACAGGGATAAATATGAGATAACTTAATAGCATCTATAGTTTAAAATTTTAATTACCACTCAAAAATGCTAAAAAATATGTAAAGAAACCAAATAAGGAATATACAGGGTGTCAAGGAAATAGTGTATAGTAAACGCCACGAATGTTTGGTTAGTGATTCATCGGTCGCTATCATGTGAACTAATCTGTTCAAGGTCACATAAAACTTAATTCCAGTGCCGTGGTGTTTCAAATCATATAATAATCAATATATTATAATATGATTATAATCTGTTGTATAGTAAGCCACGAATGTTTGGGAGTGATTCATCGGTCGCTACCATGTGAACTAATCTGTTCAAGGTCATATAAACTTAATTCCAGTGCCGTGGTGTTTCAAGTTATATAATAATCAATATATAATCTGTTGTAATTTGTTGTTTTAACTGTCAAAGTCTTGTCAAAACATATATTTGGTTATAAATATAAAATGGAATGCCCCATTGGTCGCACTGCAAGCACACCAATGGACTAACGCTCAAAAACGAATCAATCAAAGAAACGCGATATAGTATCGTCTTTGTCAATCTACGCTAACATTTTAGAATAAGTAGGAGGAGCGCAGGCAGATGATTAGACCGGGCCGTTAAAAACCTACGTCTGCGGTAAAAATTTACGTTTTTAATGTAAAAATGATAGCACGCGTGTCGATTCTAACTTCATCAAGCGCCGAATCACTCCCAAACATTCGTGGCGTTTACTATAATTTGTTGTTTTAACTCTTGTCAAAACATATATTTGGTTATAAATATAAAATGGAATGCTCCACTGGTCGCACTGCAAGCACACCAATGGACTGACGCACAAAAACGAATCAATCAAAGAAACGCGATATAGTATCGTCTTTGTCAATAACGCTAACATTTTAGAATAAGTAGGAGAAGCGCAGGCATATGATTAGACCGGGCCTTTAAAAACCTACGTCTGCGGTAAAAATTAACCTTTTTAATGTAAAAATCATAGCGCGTGTGTCGCTTCTAACTTCATCAAGCGATGAATCACTCCCAAACATTCGTGGCGTTTACTATATCTAACTTTGATGGGTGATTATACAGATAGATAAAAATAAAACAAAAAGTATCTAAAATGGCTCCCGAAGAAGTTACAGTCCTTGAAAGGGTAAATAAAAATAATATTTATTTAATTTTTAGGACTTCTGATTTTTAGGACTTTTAGGAAAATAGGAAAAAATTCAACTATATTTTCATGTTTTTTTTTTAATTTTCTCTAAAACGGCATGGAAATTTGGAAAAGTATTAACCAGATTAACCATTTTAGAACAAGCATTTTTTTATGAAGAATGCATTCTTTTCAAAATGTCAATAATAAAAAAAGTTTTTCCTCTTGTAAAGACAATCCGGGGACATACTGTACCGTGCTGGCAACTATTACTTTTGGGTCGGCATTTATATGTGTGTGGAAGTAAATCGCATAGGGATATTATCAAGTCGGAGTGAGAGAAATGCGACCGACAGACGCGACGCGCGACGGTGTGCTGCGGCGTTGCCGATACGCCTTTCCCTATCAAGTAAAGTAAAGTCACGATCACAAACCGCTTATTTTTAAAAGACTTTTTTTAAAGACATAACTAGATAAAATCATTAGACATGTTTCTGAGCATCTGAAATGGAATTATAAGGATATCGTTAGGGTGTCATTTTTTTATAACGAGAAAACGTCAGTAATCGCGATAATTTAAAAACTCAACTTTTTAACACATAACAGGCCATAACTCAAGAACCACTTTAGATATTGAAACTTTTTTTTATTTTCAAGATCGGATATTTTACAATATGTTTACATAAGAAAAATTCGATACGGTTGTTTTTTCCATTCAAAAATTGTAAACAATCCATCCATTTACTTTTAGAGCATAGCAATTTTCAGCAATGTGTAATTTTTTTATTGATGAAGATTTTCACATACTGTCTACAAAGAAAATACAGCAGAAATATTAACAAAGTTCTTGAAAAAACTACAATCTATTATTTCTAATAGATTTCGAGTTCTAATAGCGCGACCACTATCGACTACCCACTCAATTCCACTTATTTTTACCAAAAATGCAAGTATTTTTAACAAATTAAGTATCACGAGAGGTAATTAAATCGTGAAGCTGAACGCAGGATGTACACCTTTCCCTAGAACTTTAAGTACTGACAGAGGTACTGATTGGGTCGGCCGCTCGACTACGACAAATCAGAAGTGTCTAGCTCTAGCAGTCAACTATTAAGCTTGACCAATTAGGTTGGTTTTGGTTAGCGTGGTTATTTGAAGGGTGTTAATATATTTGTGTTTGTCAAAAGCTCTAACGTGATTGGTCAGGCTTAATAGTTGCCTGCTAGGGCTAAACACAAGTCGACAAATCTGCTATATCCCCTTCCACGTCTCTTAGTAATATGTGCACAGTTTCTCGGTTTATTTCATGTGTTTGGCAACGTGTTTACTGTTCCCTCTTTGTTCGGTACATTATAAAACGCATTGTACTCTTCTTACATACGGAAATCTCGACCCAAGACTAAGCTTTGCCAGCCCTTAGTATATGTTAAGTGGATTCTGATCAACTTCCTATTTAAATCAAGAAACACAGAGCTGCAACAACTCAGTTTTAAAAAGACTTAAGTATTAAGTCATTTCTAAAATCAAAATGATTTATGTCTTAATTCAAATTCAACATAAAGTTCAAATGATTTATCCTTAGACTTCCTCGGACTTTTTTTTCAATTAAGTCATTTCTGTAAAGATTTAAATCAATATAACGTTATTTAAGTCATTTTTATGACTTAAACTTATATATTTTTGATTTAAATCATGATGATCTGCAAGTTAGGTCAGTAAAATAATAAAAAATATCTTCTTTCATAAAAATACTTAAATATTTTAATGATTTAAGTCTTTTCTAAAAAGACTTAAATCTTTTTCTATTTCGGAATAAAGATTTAAATCACAAATCATTTTGGAAAATACTTAAGTTTTAAGTCTTAAGTCAACTTTCGAAAAATGACTTAAAATCAAATGACTTAAGTCATTAAAATTATTTAAATCAAAGAACTACTTAAGTTTTCTGTGAGCTTGCAATTCTAAACACAAAACCCAGAAGCCCTATTTTTATTGATTATATCAATAATTTTCTGCATAGTCTGTAGCAAGCCTTTGTTATTGAATAGGTTGATAAAAAACGTTAAAAATTAGGTTATTGCGTGTTATACTCAATTCGAGAACTTCTTTTTCTTATTAATTTTATTTCAAATATAATGTTACTTGGTGTCAAAGCTATATCATAATCATCAAAAAATCAATATTTATATAATTTGTTATGTTCATTAAATTTATTATAATTAATATGTATATGTCTCTTAATTATACGTTAAAAACTACCAAATGGCTTGGAAATGAAGATCAATGACATTGCCTATATAATTTTACATATATAATAACAGCAATCTTTATTTCATAGCCATCGCTGACGCCGGTTTTTTTCGATCATATTGTATTTAAAATCGTACCTCACATTAGATTAGTTAAACTACCAAGATATGAGAAGTAAAATCAAGACATAAGTATATATAAGTTATCAAAGTTTCTTTATGGTCAAACCATATTGGTCAAACAAACTATAGGATACATGTCAGTGACAGTTACCGTCTGTCATTTTTAGTCTCAGTAATTTCGGCCATTTTTTGGATATCGAAATCCCTTCCCTGACTCGTAGAAAAGATAGAGATAATAACATACAGGGTATCCCAATATTCCGTGGACCTAGAACTACTACATATTTTTAGAATCAAAGTAAGTTCATTGGACAATCAAACACATTTTTTCAGATATTTTAAGAACCGTTATTTCGATTTGGGGTAGCTTTCACCCTTTCTGTAATTTTTCTTGATTTTTGTGAATGTCAAATGTTAAAACACTTAGCAAAACATAGATACCCAAAATCTCATTCAAATCGAATAATGGTTCTTCAAATATTTGAAATGTGTTTTTTTTTTAAGTTTTGATTGCCCTCTAGCTGACAAACGAAGCACTTTTGTATAGTAAATAGTAAATTGTGTCAAAAATACATAGTAGTTCTATATCCACGGACTATTGGGACACCCTTATACTATACTATTAGTATAATATAAGTTTTTTTTATTCTTTTCTTTGACCTCTCAATATATATTTTATTTAATTTTTTCTTGGCTTTAGGTCAGGTAAACAATGAGAAAAACGGTTTTTTTATATTAAAAATTTCATTGACGTTTCGACCTGGTAGGGTCTTTATCAAAATTTATTACTTGAACGTAGATTTCGGCCGTTTTGTTTTAGTTTTTATTTTAATTTTTATTGTTTTCTTTTTACAATTTTATTATTTTCTAAAAAACTAGTAAAATCCATTTCAATGTGTATGTCTCTTTACAAAAATTGTGACGACTGTATGTTTATGTTATGTGTGTGGATGCCAATGTTGTATATTGGATTATTTTCTTCGCTAAGAATGAAAATAATAAAATTGTAAAAAGAAAACAATAAAAATTAAAATAAAAACTAAAACAAAACGGCCTAAATCTACGTTCAAGTAATAAATTTTGATAAAGACCCTACCAGGTCGAAACGTCAATGAAATTTTTAATATAAAAAAAACCGTTTTTCTCATTGTTTACCTGACCTAAAGCCAAGAAAAAATTAAATAAAGTATAATATAATATATATATATAGGTAATATATACATGTAATAGAAAACTCATACCACTTAATAACATATTTATTCAGTTCAGTTTGTAGAAACTACAATATTAATACATAATTCTTAAATTACCATTGTTAAATATGTACAAAATAATATCACTCTGTAATTCCTATATCACAAATTCGTTATTTCCAAAATTCCAAAACCTTTTCATGCTCACTGCAACTTCCCGTTCTATTTTTCATTTCTATCAGCGATTGAAAAAAGGAATTTTGAAGCGTATTTTCTGCTAAATCGTTTGGAATGTCATGGAAAACGATATATTCAGCTAATAGGTTTTTTTGAGCATTAAACCCTGAACTAATCGAAAAGTTGCGTAAATCTTGTTTCAATGTTTCTAAATGCTTATCGAAAATATCAGACACTTCTTGATTTAATGCTAAAATAGTTTCTTTCGGGATCAAATTCGGTAGTGGACTTTTTGAAAAAACTTGCTGACTGATAATCTTCAGTTGCCACAGACCAAGTGTATGGTATTCCGAATTCAGCATTACAATCATCTGAAAATAAAAGTATACACTTGTTTTAAACTCTGTTTTAAACTATATAGCGTAGATGGCATTCAAAAATTAAAAAGTAGGATGGGTAACAATAAGGCAGCAAAACTTATTTAGATTTTTAAAGAACTTAACTCTAATGGTTGAAGTGATTAAGTTTCACGAATAATGAGCTAAACCATTTTTTTTCTAGACAAAGTTAAGTTGGGATAATTACTCTGTTCTTTATTCCTTTCGTATTAGAGTTATAAAATAATTGAAAAAAAAAATTTTTCTTAATATTTCATTGAAAAAAAAACACCTACGCACCAAACATGTTTAAAACAGAGCTTTAAGCATATTTAAACAACTATTGTAAACAAGTAATGACATTTTAACACTTGTTTTTAAAAAATCCTATATGGGCATTTCGCCACTGCAAGACAATCTACGAAATAAAATAGATATTTTTTGTAAACACTGCTGCGTTAATTTATCTAAACTCAAAACTACTTCAAACAACATTCAACTCTTCAAAAACTACTTGTCAGCAGTTAAGTTTACTGATAAACAAATTTGCCTAACGAACAAAAAAAATGCTCAACGTTTCGGAAAGTTTATCTCTTTCCGTCGTCGGAAGCAAAAAAATACAAAGAATAAAGAAAAAACTATTTAAAATATATGAATGCAACTATTCGAGAACACTTTATTTTTTTTAAATAGATACGTCTACAAAAACATAAAAAAAAAGGAGAGAGATAAACTTGCCTTCTTAACTTGTTATTTTGACTTTGATCTATGTTCATAAATAAAATTATAACCCCAAATCAAATGACAATGGTTGACATCTGGTTGTCAAGTAAAAAAGGGAGTTCGACAATATATGACGTAACGTTAAACAATTGCTGAACAAACAATACATTTGATAGAGAGCATACCTTCAATAAAGCAATCATAATATCAATAATTATGACTCTATCCTTCACCACAGCATCGTACGTCATTCTGGTCAATAACTGTACCATTTTCTTCTCCATATAGCTCGCTTTGGTCCGGTCTATATTCAAAACGGACTCGCAAAAATTCCTCACCGACTCATCCGAGGTAAAACTTATAACGGAATTTGAGGGCGGATCCCATGGAATTACTTTCGATTGAGTTAGGGTACGCGCCAAGTCGCTGTGATGTCCAAATTTGTCGGTTACATAACTAAGACAACCTGCACGCTGTTTTACTGCAATGTAGCCTGTAGTGGACAAAATTTTCCTAGGAACAAATATTTAAAATATATAAATATATAATCCCATTAAAAACATAGAATGTAAAAAAATGCCAAATCTCGCAACACAATTTCTCCGCTATAAAAAGTTGTGAGATCTCATGTAAAACCAAGTCAGTTTATTTTATTTAGTCTCTCTTTAAGCACCTATTCAACAATCTTGATACAAATTGTTAGTATCAATATTAGTCATCTTTATTTCTATAATAATCATAATGGATGCACGGCCCCATAATTATAAAAAAGAATAATCTACTATTTCGATTACTAAGTAAATCTAAAGCCGGGTCTCATTTCATTTCGAGCGTCCATCTGTGATTTTTATTTTTTACCGAGTATTCGACAATGGGGGACGCAGTTATTGACTGGGATCGTGAAAAACATTTACAACTAATTTGTTTACACAAAGAAAATATTTTATAATTTTAATTTTATTGTGGGTTGAGTGTGAATAGCTATGTAGCTAGACTACGTCCATATAATTTCATTTTTGTTAATAAAGACCTTTATGATTATTTTTATTAAAAACCGGAATTATTATGGAATTGTGAAATTAAAAATTACTACTTAATAGGAAGCTTGACACCGGAAATGAAATTTTACCATTACATTTTTAGAAATAAATATACCGGGTGTTTCTGAAAAGTGGTTCACTTCTATAACTTTTCTAATTTTTTAGAAAAAAAACGAGATTTGGTATGTTAGTATAGGACATAAATCAGGATTAATCGACGTTTTCATATATTTTCGGTCACTACCTATTTTACCGTATATGATAGAAAATGACATTCTAAATAGAATGATATATTATATGTCAACTTTTAACATTTTCAATTTAAAAATGGCCATAAATAAACGTAACGACGTAATTTTACTCCAAATACCAAGTATGTGGTACCAAAATATTCGTAATAAATGCTTTTTCCAAATATGCTGAGCCAGCCTCGTACCATTTGAGAAATTTGAGTTATCATTAAAAATACGATTTGGGCATCTTTTAAGCGGTCACGAAAGGATACGAAAAATAATTACACGATCAAATATGTTTCCAAAGTTCTTTGATTACAAATTAATAGTTTTAACTCAGTCTTGGCACTCTAGACTGAAATTTAAAATGCTATTTTTATTTAATTGGAATTGTCTAAAATTGACGTATGGTATGTGATTCTATTCAGAATGTCATTTTCTATCAAATAAAGTAAAAAAGTACTTAGGATACAATCTAAAAATACAAAGTTGTAGTCATTTCCGGTGGAACAGGAAGCGACCGAAGGTAATTGAATACGTCAATCAATCCCGATTTATGTCATATACTAACAAACCAAATTTCGTTGTATTATCTGAAAAAATAAAAAAGTAAAAAAGTGCGACTACCTAAAGGCATCCTAGATCTATAGAGCAAACTAGTTGTCGCATTCTTCCCCGCACCTCAGTTCTTGGGACCGATGCGATGGGCTGTGCCGTCGTTTACGACCTGCTGCTTCGAGTATATAGTGTGAATTATATATCTTCGCGAACGTTTTGTTCGAGTAGCTTGGACGCGGCTTAATAAACGGTGCATTTAGAATAAAGTTTTTTAATTACTATAGAATATCATATCGTGCAATTGCCAAGTCATTATAATTATTATACAAATAAAGATGACTAATATTGATACTAACAATTTATATTAAAATTGTTGAATAGGTGCTTAAAGAGAGACTAAATAAAATAAACTGACTTGGTTTTACATGAGATCTCGCAACTTTTTATAGCGGAGGAATTGTGTTGCGAGACTTGGCATTTTTTTACATTCTATGTTATTGATGGGATCTTATTTCTTTTTGTAGGTTATCCTTCTATTTTTTTTCGGGTCATTCAAAATAATATTAAAGAAGTTTGGCTATAATTCATAAACTTTGAATTATCGTATAATTAATTAAGTCAGATAATATCAATTGAATTAATACTAGTTTTCTAACGACTTGTGTTTCCGACTTTGGGGCTCCCGAGTTCGTACTAGCGGAGTACTTTGCCATCGCGCTATCAAGTCTTGGTCGAAATACTGTAACGTGCCAAAATTTCACTAAACTATTTTATTTCTTTTCTTTAATAATTTAACGCTAATTGGTATTATTATTAGTCTGAAATATCGATCAGTTCAATTCAGTAAACCAAGAATAAATAAATCGTACTTACATGTTAACAAAAGTAATTATTCCATCCTTATTTTTAACTAAACATATTTCACACTTAATAACATTTTTTCGCCGATGCAGCCTCGAACTCGGGACTCCCGAGTTCGGCCTTCTGAACTAGCGGGTACTTTGCCACTCTCCGAATTTTCTGAGCTAGGGCATAAATTTGTTCGCGACTAGACCCCTGCAAATTCCATAAATATTTATTTTTCTTAATCGCTAACTTAATAATATTTTTTTTTTCTTCTTCGTATTTTTTTTTACTTCTTTTCTAAATTTTTTTTTTCTTTTTTTTTTAATTTAAAAGAACCGAGCTAAGGCCAAAACGCGTGACAATACGTTCAAGCCTAGCATTTAACATATTAAACTAAAAAAATAAATAAGGACTTCATTACAAGTTAAAGTCTGACTAGAAAAAATTCATAATCCTCGAATTATTGTTGGTATATTGATACATTTTGGTTATAAGCTTAAAGCTACCTAAAATTCTAAATTTGGAGTTTGTGATACATCTAGAAGTACCTTACAATTTTGATGATTTGTCAGTGAGTCAATGTCGAAATTAAAGAAATTTGACAAGCGATCATTCATAAACTATGAGGGATAATTACTAGATATTTTGGTAACCTAGCCAGCTATAGTATGTCTTCAAGTGTACTGAAAATTAATATTCTTGCATTATCCACAACGAAGTTAAAGGGTGGTGAAAAGTGCCGCTAATACCTTCGAGAAAAGGATGGTACGGCTGCGGCTGTGCTCGACTTGGCAGATAACAGTTTTTTCATTCATAAATTACTTTGATTTTATACTTCATTACTTTTTTCAGTATTCTAGATTAAGGTATAACTTGTCCAGCGAGAGATAAGTGACATTTGTGACAGTTGTCTGTCATTTAAAATTAAAGCAAGGTAAATTGTTTTTCTGTCATTTATTGGATGTTATCTGTCGTAAATATTTATTCTTTCACTGAACAAACTATAGACATTACTTAAACCATATGAAGGGTCCAGGGAAAAAACATGATAAGCGCTATTTTACTAATTTTACAGGAGAGTACTGGAAGGCTGGTGGTTATCAGGTTCTTTCCCTACATGTATATTTTTACTAAACATATATCATAGGATTTAAAAGTTTATTGGCTAGCAGAGTTTATACATTTTTTTTACCAAAAACCCAAAAACCCTAAAATTAGGAAATAGGCGCTTGTCACGTTTTTCCCCTAGGCCTTCATATGTTTTTCGTCGTGATACTTACAATAATAACTCCCAATTTCTTCCTCTTTCAAAGACAACTGGCCAATACCGTTCGTCATCTAATATGACCTTCGCTAGCGAATTAGGATCTGGTATCAATCCAGGACCTTTAATTTCCATTTGGACCCCATCTATGATGAATATGACAGGGTTAAACATAACCTGATAATGAAATTATAGAAAACAAACCTAATTTGACAATCCTCAACCTAGCGTAACAAATTTCATCTGTAAAAACATCTTTAGGGATTAGTAATCTGGGCTCTACAGCTAATACATAAAGATGTCTAAAAGCTTGCAAATGATACCTATAAAAAATGGATTTAATTTGTTTTCTTAATTGTTATATACTGCATTTTTTCTTAGATCACACAATTACAATTAGATACGCTCCTTGTATTATTAGTTTTGAAAAACTTGACATTTCCCGCCTACTAGTGACGCCTTCTAAAGGGTTAACAATTAAAGCAAGATATATTTTATACTGGCCAAATAGTTGTAGACAGTGAAACAGTCCGACAAAAATACTTATCCCTGGACAGCAACTTACAGCTTAAGAAACTAAATGAAGTCACTGGGAAATAAATCTGGTGAAGCCAACTCGTAAATTTTCGCTATTATAATCGCAGCGATAATAGATGCATTGTTTTGGTAAAACTTTTTGTTTCTGCTGTAGATGTGGCTGTTTTCCGCGATTGCTGCCTTTTTTCCAAATAAAGGTTCATTCTCACTATACCTTCCATATCAGCTCCCTTCCGTTTACGTAAAATATTATATCAAGTAAATGAATAGGACAATGCACACTATCCGTTCCGTTTCCCTTCCGTTCCATATCCTCTCCTTCCATACATTTTTTTGGCGGACGGACTGAAGCGTATCGGAAACAGCGTTGTCAAGTTCTTACATTTGTACCAGCCTTGGTAAAATTATGCTGATATTTATTCATTCTTTCACCTCTTAATTAAATCTATTACCTTTTTCAAAAGAACCAAATTTTTAAAATAAAACTTTCATAATGATATAAATTGTACAATGAAAACTATCGAACTGATACGGAACGGAAGCTTACGTATAGCGTCAATACAATCAAAAATACGGAACGGATATGGAATGGAAACGGAAGGTATAGTGAGAATCAACCATAATGATGGCATAGTATTGTCTTGTAAATGCTATCTCTTTGTGTTTTTCTAATTCCAAATAAAAGCGCAATTACTTCTCCAGTTTTAAAAACAGTATTCGCTTTCATTAGGACTCTTAGTATATTAGGTGGAAAAAAGCATTGGTTACTTCCGGTTTTTCCTATTACCATTTTTAAACCATTTCTAGAACCGTGATACACATGTGTAAAAGAAAATATGAGGCGGTTTTTCTTCATCTGCGCATGCGCTGTCGATTGTAGGACGGTCCACAATCGGTAATAACAAAACCCCGATAAAACCTACTTATTGGGTATACCGAAGCCTCTGTATATTCGTAGATCTCGCTAAAGCATTTGATACGGTAAATCACAAAATACTTTTAGACAAATTAGAGAGATATGGAATACGAGGAAACAGCCTTAGTATTTTAAAAAGTTACCTTAAGAACAGATCACAATATGTTAATTTGGGAGATATTAATAGCAAGCCAGGAAGGATTGAGCATGGTGTACCACAAGGCACTGTGTTAGGTCCATTATTGTTTGTTATTTATATTAATGATCTAGTTACAATTAACACAAAAGCAGAAATTTTTAGCTACGCAGATGATACAGCGATATTTTACAAATCTAACTCTTGGTTGAATTTGAAAAGATTAGCAGAGGAAGACTTTCAGACAATTAATACCTGGTTCGTCAAAAACAAATTAACATTAAACTATGACAAAACCAAATTTATATCCTTCTCTATTTATAAAAATAATGAACCAGATTGGGACAGATTACAAATAACCAATAATAATGTAATACCGGAATGTGATTTTATAAAATATTTAGGGGTTACAATCGACAAACATCTTAAATGGAATATTCATATTAATAATGTAACTAAAAAATTGCGAGGATTGTTGCCGAAATTTAATTATTTAAAAAGTTTTTTGGACGTCAAACAGTTTAGAATCCTGTACTCATCCCTTGTACAATCTCATTTGACATATGGAATTCTAGGGTGGAGTGGTGCGGCTGAATGTCATTTAAGGAGCTTGTATTCTGTTCAAAAATGGTTCATAAAAATTATTTACAATAAAAAGAAAACTCTCTCTTCAAACATTTTCTTTAAGCAGGCGCATCTACTGGATATACGTCAGCTATACTGCCTAGATGTTTTAAAATTCATTTATCAGGGGAAAATATCTATTGAACATGTTGACCATGAATATGAAACTAGACATAAGGCGTTTTATCCTAGTTTATGCCCTAAAACTGTTGGACAAAGATCTTCAAAGTTTTTTGCACCTCGATTATATAACATCTTACCAACATTCCTAAAGGAAGTTAAAAGTTACTCTGGGTTTAAAAAAGGGGTATGCAAATGGATGGTTGATCGAGGTAGAGATATATTTAATGACCTAATTAAATTAAAATATACAAAATAAATTTTCATAAGTGCCAGTGAACATTATATATTGTCATAATTAAACTGTATTCCTTTCCACATACAAGTAATTCTATTACTTTGTGGTAATTCTTTTAACGTTTATTGCGATTCTTAAAATTTAAATTTAGTTTTAGTTAAATTGTACTTAGATAATGTGTATTAGATATATTAGAATACTATGTTGTATTGTACTGTACTATTATCTGTTTTAATTTCAAGAGAAAATGTTTAATAAACGTTATTATTATGATTATTATTATTACTTTGTTAATGTAAAACATTATTTTTAAGCGGAAAAAAACTGCCTACAGTACGAAGAAGATGTAGCAGACTAACTTATGTTGGCTTCAGTAAGAATATAAGAAGCGTATCTAGATATTGTATGGTCTAAGATTGGTACAGTAACTCACTTATTATCGTTGCTGTGGATGGGAAACTTCGGATAAAAAGCGCATATCAGAGCTGCAATGCTCGAAGGTGAATTGCTCAACGTATACCTTCCCCCACCCAAAAACAGAAGCCCTAACGCCATATGAATGGCCAACTGAGATCCGTACGTTACTATGCCGTTAATTGACGCACCCAATCGCCTACGTAGATGGCGCACAAGACGCATAATTTCTAGGTTACCTGTACCAGCCATAACCTAAAATAAATCAGGCATATAAAATAACAAAAGATTGTTTAAAAAATTACCATAGATGCACTGAGTAACAGGACATTCAAACAGGTCTCTATTGTGGCTTTTCCAGCTAATTCAGCAATGGACTTGCCCGTCAAGGACGTGAACATATGACAGAAAAAGAGCAAAGTATCGAATGCTTCTTTGTCGGCAGATCCGGCATATTTTAATCCTAAGGCGAAACAAGCGCCGGCAACAATGTTGCAGTATGCTTGACTGTAAGAATAAACAGGTTATTAAAAAATACATACAGAAAAGTCCACAGACTTCGAGACATAGGAAAATCAAGTCCATTTAGCGTGTGTCCAAATTTTGACAAGTTTTTAAAAATTACAGTTTTGTTTAGACTGACGTTTAATTTCACTTGACCTCTCGGTGAATGATTTCTTTTTATGGGGGTACATAAAATCTAAAATTTACGGCCGTGAAGAAATTCCAAACTTGGAGCAGTTAAGGCAGAAAATATTTAATGCCTTTGACACTGTCACCCCTGATATGTTATCCAATGTGAGGAGAGGGGATTTTATGATCGTTTGGGTTATTCTTTAATGCAAGAGGGAGGCATTTTTGTACAATTTTTGTAGTTTTTTAAATTTCATTATCCTGTTTTTTTACCATTTACCCATTGACGAACATAGGAAAACAAAGGTCCTTTTCAGGACCACAAATATTTGGATTGAGAAATTTGTTACTTTTATTTTTTTTTTGGATTAAAAAAACAAAAGTTGTTAATATAATACCAATTTAAAAGTGTTTTAGTAGTTTCAATATACACTATGATATAAAATTTATTATTATTATAATGTACATTATTAATACTATTATTCATTCAAAATGGCATTAAGGCCCAATTGCATCAATGATTTAAATTTTTCTTAAAGATAAGTAGAGCTTAGAGTGAGCTGTATTTATATTTACTTTAATATTCACCTTAAATGAGGGCATTTGACTGATACAATTTTTGAATTTGAATTGTTTTTAATGATACTAACAATTTTAGTTCAATTTTTAATAAAATTTATTTAATATTATTAGAAATCCAAGAGATTTGAAACCTCTTTTAGCGATTTATAACATTCTCAAATGAATTACAGGTGCCCTTATTTCCTATGAAAACCACACAGCTTTTTCATAGTCGCTGTTGTTGCTATAGCTATAAAAACATAAATAAATGAATAGGGACACACTTTATTCTCTTAGTTTCATAATAATTACGTTTTTAAAGAAAAAGTCACAGTTATAACTCGACTTAAGCTAAGAAGACCTTAAATATCGCGGTGCAATTGGCCATACATTAATGTCAAAACTAATTTTTTAAGGTGTGAAAATTGCGACACACGCTAAATGGACTTGATTTTTCCTATGTCTCAAAGTCTGTGGACCTTTCTGTATATGCTTAAATACAGTATACAGTGTGATTAAACAAAATTGGCCACATTTATAAATTGTTCTGTTTATAGTCATGTGATCATTTCTGACTAGTCTGTCAAACGAAAGAATATACAATTTTGAAAGATGTATGGAAAAAAATCATGTTACAAATAACATATAACAACTGTCATATATTCTTTCGCTAGACAGACTGAACATATGTTATAACTTACTTCATTGCCTCATAATCGATATCCAAAGAGGTAGGTGTCACAAGGCAATATGGTCTTATAGAAGACGGCACTAACGATTCAACCCAATCTTTAGAAGGATCGATATCTTTCCATAAAATTAAAGCTAAAATTTAAAGACGAACAATAATTAATATAAAAAACCACCATCTTATGATCAAGTGCACTTTGTACGTCGACAGACATTGACATACTTACACTTGGACAAACTTCTAAGCATTAGAAAATCGGGTCTGACAAAATCCAACAAATACTGCGTTTCAGGTAAAGACATCCAATCGGCTACTGCCTTATTTCCGGTCCCCATATACATCATGGCCAAGGCCAAAGTAGCACCAGGAGCAGTTACATCGAGATTCACTGACGACCCTTCTCGAATTTGAAAGGAAGGTGTTTTATATTTGTCCTTTTGCGAACCTGTATGTCAATCAAATTGAAATCAAAAAATAAAAAAAAAAGATTTTTAGAAATAAATCAAAACCACAGCTTGTTCACTATAGTAAACGCCACGAATGTTTGGGAGTGATTTATCGGTCGCTACCATGTGAACTAATCTGTTCAAGGTCACATAAACTTAATTCCAGTGCCATGGTGTTTCAAGTAATATAATAATCAATATATAATCTGTTGTAATTTGTTGTTTTAACTGTCAAAGTCTTGTCAAAACATATATTTGGTTAAAAAATATAAAATGGAATGCCCCATTACTCGCAATGCAAGCACACCAATGGACTGACGCACAAAAACGAATCAATCAAAGAAACGCGATATAGTATCGTCTTTGTCAATCACGCTAAGATTTTAGAATAAGTAGGAGGAGCGCAGGCAGATGATTAGACCCGGCCTTTAAAAACCTACGTTTGCGGTAAAAATTTACGTTTTTAATGTAAACATGATAGCGCGCGTGTCAATTCTAACTTCATCAAGCGATGAATCACTCCCAAACATTCGTGGCGTTTACTATACCCATCTATACCATTCGGCGCCAGGCTGACTAACTGGAATTTAAATTTCGCGCTGGTGATTCAGGTGATAGCTCTGCTGTAAAAAATGTCAAGTTGCCGCATTTATTTATTTACTTCCTGACATTGTCATTCGTTTTGATACTTTAGTTTTGTATTACGAGTTTTTGGTTTAAATAAATAGTGTTGTGATATTTTAAGCTTAAAAAAGTTTACTAGCAGACCTTGCAGTCGAACATTGTTCTTTTTAAAACCTCTTTTAATGCGAAGAGTACAAGATAGCTTAATAGCCGTAAAAAACTCATCGCAACTTTATTAGAATGATGACCCTTTATGTTCCTTAAGTGCTGTTAAAAATGCGAGTTTTGTTGATGTAAATAATAACTGTTTATATATTTATAATTAATTTATTTTTGTTTCCTAAAATCTTCTGATTAAAAAAATATATATAAAAGTGGGCAATGCTGTGCCGGTCAAGCTTAATCACGTGATTAAAAGTTTATTTGGTATGAACTGTAGTTAAATAAAGTCTATTTCTTTCTAGTGGATTAGTTTCTTAAATAAATTGTCAAAATTCATGGAACATAAGCTTCAAAGTTGACTTTAACAATATAAAGACTATAATAAAAGAACTGATAGCCTCTAAACAAAACATAACAAAGACTATTCCAATCCAGTGAAATGTGAATAAAAGTATGCCTTTTTATATCTACTAGTGGGTAAATGAATTTGTAGATATATTATGACATTCCTTGGAACTTTAGTTTCGGAGATATAAATTTAATCGGACCTTTTTAAGAAAATTAATTTTATTTTTCAGAAACTATTTGAGACAGAGTTTACCAAAAATGCTTTTTATAACTACTAGCGGGTAAATGAATTTGTAGATATATTACGAATTTTTTCGGAACTTTACTTTCGGAGATATACATTTAATCGGACCTTTTTAAAAAAATTAATTTTATTTTTCAGAAACTATTAGAGAAAGAGTTTACCAAAAATGCTTTTTATAACTACTAGTGGGTAAATGAATTTCTAGATATATTACGAATTTTCTTGGAACTTTAGTTTCGGAGATATACATTTAATCGGACATTTTTAATCGGACATTGCTCAGGCATTTGTAGCTGTTATTAGTAATGTATGGCCATCGCCACTTTGATTTTTCGTTAGGTAACTGACTGAATGTGATTCAGTAAAACTGAACTAAAATGGGTTATTATGATACCCACTCTTGGTATTTGGTAAAATAAATTAAAAAATACAATTATAGTATAATGAAGGGTAAGAGCACTCACATACCGTAAAGTATGTCTAATCAGGGAAGATTTCGTCAGAAAAAAAAATCAGAAAACTGTCATATATCCTCTCGTTGGAGAGATTATATGAACAGTAGGCAAAGAAAAGTTATAAATATGTGATGTAAAAACCTTGGAGATATGCATAGAGATCAAGCCGGATATTGATTAAACTGTGTCAAAACACCATAATACCTGTAAGGGGTCTTTTATTTCCGCCGACCATGTAATAGTGTAGAGTGTCTGGGACGTTTAAATCCGACATGCCTGCAGGCTGGTCCCCGTGTTTCAACATGACCAAACCGAGAGCTAAACCGGCAGCTAAAGAGTAAGATTCTCGATCGACGCTGTTCTCCATTTCCGGTCCCGGTGGTCGTCCAATTTCGGATAACAAAACCTAAAATCGCAAACATTGAGAGCACAGTCCAACAATTTTCCAAGCATTATTAGTCATAAGTTAGTATAACTATATATATATATATATATATATATATATATATATATATATATATATATATATATATATATATATATATATATATATATATATATATATATATATATATATATATATATATATATATATATATATATATATATATATATATATATATATATATATATATATATATATATATATATATATATATATATATATATATATATATATATATATATATATATATATATATATATATATATATATATATATATATATATATATATATATATATATATATATATATATATATATATATATATAGTATACCTAATCTGTGGTATAACTTAACAAAGCTGTACTTTGAATAAAAAGATTAAGGAGTATAACAAAAATCTTAGATTCACCGCGAAGGGACTCTAAAACGACCTTCTAATTTTATTTAAAAAGTGTTTATTTATTTAACGTACGGCATATTAAGACACAAAGTACGTATATGACAAAAAGAAAGAAAAAAAATTACAAACGAATATTTAACAAATTAATATAATCTATTGATTCTGGAGTTGCCAGTAGGAAATCTTCTCGTCTGCCGTTATAAGCCGTTTCAGGGCATTGCTCCACGATATGTTTGATGGTCTGATTTTTGCCGCACTCGCAGGAGGGGCTTGGACTTTTTCCCCATTTGTGTAAAGTATAGGCGCATCTGCCATGCTGCGTTCTAATTCTATTTAGCGTGCACCGGTTTTCCTTGGTAAGTCAAAACCTGGTGGTGGGTTGGTGATGCATGGCATGTCACTGTTTAGTTTCGACTTCCATTCCTGATACCAAGCGTCGGTGATGCTCCATTCGTCTTCGTTTACATTTAGTGCGGTTTTGGTGGGTGGTTTTCTAGATCGGAGGCGGTTGTGGTTAGCATCCTCGATGGATCGGTAGTTCTCTGTTGTCCAGTACCTTGTTAAACTCTCTGTATAGAGCGTTTATGCCGCGCAGACTTGGGGGTGGGATGTGACTACGGGAAGCCATTCTGTGGATGTGGATTTAATAACACCAGCAATCATTCTCATTGTATTATTGAGCTGTGTGTCTATTTTGTGGACTTGTGGACTATTGAGCCATACCGGAGCACAGTATTCGACAGCTGAGAAGACGAGACCCAGAGCTGACGAGCGCAAAGTAGAAAATGAAAAGATTTAAAAAGTGTACTTTGATGTAACTATGATGTAGGGTAGACGTGGGTAGACTCAATAATTTGTTGTTTTATTTTACGTTGCGAATACATGTTGCTAGTTATTAAAATTGTTATAAAAATATATAATAATAATAGCTCCCGTATATAGCGTTTAACGCCTTGAGAATAGCTTGATACAGCTTGCCATACTAGAGCCGTTCGGTATACAAGGAAGGTAATGTGGCTAGCACTACGCTTCAACCGCCTATTATTACCTCAGGATTGTGAATCCCAAGTACTCATTTAAGGCTGAGTCGACCTAGGTACCCAAACTATTTTTATTTTAATAAAAATAGTCGGCTGATGAAATGCCGGGTGTAGTATTCGAACCCACAACCTTGAGATTGGTAGACGAGAGCCTGTACCTCTACGCCACCGGATACCATAAAAATATATAATTCTAATAAAAATAGATAAAAAATGTCTATACCTATGTGGCGGATTCGTCTTTCCAAAAAAATCCTTTATGGGTATTTCGCCACTGCACTGCAAGGAAATCTACAATATAAAATAATTATTTTTTGTAAACACTTCTGCGTTAAACCTAAACGGACGCTGCTTGTCAGAAGTTATGTTTATAGTAATACAAATTTGCCTAACAAAAGAAAAAAAAATGTTAACGTTCGGAAAGTTACCTCTTTCCGTCGTCGGAAGCAAAAAAATACAAAGAATAAAGAAAAAAACTATTTAAAATATTGAAATTCAACTATTCGAGAACACTTCACTTTTTTAAAACAGATACGTCTACAGTACGTCTGTTCGTTCTGTAGCTAAGGGGTATCCGTGAGCGGGGAAACGATATTCTCTCGATGTTTTTCGTAAAAAATTAGAGGACGCGTCCCATCAATAAAAATTCGACAAATTTGCAAGTAGCCAATAAAATGAGTGGGCGGAGCGATTTGCGGTGACGTACTCGTTAAGTCGACGTATAAAATATATTGCTGTTTATTTAAATGATTTTTGTCCGCATTCCTTTCATAGACACAGATCCAGCAGACGCACTTTACAAGAAACCGTTGACGTTCTGTTAAAAAGACATTTTTAACCGTTTAAATATCAAGTTAAAAATGTCATTTTAACAGAACGTCAACGGTTTCTTGTAGACGTATCTGTTTTAAAAAAGTAAAGTGTTCTCGAATAGTTGAATTTCAATATTTTAAATAGTTTTTTTCTTTATTCTTTGTATTTTTTTGCTTCCGACGACGGAAAGAGATAACTTTCCGAAACGTTAAGCATTTTTTTTCTTTGTTAGGCAAATTTGTATTACTACAAACATAACTTCTGACAAGCAGCGTCCGTTTAGGTTTAACGCAGAAGTGTTTACAAAAAATAATTATTTTATTTTGTAGATTTTCTTGCAGTGCAGTGGCGAAATACCCATAAAGGATTTTTTTGGAGAAATAGATAAGTTATAATAATTATTTATTAACACAAATATCCGACACGCTACTGAAGCAGGTATCTAAATTCTTCGACATGTAATCTGAGACAAGTAGTAAATAAAAGCAAAAATGCAAGAAAAAATACATAATTAGTTAATTTAAGTGAATTTCATAAATGATCGGTTTACTATAGGTATTATATAGTCACTTACTAGCGAAAAGTTATTCGATTATTTCACTCGATTTTCGACCGAGATCTACCGCACGCTACACAATCAACCATTTTAGTCTTTTTCAATGAATTGCAATAGTGTCACTGTTAATTTAAGTTCTGCTACAATTTCCATCTAGATTTACTACCTTTATACAACTATCAGTAGTAGAATAAATAATAAATAACATAAAATAAGCTCAGTAAAGACTGACAAATCCACAAAATTTGAAATCAAATTCAAATGTGTCAAACGAATCGTCAAACAGAACTGTCAAGAATTCCCACCCTAGAGTCCTTTTTCCGTCCACTATGCATGAATACATGGATAGGTTATACTCCTTCCTTAATCTATTTATTCAAAGAAAGAAGATTTAAAGCTGTAGAAAGAGCAAACGTAAGAGAAATGAGAAAAGATGAGTGAGGAAAATGTACGAGAGTAATGAAAGTGGGAAGCAGAGGTAAATAATAGCACAGATTATAAACTTTCTTTTTTCTTTATTGTTTTTCGTGGTTCCAGTTTTCGGAATCGGGCACTAGTTAGGTTAGTAGTTTGCGCACATAGCACGCCCACTTATGGCCTCTAAAATTGTGCACAACGCCTGACTGGCGCAGTTATTAGAGAGATATCGGAAAACCGAATATCGTCATGCAGTATTTACGCGTACCTTATCATGGTTACGATATGCGCGAGTCAATTTTTAACGCAATACCCGCTAATAACGTTACCGCCTGACGTAATTTGCGGATCAATTACACCAAGCGCTATTTCTAAATAACGTTTAAAAATTGCTTAAATGGGCATGTGCGGGTATTTGACAACCGGGGCCGGCCGGCGAGATCTTTTATTTTAAGTTATGTTTGAATTGTTTTGAATTATTACTTTAGTTTTATTAGGTAATTTGATATTTAAGTAGCTGGGATTAGTTTTAATTAAATAAATATGGCCCAAAATATGGATTCCACCTCTTCCAATATTAAAACACCTATAAAGAGGCTTAGGTTTACAGCAGATGACGACTTAGCCCTTCTAAGAGAATTTGTTGCTTGTTGCCCTAAACCCACTGGCAGACGTTGAACAATAAAGCACTGGAAATAAGCACTTTAGCCCTTTAGTTTTAAAATACCTAGTAAACACAACAATTTCAAAGTTTTAAATTCAAAGTTAGGTTAAGTTTAAATAGCGGACGCGACGGGAACAGAATTCTTTCAGATCCGATAACTATAAATGAAGAGAGTTAATACCACCTCACGTAAAGGAAATAACACCTGGCCTTATTAACGTCCATGCACGCTATTCAGTTTAGAGATATCTCTCTATTACGCTGTTTATTGTGCGAGTTTATTTTTGCGCACAGGAAATTTTACTCGTTTGCACATCGTCATAAAAAACAATTTTCGTACCACGAATTAGGGACAAGATTTTTATCTGTATACTTATAGGATACCTAGTCTGTGATAATAGTGACACTTGCGAATAAAAAAACATATTTACTTCTGTTATATGCCTGTGAGCGCTTCCCTGATAAACCAAACCAATTCCCAATAGTCCCGCAACCTGAATATTCTGCGATACATCGAACTCCATGGAAGTTGGAGGAAGTAAAGCTTCCACATGAATAGCCAGAATCTTTGTTAGGCTCTGATTGCGAGTACCTCTGAAAGCTGCCGCCAGACCTAAAAAGATTCTGTTAGTTTAATATCAGGTTAAAATTAATCCAAATCAAACCCAGTAGTATGCCCACGCTCGTCATTTCGTGCTGCTTAGAAAAATAAACGAACTTGTTCAATACTGCCAAGTTGCTTAAATGCCCATTTAAACCTAAGGCCATCAGGAAACCAGCGTGTTCCATTTGCGGTTCGGCGCAACCTAAAATAAAAAGATATGGTAATCGCAAAACAATTTCCGATGCACGTGACCAACTTTGAGTGATAAGCGATGGCGACAGCGCTGCCAGATTGTGATGGATTTATGAGATAAATCTTAATTTAAAATTGTCAAACATTTATTATATCATTATTTAAAGTTTAAAGAGTTTTACGTTTTATTTTTAATTTAATAACCAATATTTTAGTGATTAATTGATTTATTTGTTTTATAGCTTATTTTACTTATTACATATTGGCAAAAACTAGTCCATTATGAAGATTATTATAAGCGTTATTATGGGGTTATTTATTTATTGATGTATGTACATCTTACAACGCTATAAGTGGTAATAACAAGTAAAGAGGGTGCTATTAATGCACAAACTAATAATCACAGAATTTAATAAAAATTAACTTTAAAAGTGGTATAATGTGCTTATCAATCAAACTTACTTCTCTGACTGCAGCCAAGGGTAATAAAGGACCTTTATTGTCACGTTTTCGTTCAAATTGTTTTATCAGGGAAGCTACAAGTTTTATGCTTCGACTGTTTAAATGCTTCGGCATATTTTCAACACAATTTCAAGAAATGCAATACAAAAACTCGAAAATTTAGTTCTTAAAAGAAGTGTTTGTGTTAAAAGTGCAATTTAAAAAAAAAAGACTATGAAAATAGGCAAAAAAACGAGAATTGCTCACAAAGATTCAACAACACGATATTACACAAAATAATGACTGACATTATGATAATTGTCAAATAATAAACGACAACCTTGCTGAACGCGGCACAATCTGACCAACATAGCGATAATAAAATTCGGTTTAAACTGATTTTTGCAGCTTTAATCTAAATAAAATATCTGTTAGAATCATTTTCTCCATAAAGTAAAATGAAGAATCTGCTCGTTATCTTAAATTATACAAAAAGATTTAAACATTTTTGCCAAAATCTCATTTAGTCAGGTTTATATGCTTCAGTGTCAATTTCGATATGATTGATGACGTGTATCGGAAAATGTTTTGCGATTACCGTATATTCCCTGTTTTTTTTCCAAAAAAGTATAAAATGACTAAACCTACCTTTAGGTTTATTAAAAATGATCCAAGTACAATCGATGTTTTCAGCACCTGTTGTGATTCTAAGACCATTTGCCACGCCATTGTGAAATAAAGGCCATAGGTTCATATTAGCTGGTGTATCTATGTGATTTAGCTCTACAGTGTTGCCTCTAGGCAGCGCTTTGCCCGTCAGACACAAGGTCGGCGTTGCCAGTGGTTCTGTTATTATGGGTGTTGTGGTTCTTAACGTAATCATTCCCCTTGAAATTTGAAAATGATCAAACATTACAATTTAGGATCATGTAATAGCCGCCAAAGAGTTAAGATAAAAATAGTATATTGTTTTATTAGGAAATTATGCTTTTTGTGGCGAGGCTGACCGTTAGCGAGTTCAGCATTACAGGCTAGGCACAAAAAGTAATTTTTACTCTGAATAGAACATGCTATTTTTTTCTGACTTCAGAAATAATTTTTAAACAATTTCAAACGTTGCAAATACTACAATAAGATGATTTAAAAGTAACACCATGTATACTTGTATTCATTTAAAACTTCCCAATATGGCGGACTTCAGTATGGGAGGCTTAAACGAAAATCTCTAGACTGGAAGCGACTGTAGTTCAAATCGTTCAAATTGATAATCTGTGGTAAATCCAATTGAACTCTGACACTTGGCTGACATTGACGTTTACGGTTCCTTTTTCTAAATATTATTTTTTGAGTTTTTATTCACAAATTCTACTTGACCCTGTTCTTTTATTTAACCTGCAGCCTGCAGTACTAATTATATAGCTATAAATAATCTTTTCACCGATCAAGAACTGAGGAATAGGCTGGAAGATATTCAAAATGTGTAAAACACTTAAAAACGTATTAGAAAACATTGACTCGTCCACAAATTCGTGAAAATAAATTAGTCCAGATGTTTGTAAAAAGGTCTCTAATTATTGTGAGAAGTTTCCTCGTATCAGTAATTTTCAGGTTTGTAATATGTATATGATAATAAATAGATTAAAACTTATATTTCAGGAAACAGCGCGGGCATTACAGATTGTTGTAAATCAGTTTTAAAATATAAAGAAGGTTTAAAACAGGTTTAAAAGTTGAGTTATTAGAGAAGACCTAAATAAGGTAATGTTGGTAATGGGACCAAAGATCAAATAACACTTGAAATATATAATATGTACAATAATTGTAAGTAGTTTTTATGAATCTGTTTGATATCTATTGCATTGTTTTTATATTTCTTGAAATATATATTTTTTTACTTTACAGGATACACAAAGAATAATAAAAAATACAGTTACTTACTAAAAGCACTTAAGATGTGTAATAGATGTAGTTAGAATATCAAACACCAAACCAAACCAAAAATTATGTTTTATTTTACTGGTATTCTTCACATTTGAACGGAAAGTCATTTCATAAATAAGCAGAAGGACATTGTATAGTACACTCTATATTAATAATTAATATATAAAAATTCTTTTTATCCTATACTTGATAGTTGATGCATCACTTACTAGGTATAGAATTTAGTACTGATTCCAAACCTATAGTTGTGGTTGTGACATATTCTGATGTGTTTCTGGCAATTTAAAATAAGTTAATATTTAAACAAACATTTATGGCTTTCCTGACAGAAGTGTGAACACAAATTTAATAAAGGTATATAATGTGGATAATGTTCTGATTATTAAAGTTTGCATGGATGTTTTTGTATGTTGTTATTTTTAATAAAGTATATTTAATGAGTTTTTGAGTATTTCTTTTTCCCTCAGAGGGTTGCGTTCTAATCTTTATATATAAATTTTCATAAATTATATCTACAAAATTTATTACCTTGTAACTTTTTTTGCTAAAGACTTTGTAGTTGATACAGTTTAACAGTATATAAAAGAACTATTTAAATAAGATGTTTGAAAATATATAGCTGTTTTTGCACACATCAATTCAATTTGTGATTAACTGTACTGAAATAAAAACAAATTAAGAGAAATGGGGTGATCTATCAACTATAACATGAAACGCATCATCCTCTTTCCAAGTCTTCTATTAATTTCAGTTATTAAACAAATATAATTATTCAATAATCTTGATAATTCTAGGAACTCTCAGATATCGTCAAAACATGAAAACAAAAATTCACTTCTATAATTCTTACGTCCCTTTAACTGAAATATAAGTAACAGGGATGTTAATATTCTCACTGAGAAAGTTTATAAAATACCTTTAAGTAAAATCTCTTCGGATCTGCGGTAAAATACCTTTATTTATTAAATAATTTCAATAATCTATGTTTTTATTTATGACAACCACCTAATAACCTAATTTTAACGTCAACTTGACAATCCTGAAAAATGTTATTGTTAACCAAATAGTAAATCAATTTCTGAATTTGGTAACGCCAACTTATTTTTCATTAAAAAAAAATTACCAATTTTCGTAACTAGGTCGGCCATATTGAGGAACTTTTAAAAGAATTGTACTATAAAGTAATTATATATCAGGCGAAACTATGGTTACACTCGTTGAATTTGACACTTCATGTCAGTTTCATTATATATTTTTTTTCTTTTGTGTTTAGGCGTAAAGGTGCTTTTCTTTTATGTCTAGGTGCTAAAATGACATTTTTATATTGTCAATCATGTCGCAAAAATTAATAGTTTTGTGACGTTTAAAAAAAATTATAAAAAACTTACCTTCCTACTGGTAAAGCCATTGTTCTAATGCAAATTCCAAACAAATGCTTTTCCTGTTCTTCAATAAAATCGTGATCGGAAACATCGGGTCTCTGTATCAAAGTTATTGGTACCGGTTTTGAACTTGCTAGCATTTTGCGCGCTTCCAGTACCCTAGATTCATTATTAATAAAATGAAGAACATTCCAAAATGAAATCTATAAAATTTCAATAATCTTAGTAGTCGAGACTATATATCTAACGAGGGAAGAAACAGATAAGAGAAAACTAACCTTATGTCATCACTAAATCTCATTTTGGTTAGGCTGCAATCAATGTCCTCCATACCATCCAAGTCCGCGATTTCCTGTTTTGTATTGGGCATGGATTCTTGCAGTTGAAAAACTGTATTAACTTTCTCATCTGAGAGTTTATTTTTTTCCTGTGAAAAAAAAACACGGTACATAGCAAATTCGCCAAAAAATGCATATCTGAATCTTAATGCAACCAACTGTAGGACATTGCTGATAATATTTCAAATTCTTACTTCATTATACAGGGTGATCTGAACTGAATCTCAGAAACTTCGGCAGCATATTCTGAAGATAAAAATAAGTAATAAAGTTCTTATAAATGTATGTCCTAAAATGTTTACTTTCGGAAGTACAGGGTGTAGATGTTTCATTTTTATTTCGATTTTTACCAAATAATTTCTGAAGCAACGTCAATTTTTGGATGAAAATTGGTGTTTGGAGGTTTTTTGGCATGAGAAATTTGATTTTTATGTCAATATGACTCCTTTTTGTAAGGGGCGCCACCTACATGTGTTTTAACTGTTTTGAAGAGTAATAACTGTTCGTCCATACTTGGATAAAACTACTGAATGAAAAAATATACATTCTCGTGACTTTTTACGTAAAAAATGTTTCTGAAACTCTACATGATTCTGAAACTCTACAGATGTTTCAAAAACTCTACGACACCAATTTTTATCCAAATATTGACGTTAGTTACTTCACAAATTATTTGGAAAAAATCCAAATAAATATGAAACTTCTACACCCTGTATCTTCGAAACTAACCATTTTAGTAAATATATTTATGCTAACTTTTTTACTTATTTTTATCTGCAGAATATGCTGCCGAAGTTTCCGGAATACAGTTCGGACCACTCTGTATAATATAAACCCTGCTCAATTATACTCAATTATCTGTTTTTATTTATATTTGAGCTTTAGAATAAACAACCTAACAAAACTATACATACATACATAGACAAAACTATAGAAAACAACCAGAGGCACAACTATGACAGGTGACATCTGTGACAGATGTCATCTGTCTAAATCATATATTCTCTCCACAGACAGACTATACATACCATTTCAATTTCCTGTGCTTGTGATACCAAATCATCTCTCCACAACAATCGGTAAGCATCGACAGGCCAATCTGATGGCGGATTTTCTCGACATTTCCATAAAGCAGTGTAGAGCAAAAAGCTTATTCCTATGGGCAATGTTTCGAGGTACCTATGAAACTTGTATTTAGAAAATAAAACTAAAAATAATGTTTTTAAAACCTTTTGGTAATGTTCATGTCGACCATAGTCAGTACTACTTGTTCTATTGCTTTATCGTCCACCAAAACACTTTTTTCATTCACATTTTCTTGCTGTACTCCCGCTTGGTTTTGCGTAAAACAGTCCTTAGAAATGTCAGCATCACAAGAATGATTCAGTTCTGATAACAGTCCACAGAGCTAAAAGAATATACCGATTGGTCATATTGCCATTGGTGGTCGAAATAGGAAAAACAAAGATAAAGTCCTCTAATTATAACCAGTTGCTAGACAGAGATATAAAGAAATGCAGAGTTGCCGGTTCCTATTTACGGTAGGCATAATTAAAGATAAACGACTTAGAAATAATAACTGAGTTAAGCGCGTACACCAATACAATATTAAAAATTTTGTAGAGTACCGTATGATCGAAAAAAAAACGGCGCCAAAGAAAGCTGGGGTATGGTTTTATAATTGTAGCAAAATTACTAATTAATTGTTATGTAATACCGGGTGCGTCTCAAAAGTGGCTCACTCCTATAACTTTTTTATTTTTTCAGACAAAACAAAGATATTTTGTTTGTTAGTATATGACATAAATTGGGATTGATTGACGTATTCAATTGTTTTTGTGCACTTCCGGTTTCACCGCGAATGACTACAACTTTTGATTTTTAAATGGCACCCTCAGTATATTTTTACCTTATTCGATAGAAAATGACACTCTGAATCGAATGACATATCATATGTCAACTTTTGACATTTATGGGTTTATTTGAAATTGTACCATGCGGTTCATAACGACAATTTGACTCAAAATACCAAGTGTGTGGTATCAAATTATTCATAAAAAATGCTTTTTCCAAATATGCTAATGAGCCACCCTCGTCCCATTTGAAAAAATTGAGATATGATTAAAAATACGATTTGGGCATCTTTTAACCGGCCAGGACAAGACACTAAAACATTAGACAAACAAATATATTTTTCCACGGCTCCCTGATTAAAAATTAGTGTTTTTAACACAGCCACTCTAGATTGAAATTTAGAATTTGCTTTTGAGTGACTATGTCAAAAATTGATATATGATATGTCATTCGATTCCGAGTGTCATTTCCTATCGAATAAAGTAAAAAAATACCGAGGGTGCCATTTAAAAATCAAAAGTTGTAGTCATATCCGGTAAAACCGGAAGTGACCGAAAACAATTGAATACGTCAATCAATCCCAATTTATGTCATATACTAACATACCAAATATCGTTGTTTTATCTGAAAAAATAAAAAAGTTATGGGGGGTGAGCCACTTTTGAGACGCACTGGGTATATTGATGATCAAACCAATGCTAAAATACTATTGGAAATGCTATCTCGGTTGATTTTATTTTTTTATAGAAAATCCGCAATACCGCTGGGAAGAAATACATCAGCCCACCCATTGTCTCTTTTTAGCGCGTTTGAATTTCCATTAAGGTATCTCTATCGTTGTCTTACCCGTTGAAATGAACCACGGAGGAATAAGAGAGGGGAGATGCTACAGCTGTTGCAAAAAGAGGTTCACCTAGCCGTCCGCCATCTTAGATTGTGGTACTTTTTGTAATTTGTGCATTTTTCTCGAAATTTAATGTTTTTCATCGATAATTTGAGTGTTTTCTATTACAAAAACATTTAAAACCATGGTGTTGTGTGCTGTACGCAATTGTAGGAGCAGGAAAGGTATCGACTCGAAGAAACTCACCCGCGTAACATTTCACAGGTTAGATAAACAGTGTGGTCCGTAATGACCGAATTAACGGATGAACATTAATTAGTATTTTATGCCTATTTTAAGTTTGGTGTAGTAATGCCAAGTAATTTGTTCATTGCGATACACACGATTAATATTACACAATGATTTTACATTAGCTCAAGACAAATTTTCATTATTGTTTGTTTTTATTATTTGAAGTTTTACTTAATCAGGTCCTGTCCAAAGGGTACGCTTTTGGCCCCGCCCAAACAACGAAGTGGGACTGTTTTTATCCTACAGAAATACGTGTAGTAGCGACTCCGCTTTCTTATTCCTCCGTGAAATGAACCGACACAGTCACTGATCTGTCTGTATAGCTTTCATCGCGTAACTTTTCCCAATACGGCGGAATACATACGTCAAAACAACAAAATCAACTACTTAAACTACAATGAATTCATTGAAAATCTAGTTTTAATTATTTATTCGAAAGTATTGGTAAGAACGAAAATGTTAAATATGATTTAAAATCTTAAAAATCAAAATATATTAGAAACCGAAAAGCAGTGTCTACCTTAGTATAACACACTTCATACCAAATAAACTTTTAGTCACGCGATTAAGCTTAACCGGCACTGCTTTGTCCACTTTTATACATTTTCTTTTAATCAAAATATTTCAGGAAACAAAAATAAATTAATTATAAATATATAAACAGTTATTATTTACATCAACAAAACTCACCTTCTTAACAGCACTTAAAGAACATAAAGGGTCATTACTACCGCTTTCCCGTTCAAAATATTCTAATATCTTTTTACGGCTATTAAGCTATCTTGTACACTTCGCATTAAAAGAGGTTCTAAAAAGAACAATGTTCGACTGCAAGGTCTGCTATAGTCATGGCCGGAACAGCGATTTTTTAATAACAGGTACAAGCTGTTCCAGTTGCAAAAGATACCTGTTCCAAGAAACCTGTTCCAGTTCCAAACTGTTCCAAAACGAAAACTAATACCGTACTTGCGTCAATCTGATTCGGTTGCTATTTTTCTTTTTAAATTTATATAAAAGAATATTTTTTGCTTAAATAATGAGAACTACTGGGGATTTTTCTGTTTTCTCTAAATTTAATCTACTATCTATGTTGCTATATTACCAAGATATAATGTTTTTTAACTAAAAATTTAAAAAAAACTATCAAATTTTCGAAAAATATAAACTTTTCAAAAACATGTTTTCTCGAAAAAAACTCATGAGAATCGAAATATACAACCCCTAAAAATATGTGCACTTATTTAAGACCTCCCCTGTATAAGCACTAATGAATAAATATAGATTTATAATTTTGTTATATACTTAAAGAGTAAATTTTTGGAAGAGCTTAATTTTTTTTAATATCTACTATATTTATAATACAAAACAATAACCGACTGTTCTTACACTGTATTCTTCAAAAAAAACTATAATGCGATAATTATATTGCATTTGGCAACATCGCCAGCATTTTTTTATAATAAAAAATGTTTCTTACCTATTCTGTTTCTGTTTACATTAAAAAAATAAAATATTTAAAAAAAATATATAAATTTAAAATTTATAATAAGAATTTAGTTGAATTTTAATTAAATATTTTAAATAACGGCAACAGCCACACTTGTTTTTTACGCCCCTGTATCCCGATAACAGATAACACCTGAACGGTCGCGTGCGCTAGACTTGGCTAGACTAGCGAAACATTGAGCGAAACCGATATACGACCTCGATTATCAACTCAAACCAGTTCTTTTTACTTAACTGTTTCAAACAGTTCCAAGTTCCTAACTGTTCCATGCCCTAAACTGTTCCAGGTCGCAAACTGTTTCAAGTCTCAAACAGTTCCAAGTCCCTAACTGTTCCAAGCGCTAAACTGTTCCAAGCCCTAAACTGTTCCAGGTCGCAAACTGTTCCAAGTCTCAAACTGTTCAGGTTGGGACTTGAAACAGTTTACGGCTTGGAACAGTTTAGCGCTTGGAACAGTTAAGGATATGGAACTGTTTGGGACTTGGAACAGTTAAGTAAAAAGAACTAGTTTCAGTTGAGAAACGAGGTAGTATATCGCTTTAGCGACGCGGTCGCTTGGCGTTATATTATCGAGATTGAGTGCGAGTGCACTAATATAGTACATAGACGTAAAAAAACAAGGGTGACGGTTTTCGCAGCGTTGCCGATATTTGATATATTTAATTAAAATTCAACTAAATTTTTATTATAAATTTTAAATAGGAAATCAATATTTAAAAATACAGAAAGAAAATAATTTCTAATATTTACTATTTTATATATGTAAAATAGTAAAATACATATATAAAATAAAAACAATTTACTTTCCTAGATAATAAAAACAAGCGGTTCTTTGTCGGTATACATTTTTTGCGCAGAGTTTTTTTTTTAATGTAAACAGAATAGGCGAAGAGAATTTCTTACCATCGAAAAAACGTAAATATGATGTTGCCAAATGCAATATAATATATAATTATCTAATTTTGAAAAAAACACTATTAAGAATCTATTAGTATCACAAATATAGTAGGTAATATAATTTAAACAATTCCAAGAATTTATTTCTTTAAGTATTTAATTTAAGTTGCAGTGTTTTGAAACAGTTGAACAGTTGGAACTGGAACTGGTATAGGATAGCACATAAACCTGTTCCAAGCCAGTTCCAAAACAAACCTGTTTCTGAAAATATGTAATTCATTAATAAAATAGATAAGTTATAATAAGTATTTATTAACACAAACATCCGATACGCTACTGAAGCAGGTAAGTCAAATTAACGTATCAAAATTCTTTGACATCTGATCTTTGACAAGTAGTGAATAAAAGCTAAAATGCAAGAAAATATATAATTTAGTTAATTTAAGTGAATTTCATAAATGATCGGTTTACTACATGTATGTATATTATATAGTCACTTACTAGCGAAAAGTTGTTCCATTATTTCACTCAATTTTTTCCGAGATCTACCGCACGCTACACAACCAACTATTTTAGAGTTTTTTTCGATAAATCGCGATAATGTCACTGTTAATTTAAGTTCTGCCACAATTTCCATCTACATTTACTACCTTTATACAACTATCAGTAGTAGAATAAATAATAAGTAACATAAAATAAGCTCCGTAAAGACTGACAAATCCACAAAATTTCAAATCAAATTCAAATGTGTCAAATGAATCGTCAAACAGAACTGTCAAGGATCCCCACCCTAGAGTGCTTTTATGGTGCTTTTTCCGCCCACCATTCATGAATACATGGATAGCATTATGCTCCTTCCTTAGTCTTCTTATTCAAAGGTCGGTATGTATACTCTGTTTTTTTTTTCTCAGGTAAGATTTCGACAGACGATGACAGAAGAAAAGCAGATGACGTCCAATACCAATCTATTTATTTTACTAAAAAAAGTTTCTAATAATTTTTAAGTTAACTATGGATGGGTTTAAATATACATCCGTCATGCATCGTCTCTTGTTGTTTTTAACCAGTTTTATTGGTTTATTTCAAAAATGACAGATCGTATTGCAATTTTATTGGTTTGACGGAACGATAAACGACAAACGGACGCCGATGCGTATGAACTCGCCTTTGGATTTTTGATGCTTGTCAAAGTCTTGCCAAATTAGAGGTTATAATTTTGTGTCAACTGTTGTCAGTTTTTGCATGATGTATTTTGATTCGTGTTATTACGTGGGTTTTGTGTCTTTTGAAGTCAATTGGAGGAAAAATCGAGTGAAAATTAACTGTAGACCCAGAGCACAGTTTATGATTAATACACGCTGCCCAGGCAAAAAGTCTTATACACCAATAAAGTTATCATTAAAGTTCGTATACCATCTCGTCGTAGACAAGTGCATCTCGAATATGGTAGAAGGACCATACTAAACACATACTAAAAACTGGAGTAGCTGTAAAATATCACACGATACGTAAATAATGGATTTTAGTAATGCCAAAGGTACTGGTTTAGAAAATTAAGATTAAAGTTAATTGATCAACCTTTAAGATACCTATAAAATTTGCTAAGTGTTATTAATAATAAAATAGTTTGTTTTATTTATGTTGTTTTATTTATTCCTGCGGAATATTACAAATTTGTATTTGTACGTAAGTTATATTGATAAGTATAATCATAAATGCTGGAAGTTTCATAAAGCTGGTGCAAGTAAATAGTTCTTTTTTATGTTTTCTTGAGGTATGTGGTGTCTTGTTCTTGTTTTGTATTAACACATACTGTTTAGTACATAAATTAAATAACTCTGATTACGGTTTTCGCAGTTTTATACAGATTTTTCACAATATTTTTAAAAATTCAAATAAACTTGTCAGTATAAATTTTAAATATAATAATTCCTGCTAAAAATACAGAAAGCCAACTTATTTCTTTTATTTAAATATAAATAAACTACTTAAAAAATTATAAAATGACAGACACATCTATCATGTAGATAAGGATCAACCGGTTCCTTTGACTATATACATTTTTTAGCGCAGAGTTTTTTTTTAATGTAAGCAGAATAGGCGAAGAGAATGTCTTACCATCAAAAAAACGTAATGGCGATGTTGCCAAATGCAATATAATATATAATTATCTAATTTTGAAAAATACACTATTAAGAATCTATTAGTATCACAAATATAGTAGATAACATAATTTAAACAATTCCAAGAATTTATTTCTTTAAGTATTTAATTTAAGTTGCAGTGTTTTGAAACAGCTGGAACAGTTGGAACTGGAACTGGTATAGGATAGCACATAAACCTGTTCCAAGCCAGTTCCAAAACAAACCTGTTTCGAAAATAACAGATCCTGTTCCAAAGCGTCATCACTAGTCTGCTAGTAAACATTTTTAAGCTTAAAGTATGACAACACTACTTATTTAAACCAATAACTCGTAATACAAAACTAAAGTGTCAAAACGAATGACAATGCTAGAAACTAAATAAATACGGCAACCTGACATTTTTTACAGCAGAGCTACTACCTGAATCCCCAGCGCTAAATTTAAATTCCTGTTAGTCAGCCCGGCGCCGAATATCTCCAAGGTTGGCAACAAATAAATTTAAAAATCGCGCCCTCGATTACATAACTAAAAGTTTAATTGATATCAAATATATGTAAAAATTTGACCAATACTATATTTAAAACTTACCTGTACTATATCTCGTGATCTACTATTAACATTGGCAAAATACGGATAAGGACTCAGACTACGTTTCTGCAATAAGTGGCAAATATAGCTCATGACGCTAATCGGCTTATCGCTAAGGCCTTGCCACATGTTTATTGATTTTCCAACATTTTCATCTATGACAGGTTTGGTAAACACTACCATTTTCGGAAAATCTTTCCAGTAATGCGTAACAAAATCCACTAGACCTAGATCATTGCAGATTTTTGACAAAAACTTCGCCAATGGTAACAAAATATCGTTAAACAGCAAATTCAGTTTAAAATCTTCGTATAAGAGGTGCAAAGAGAAATGGATGTAACGGATGTAAGGGAATAAAACGGACTTCGGATTAATTGTAATTTTAGGTACTTCATTATCAACTGAACTGTCATTAGTGATGCCCAATGGTAGTTTCAGGATATGAGATAAACTGTCTGTGATATCTTTATGATCACTTTTGGACAAGAACAGCCAATCATCGTCCGAACAAGATGGCGTAGTTTTCGGTTTTTTGACAGCGGAAGCGGGAGTTTCTGGTTTCTCGAAGATATGGTCTTCTTCATAACCCAGCAATTCTAAAATAAATCTTTAACTGTATTTCTGAATTAATAATTCACGATAAAAATTATAAATCAGTTATATATGCTTGGTGCATTCTGCGCCGGTACTACCATCATCGGAGAATATCGTAAACAACTAGGATATATAAATACACGGGTTTAAATAACTAGTATACGAAAAGTTTATTTATTATTAATTCTAAAAATGTTAGGAAGTATAATTTGTGAAAATTTTAAAAATTAAATTAAAAAAGTAAATATTTTGATATCTTCAGAAGATCGATAACTTGTATTGTAATTTCTTATTCCAGTTAAAAAAACTTTTTAGATGAGTTCAACTACGGTAACGAGCATAGTTTTAATCACCGGTTTTGCTAGTGGCGCATAATTGGGGCAATAACGAAATTTTTTAAAGGTACATAATTATAATTTTAGATGTTCATAAAACATTTAATCACTAGTTGATTAAAAAAAGTATACCATTAATATTACAAATTATATTTTATCCTCTCGTAGTATATGTCTATTTAATTTTATGATCGTGTAACGAGCACTTTGTTTACTCACTTGTTTCGTCGAACTGCTTGAATCCATTTTTGCTTTTGATCAAGTCGGTATGAGAAACTATGAAGCTATAAAATGTTGTTTCGGGGAGTTGAATATCCGGCGGGAAAATTGAGTTATTGAATGTTATTTCACCCAACAACGCTCTAAATACGCTCTCCTTTACGCGTTAACATTTTTTCGGCAATTGTATTAATATTTGAAATTGTCACAACATAACATGACGCATATTTCAAATTCTTTTTCACTTATTTTTTACAACCCGAAACAGCGTTACATCACACAAACCTCGTACCTGAGTGTTTTATAGTCTCAATAACTGTACTAGCAAAAAAATAAAATACTTAAATATTATTAGGCCAGTCAGCAATTGCATTGATGGCGGGAGCAAATCTGGACAGGCTGGAATAAGTTTTATTTTGTTTAGTTTAGTATCGAGAAGCACGTAGTAAATTTGCACTCCCTGTAAAGCCCGGATTTAGCCGCCATCTTGGAAAAATTGGCTAAAATTCGGTTTATTTTTCATTATTTGTCAATAACTCGATTTCTATCAACTTTATTGCAAAATATGTAGAGACCAAAATTAAAGAAGAAAGCTGTATGCGTTTTTTTCGTGCGACTACCCAAAGTTTCGAATTTTACGAAAACAAAATTAAAGTTTGATATAATGTACGTGTTCTGTATATCCGGGGTTAACTGTACTTGTTTCCTTACCACCTTGAGCGGCACCCCCGAGACATAAAGCCTAAAAACTTGTTTGCCACTGGTTGGCAGTAGCCTGCTGTCGCGGTCATAATGGAAGACCGCAAATAACGGAATAAATTTTTATTGTTGCGCGACTGGTGAAAAAAAAAGTTTAACCGCCTTGTCTCTCAGGGAGCTGCCTTGGGGTAAAGTGCCCGGCCCGTTTTTTTTTTGAGTGGTCTTCCCATTTCCAATAGGCCTAATCCACATGTCGTCAACTTAGGTTTCTGTTGAGGTGGAAGGTTCATCAGAGTTCCTTCGTTTTTTTTATGTTACTGGCTGTTCAATATAATCTTCCTGAATGTCTTCCACATCTGTATCATATTCCGGATCTGGTTCATAAGGTGGAGAATATTCTTTTCGTTGATCTTTATCGAGAGGAAAATTGTCCTCGTAAATTCGTCTAATTTTGCCACCTCCAAACTATTCGAACATGATTTGCCCTGACTAAGTGCACACATTACCGCAACGCAAACCTGCTTTGCGGCAACTACTAGATGTATTACAACCTTTGGCACACTTACATGAAATCAGATTTAATAATTCTTGGGGAGCTGCATCTTGGGAAGTAGCAATGGGCATCAACCCATTCTTTGTATTTTTCCATTCCCAATCCAGAGGTGATTTTTCATTCATAGCTGTATATGACTGTATGTACAAAAGGAGTGAAAGCGAGCTGCATCTTTGGTCGGTGATAATGATGCTAGGTTTGGTAAGTTTTTGGTTATTTTTTACTACCCGAAACAGCGTTACACAAACCTCGTACTAAGTGTTTTATAGTCTCTGGGCACTAGCAAAATACTAAAATACTTAAATATTATGACAAAACCACAATTTCAATATTATTTTAACGCGATCAACATGACGGCGCCACCGGCGGCGTGGAATAGTTAGGGATAATATCTGATTTTTGCCGTTGAAGCGCTGCGGTCGGAATTTGTTGAAATCAACTGAAATACAACAAGCCTATACTAATTAATAATTACTGCTATATAAACTGGTGCTTGATAAAACGGCGATGGTAAAATGGCGTGAAATACATACTGAAAATTTTTGATTTCTGACGTTGAAGCGCTGCGGTCGGAATTTGTTGAAATCAACTGAAATGCACCAAGCCTATAAAATAATATGTAACTCTCACCTAATAATAATCCGCTAAACATTTCCCATTCTTGTTTAGTATCTAAGTCAGTATTGCCAATAGCGTTTCTCGTCGCATACCATCTACAGACGACTACTAAGGCTGCATCTCTAGGTAGGCACTGTCTTAGCGCAACTAAACAATGCTCCACCAGTTCTGAGTGCGTTAGAATGGGTACAGTAACTCTATAGAATGTTCCGTCGGAATATTTCAAAGTTATGCGATTCTCTACTTCGTCAGAAAGGCCTACTAAAGTGGCCTTTTTTTCAACCCCTGAAATACAACAATTATAAATTTACTTAAATATCGTACAATAGAAAAATACGGCATCACGAAATTTGAGATATCTGAATAAATTTAATGAAATTATTTACCTTGAAAACTATATTTTAATGGTGTCGGGTTTCCAGCAGGGGGTAAGAAGTTCAAATTAGGTTGTGCTGCAGATGGCAACACAGGAGATAATAAGTGTTCGTCGAATATTGGTTCTGGTTGTTTAGACAGTGGAAGAAGACTGCTACGTCTAAAACGACAAAATGTATTATAAAGCCTGTCTAGCGAGAAGGCGGACCATTTCGACAGGCCACATTCCAAAAATGACAGAAAATACACTCTACTTTTACATTTTCAAACGACAGACAACACCTATCACTGTCATCTCACATCAGACAGAACAGGATAGACAGCAGAGCTGTAACAAGTCAGTTTTATAAAGACTTAGATGTTAGGTCAGGTTATCAATGTCTAAAGTCATTTCTAAAATTAAAACAATTTAAATCTGCTTTTTTTAATGACGTAAGTCATCTTCTATTTCGAAATAACAACTTAAATCACAAATCATCTTGAAAATGACTTAAATTTTAAGTCTTAAGTCAGCTTTCGAAATATGACTTAAAATCGAATGACTTTTAAGTCATTCTTCTTCTTACAGTGCCATACCCTAAACAGAGCGTCGCCGTCGCACAGTGGGCTGGATGACTGAACCAGGTTGACATTTGTTTTAGAATAAACTTATTAGTCGCGCGTCACAAGGTTTAAGATTATATATTATATAATAATATATAATATTATATTATATATATATATTGCTTTTTTTGTTTACAACTAAATATTATTATTCCTAACTAGTACTCAAAACGAACGATTAGTATAATATACAGGGTGTAATCCCATATTAGGGCACATAATATACGATACTATGTTCCTTGATGATTTCAAAATTGCTTATTAATATCTAATATTTTATTTTTATAGAAAATATTGTAATTTATCTAACCTTACATAAAAAAATACGGAGTGGCCCGTCGAAAACATACCGTAAGGCATTATAGGGTGGGCAAGAATTTTTCGGCAATATCCAAAAATACGTCAACATTGCATACTTTTTGTCTCAAAATGTGTCCCCCCCTCAAACAAAGTTGACGTGTCTTTCGATATTTTCCGTCATAAAAGCAGCAGTTACGTAGCATTTTTAAGCTTTAAAGCATTGCTATTTCTATCATTTTATGAATTAACAGCTTTTTAAAATCAATCTTTAAAGATATACCTATTAAGTTATTGCGATTCTTGGCGTTTTCTAACTTCAAGTTTTAGCATCAAAAACTTGGAAAGAAAGCACTTTTACTCTCATTTTTTCGCTACGAAATATTCCATCCATATAAAATTATTTGTCACAAAATCAATACAATCCATAGAATGGATTAAATAGTGATTTTTAATAACAAACATTCACTTTGCTGACTTTTTAAAAGTCCAAAAATCGAAAAGGAAAATTCTGGAAATTTTGGCATGACGGCATTTCGTTTTGGAAAATGACAGATATTTCAAACTTTGGAAATGAAAAGAGAATTTTACTACCTTCTAAATGAGGTGCCACTCGGCCCCTATTCCCATTTAAGATAATGGGGTTGGAGCACACCCCCGCGAGGGGATGAAAGTGGTAATGTTCATTATATGAGAAAAATCTTTCCCCCGGGAAATAAAAATCGACGAGTCCGAGGATTTATTACAAAAAAACATCTAAGGCTAGAAAATCGAGGTGTAAACTTTTCGTTGACCCACCCTGTATTCGACAGATGCTGTTTTTTGACAACATAATCTTTTAATTAGATGAATATTCTTTCGATTTAAAAACATTTTTAAATTCAAAAATATGCAAAATAGATGACACCCATGGAGTTCGTTTAACGGTTTTACATATATGTGTGGGTATATTTACTTACAGAGTTCACAAAAATCCATGAAAACACCCTTTATCGCAAAAAATCGCAACAAAGCAGGCTCAGATTTATAATCAGAAGGAAATAATACATTTAAAAATGCTGCTTTTATTATGGTACTTTGGGGTACTCTGTAAGTTTTTTTCTCCTAAACAAAATAAAATAAATTTTTGCCACTTACCTTAGCAGCTAAGAATATAATCACTAACACTTGCTAATACAAATATAAAATATAAAACAGCAAATTAAACTGCAATGCTATGAAATGTCAATACTATAGCTTAATTCGGGTTTCTCTTATTACCGATTCTGAACCGTCCTAGAACTGTGATGCGTATGCGCAGAAGGAAATATGAAGATATTATTTCATTTGCGCATGCGCTGCAGAGTTCTAGGACGGTTCAGAATCGGTAATAACAAGAACCCGAACAAATCTTTTGTTTGACAGCGCTCGAAAAATTGTTTTCCAAAGCCTACTATGAAAATTTATTTACTTTGTTTGATGCGTGTATTTAGCGCGATATCAAGTGATGAATGTGATTTTCAGATAGGATGAAATATTTAATTTTCTACATACATTGGGTTCTAATTTTTATCTTTAAATTAGATATATTTTATGTATATAGGGTGTGATATATAGGGCTCTATAATATTTTGATATCAAACCTTATCTTTTAAAAAGTTGCCTGTGTCAACCTAGTTTGGTTTAATTGCCCTCTGTGCGTCGGTTACCTCTCGCATGTACTTGGAACGTGTGTCATCAGTGTTTCACAAGTACACGGGACCTACAGTTTATCGCCGAATCCGAACGGCACTATTTGAAAGGCTGTACAAAGCAAATATACTCAAGGTGGTTTGCCATTGCCTTCCTTGAGGTGGCGGCTCGCTGGTCGCTCTATTTAGATAAATCAATATTTTTATTTAAATAAATTAAGCAACCATACTAGCTGGGGATCGAACTCAGTACCATCCCATCTCTCGCACCGCAGATCGACACACTACTGTTTGCGCTACGGCCGGCCACACTTAAGTCATTAAAATTATTTATATAAAAAAAGACTAAACAGACTATAAAAAAAACTAAACAGACTATATTAAAAACCAATATTCTACCTAGGAAAAGGAGATCTCATATGTCTTCTTATACAAGGAGATGGTGTATGCTGTAATAAAGTACCGCCAATATGCAATTTTCCAACAACGGTTAGACCCGAGTATAATGTTACATTTCCAGTATGTTCCAAGATGGCTAACATATCCAGATGCTAAAAAATATAACAAGCGTATTATACATAACTGAAAGCAATATTTTATTACACAAAACAACGAAGAGTCATTCTTTATATTCCAAAACCATACCCAAGATAATTATTTTTAAATAACAAATTTCTTTATGGTAGATAAATAAAAATGTAATGCATTGAAGCAAACAAAAAATATCTGGACAGTGGATACAAAAATATGATCTGTGTAGATGTAGTCAGATATATCTGAAAAACGGATCTGAAACATATTGATGACAATCGAGGACATTTCCCATATAATTTGACATATAAAATGACAGCGATCTTCATTTCATAGCCATCGCTGACGCCGTTTTTATTCGATCATACGGTAGTTCATATCAAATAAACTTTTAGTCATGTGATTAGGCTTGATCGGCAGAGAGTTGCCCACCTTTACATATTTTCTTTTAATCAAAATATTTTAGGAAACAAAAATAAATTAATTATAAATATATATATAAACAGTTGTTATTTACATCAACAAAACTCACCTTCTTAACACCACTTAAGTGACATAAAGGGCCATTACTACCGCTTTCCCGTTTAAAATATTCTAATAAAGTTGCGATTAGTTTTTTACGGCTATTAAGCTATCTTCCTATTAAGTTACCCTTCGCACTAAAAAAGGTTCTAAAAAGAACAATGTTCAACTGCCAGGTCTGCTGGTAAACATTTTTAAGCTTAAAGTATCACAACACTATTTATTTAAACCAAGAACTCGTAATACAAAACTAAACTGTCAAAACAAATGACAATGTCAGGAAATAAATAAATAAAAGTGACAACTTGACATTTTTTAAAGCAGAGCTACCACCTGAATACCCAGCGCGAAATTTAAATTCCAGTTAGTCAGCCCAGCGCCGAATATGTCCATGGTTGGCAACAATAAATTTAAAAATCGCGCCCTCGTTTACGTAACTAAAAGTTTAATTGATATCAAATATACGTTAATAAAATACCTAGCATAAATATAATAATTATGTATGTTGGAATAAAAAAAAATATTAAATCTATAGGCAACATCGAGGAATTTTGCTTTTGTATTATTAAACTTGACAACATTGCTTTTTTTGCTTGCATCCTTTTCGCTGCTTCAGACCCGTTTGTCAGATAATCTACTCCTCTACCCTAAAACTACCAACATAATAAAAATCAAACAACTCTTACTGGAATATTAATCGCATCTTTGGCGCTGATACTTGTCACCAATCCAAAACTAATATTTGTGTCTGTAAAGTCAACTTTAACAACTGACAGTTGAAATCTTGATGGCAATATATAACACAAATACCACTGGCCTATAAAATCCTTCGATAGGAAGACAGATGTAGCGGGTCCGGCGGTAAAATTGTCTTTAAAAGAATAAGCGTCGCTCCAAATATATTCGAAACATATATTCGGGGTCGATTTTAGATGAGACATGTATTTGGAACAGTTAAAAAAAGATTTTGGGTGCGAATAATCTTTTTCCAGATAAGCTTTGTTTGATGCGGGTCCCAGCCATGGACTCTCTACAACAGCTGGAGATTGGCAACGACTGAAACAAAGTATACTCAGATATACCGGGTGCGTCTCAAAAGCGGCTCACCCCCATAACTTTTTTTTTATTTTTTCACATAAAAAAACGAGATTTAGTATGTTACTATATGACATAAATTAGGATCGATTAGCGTACTCAATTGTTTTCGATTACTTCCTGTTTCACCGGAAGTGACTAAAACTTTTTATTTTTAAATGGCACCATCAGTATCTTTTTACTTTATTCGACAGAAGATGACATGACCCTGAATAAAATGACGTATCACACGTCAACTTTTGACATTTTCGCATATGGTTGATTTGAAATTGTAACATGCGGTTCATAACGACATTTTGACTCGAAATACCAAGTGTGTGGTACCAAATCATTCGTAAAAATATGTATTTTCCAAATATGCTAATGAGCTACCCCTGTTCTATTTAAAAAAAATGAGATATGATTGAAAATACGATGTGGGCATCTTTTAACTGGACAGGACAAGACACGAAAAATATTAGACAATCAAATCTATTTTTCCAAGGCTCCTTTATTAAAAATTAGTGTTTTTTAATAGCGATGGGAACTATCGAATGAATTAGACTATCGAATGGTTACTGAATGTATGATTTCAACTATCGAAGGGTTTTATTCGAATAAAATCATTCATTCATTTGTATACTAAAGCATATATGACAGCCTCGCCGTGCGACTAAATGGTTATCGTTGAGCCACTACTATCGAATGCTTTTGATAAATGAAATTTAGTATTCGTTTGATGTACGTCAGTGCATTATTAGTTCTTCCAAATTTTTATAACTTTGCCTTATAAATACTGTGCTATTTTTGCGTTTATTAAAATATTTAAAATACTAAAATAGTAGTTTTTTTAACTGACGATTGTGTGCGTGTGCAGGTGGTCAAAATTTTTCCGAAAATTTGTGTGACTTTCCGTAGCCCGATCTTTCAATTATTTAATTTTATATGGTATATGGTCTATTTTTTAATGGGAAATTTTGAGAAGTAGCAATTTTTAAGAGAGATAAAATAAACTTACCTTACAATTAATTTTAAAAATATATATTTGTATTTTAATAATATGAATTAGTTGAACTTAATAATCATTTTTAAGTAATGTGGTTAAGTAAATGGTTATCGAACTCAAACTATGGGGTCAGAAAATTAAATTGAAAGTTTTACACGTGCCAATTTAAAAAAAAAGTTAACGATGTTTGTATTTTGTTTATGCTAATTCTCTTACATGTAGTTTTTTACGAAGAAATATTTCATTTATTTTTTAAAGTAAATGCCAGTAAAAGGAAATATTATTTTTAAATAGTAATATAAAGTACCTAATAATATAAATAATTTTGACATCTAACTTGTTGTTTATATTTTGCTACTACTTAAAAAAATGTTTATATTAAATGATTTTAAATTTTGTTGTTAATACAACAAATCATTTTCCTACATCGAAAATAACAAGTATTATTGCAGTGTAACAACAGAATATTAATAAAAAAATGCAAAATATAAACACTAAAGACATACTATCCCTAACTAACTAAAGCCAAACAATAATATTCTTTGCTAATATCAACTAATACCAACATATGGCAACAGCGCTCTTGTATTTTCTGTATAAATACTAGCACCCCAATAAAAAAAATAATGTGTCCTTATATTTATCTGACTCTGCAAAAAATCAAAGATGCCGGCTTCTTTCATAGCATTGCCACCGACCGCTCGCTGTCGGGTTTCTCGGAAAGAAACCTACGTCGCCGGGCGACAACTAGAATCCAGTTAATATTTTATTATAGTCAATCCTGACGAATAAATGAATTTTATAAATGAATGGTTTTTGCTGCTAAATTACTAGAATACAATATTTCAAGGCAGATGACGCATCTGTTCGATAATTTTTATTCGAATAGTTTTCAACGAATGTTTTCTTACTAGCTATCGAATTATTCAAATGAATTGCAACTATCGAATGTTTCGATAGTATTCATTCGATAGTTCCCACTATAGTCTGTCGAACGACAAAATCCTTGACTGTGATTGATGTGTCTGTCATTTTAATTTCAAAGTAGTTTATTTTATTTTACAAAGAAATAAGTTGGTACAATTGGAATGCATAATTAATATATTTAAATTTTGAGTGACAAATGATTACTTCAAAATATTGTAAAAAAAAATTGTATAAAACTGAAAAAATCTAATCTTGGTTAATTAACTTTATTCTTTTTTTTTCTGCAGTACTAAAATGTATTATTTAACTAACGTGTAATGTTATTTTACAGATACTCCAGTTTTTTGGTACCATATACGAGATGGTATCTTTGTTTGTGGCTAATACAACTTTCTGGCGATAGTCTCTGGCAAATTGTGTCTCTAGAGGTGTGCTCTCTGTGCACCGAATATTAACTGTAAACTATGGTCTGGGTCAACACTTAATTTTCCCTCGAGTTTTCCTCCACTTAATTTTTAAAAACACGAAACACAAGCAACGACACAGTCCAAAATGCAAAACGCAACATATTTATCATTTCTATTTGACATAATTTGACACAAAATTATAACCTATAATTTGGCAAGAGTTTGACACAAAGACTAAAGAATATAAGGACATGTAACGCCCCTATACGGGCTGCAGCAGAATTTGTGACCTTAGACGCCTTTTCTTTTGGTGGCAAACAATGAGTCATCAGTTGGTCACCAGCGACAATTTTAGCAATTTTTAATAGTTCGTGGGTAGTGAACTTTGTATAAACTTTATTACAATGCTGATTAGTTGTTGAGCTTTCAAATGTAAAAGCAGCAGTGACGAGAAAGAGCCAGGAGTTATGTTTCATAGGTAAATAAACAGTCCGCTCCACCTTTTTAGCGTTTTCTTAAGTTTTCTTATTGAATTCGATAATTATTTTTCTGATATTATATGTACTTGATGTGTGCTATACGTCGATACTAGTTTTGTACCTTTTGTTAACATTTTAATACGTTTTTTTCGTAATTAATTAGTATGATGCCACCGCCTACATCATAGGCGTAGTCAAAACATTTATCAAAAATATAAATATCCCTTCAACTAGCTAAGTTAGGAAAAAAATATGGCCACGGCACTGTTTGGTGCCATGGTAACAATTTGCTCTCGGGTGTTATTTGTCGAGTTCATACGCATAGGCGTCCGTTTGTCGTTCATCGTTGCGTCAAACCAATAATATTTAAATATGATCTGTCATTTTTGAAATAAACCAATAAAACTGGTTAAAAACAACAAGAGACGACGCATGACGTATTTATTTATAAACCCATCCATAGTTAACTTAAAAAATATTAGAAATTTTTTTTGGTGAAATAAATGGATTGGTATGGAAGTCATCTGCTTTTTTTCTGTCATCGTCTGTCGAAATCTTACCTGAGAAAAAAACAGAGTATACTGAATTTGCATAGCCTAACTTTTTTATCAATAAACTTCAGATTATTTAATTCCTTTTGTTTCCGTTTGTAATTTTATTTTTAAGACATATTATGTGATTGTTTCACATAATATGTTTTAAAAATAAAATTGCAAATAGCGAATAAAAATAATTAAAATAAAAAAGTGCATTTTACAATTCCCCCCGGCCCCGCACCCCTTTGGCTAACCTATAATGTCAGCTATGTCGAGAGATGGCGTTACAAAAATGGAACCGATTTATTACAAGGGACTTGGGCTTCTTTTTCGTTAGTATATTCTGTGTATCTATTTTTATTCTTAATCTAAGATTGTGCAGTTTATTATATGAAATTAATGTACAGGACAATATTTAACTGTTCCCAAGATTGCAATTTAAGCAAAAAGATATATTTTTTAATTCAAAATTATAAAAACAATACATTCAATTAAATTTAACCAATTATGTAAGTTAATAACATTTTTGTGCCTCCTCGAAAATTGTTTTTCTGGAGATAAGAGGTATTGTTTAAGAAGCATCGATATGTCTCAGAGAAATAAGTAAATATAGAAAGGCCTTAACAAGTGAGTAAGTTTGCAGTTAATTACAATACCCATATATTAAAAAATAAAAAAATATATTAAAATAGATTTTCAGTAACTGACGTCTAGAGATTGACCTCGCTAAAATCATTATCGATTGTCATTCCCCAGCCGTCTTTGACGCCTTTTATCATAGGATATATCTACACATTAGATTTTCTCATTAATTTTTATGTATAAACAAAGTTTCGACATTCCTGTAAAATATAGCAACATTACAAGATATAAACAGAAACGTGAAGACTATATCAACAATAATTTTAAATCCTTTCTAAGTTTACTTATCTCTGAGGTAAATTTTTACCTCATAGTTGCCATAGAACAGAATGACTTGGTTTTTTGGTGAGCAACAGGATGCTTCTCGTGCGGTGTCGGTTTCTTGTTAATGGGACTGGGAGTGACCAAACTGCCACTCGTCATCAGATTGTCCCACATTGACAGACGACTTTTTAACTTAAAATAGGAGAAAAAATACATCTAGTTTTGATTCACCTCATACAAACAACCTATGGTGCCTCTTATACTAAGCAGAGGCTCCAAGGAGTATGACAGTTTGTATTGAAAAGAAATTTTAGCAGTATAAGTAGATTCATTTAGAACCTTTTTTTAATATACAGGGTATTTAAAAAAAACACGTGCCGTGGAGATATTCCTCTCATAAAGAAAATATTTAATTTTTATATCTCACAATATAAAACCTGATACGGAGTTTTTTATGCAATACTGAGTCACCCTGTATATCACAATTAAAATATGTTTAATTTTAAAGCTTACCTTTTGAGAATTATAAACAGCAGAATGAGAACCAGTAACATTCTCTCCATAGTCTTTTTCATCTTGTCTTACTTTTCTTATTTTATAAACAACGTGTTCCTTTGTAACAGTGTCAAATATCATACAAATACTTGGATTATTACTCGTAAAAACAATCTTACAATTAGAGTTCATAAACCTTGTTATAGTGTTATTACGATTTGTCACTACTTGGCATACATCATCTAATGGATAAGCCAGTGAAAATATTGGGGCTGTATAGTCTTGTCCATATTTCTCTTCATTTTGACCTAAGTACAAAAATTTATAAGTTTTTATATAATATTTATTTATGCATAATTATAACTACCATCCAGACTTTTTTCTATAATAATACCATATTTTGTATTCCATATTTTTTCAATACGAAATGGCATTGGTATAACAAACTGTTCTCCCTTAACAACAAATACTCTGATATTATTTTTATCTACTAAGCATATAGCAGGTGTAGGTGTCCCTAAATAAACAAGTTGTTATACAGTTACAATACATATTTTACAATAAGATCTTTTGTTGCTACCTGCATATTCTTTATTCTCTTGAATATCAATGTTGTTAGACTCAAAAATGGGACGTTCGCAATAAAAAACTACCCATAAAGCTTGTTTGATTGGCAATGGAACAGTATAAGAAGAAATAATCTGAAACTATATATTAATTTCTTCCTCTAAAATATTTCAATATATTTACAGTTCTTCCATTATCTTCCCGATTATCACTGTTAAGCAGGCCTCTGGACCAAACTGCTGTGTGGCCTTTGACATACAATTCATCTTCCATAAATCCAGGGCTTATTTTTGATTTCAAACTATTGTCTGTTATATTTGTGGCATGCTGTTTTTCACCAGATTGAAATCTTTTGTTTGAAGTTCGAGTACTGGTATCTGATACTCTTTTATTGATAACTTTTTGATGAAAACTAGTATCTGATGTTTTAAAACTATTGCTATCATCCACCAAATCAGTATAATCCATGACATAAGATACACTTGCCAACGAAGTGTAACTTTTATGTTCTGATTTTGATTCTGTTTTATTAATACTACAAATAAAATTACTGATAACTATTCAGACCAAGTATTACTACAAAATACCATTTATTAATTTCATTGTCAGGCGCTCTTCGCAAAATCCAGAATTCGCTTAATTTATTTTCTGACAAGGATACTTTCTCTAATCCATTTTGAATGAATTCATCAAAATTTTTATCCTTTCTGAGAGGTGGTTCTAATGGACCCGGGTGGCGAGCTATTTGCTGCCGACCACGAGGTACAAATTCCTAAAAATAAGAATCATTACTGCAAATCTATAATCTATTACTGAAAATTTCACGTTCAAAATATACCTGTGGATCAGAGGCAGCAATCATGATATCCAATTTATCATCCAGATTTGCAAAATAAATTGCAGTTTGGTAATATGGAAGTGAACAAAAGTGAAATAAAGCTATATTGAAAAAAATATGGACTACTATTTAACTCAAAAAATAGAATATTTTCTTTTAAATATAACGACAATTTCTTTCAAAGTATTTGGAGGTTAGTAGCTTTGGTTTTGTAATGGCTTTGGTTAGTAGTTAGTAGTAAAAAGTAAAAAGGTGGTAATAGGGTGTAAAGAAATATCGAACTTTTAATCATATCGATATATTTGAACTGATGTATCCTTGTTGTATCCAAATATTTTCTTTATTAAATTAAGGGGTAATGAGGTGTGTGTATAAATAATTTAGGAATACAATTATTTTTGTATTTATGTAATTCGAAAACAACATTTTTAAAGAAATTGACAGACCTTTCTCATTTTAAGATGAGTGTAATAAAAACTAATATGAATATGTCTTTTCTGAAAATTAACCATCTCTATTAAATAATGTCAAAAAGTCGTTCAAATGGGTCAATCATATTCTTTGGAGTCTTTTATATGATGTCAATCAACTCGCTATATATCCTTGATAGGTAGCAAGAAGTAAAAATCTATGTCAAATCTGTGGTTGTCCATATTTTAAACCGTAAATATATAAATGAAGAAGAACAACACTTTTGCTCTGTGGTTACGGTTCTTTTAAGACCTGAAATATGTAAAAGAAGAAGACTGCAAGTGGCTCCATTGTGGAAAGTGAGAAAAATTTGAACTAAAGTATTTACATGGTTGCCAACAGTTGCCAAGATACCAACGAAATCCTAAAATTAATCTAAATTCTTAAATCTTTATTTTTGTAAATCTAAAATGAATTAAACCGTTACACAATCATGATAAATCTAATAAACATATAATCTAATATTAATAACTTTGGTAACTAATAGATAACAGAGATAGATAACCAAAATTTATTGAAACATGGAGAAATAAGAGTCTCTCCTATTAGATTAGGTCTTTGAATAGATATATCCAAATATCATAAACTTAAAATAATACAGCATAATAGTAAAAATTAACTTATTTCAACACCACTTGATGCTATACAAAGTCTAGATAAGAGACCGGACATTTGAACCAGCGTAGTTAAACCCTCTACTATACGTTTATGAGTAATACCTATTTCCTAAAAACAGATTATCAGTTTTAAAACATTTAGAATTTTTTAGGATATATGTTTTTACCTTGATAAAAGCTAATTTTAATGGCTCCTCAATGTCCAAATTTTTACACACTTTAAATATATTTTTGATAATATCCTCTGCAGCATATCCGAGATTCCAAAAATGTTCCATTACCTATAATTAAAACAAGAAGTAATATACACTCTAATATATGAATTTCAGTTTTACATACTTTATAAGCCTTCCGAATATCACCCACTGAACAAGATTTTAACATTTCTTTAATTAACATTGGATGAGGCTCATCACAAACTTTAAAAACATTTTCAGACTTAACTATATCAAAACCATTATGGGTTGACTGGAGATTGTTTAAAGCTTGTCTCATATCACCTTGGGCAGTAAAAACAATAGCTTCCAGACCATCTTCAGTATAATTTACCTTTAAAATAAAACATATATTGCATAAAAAAATAATTGATTTTTTAAAATTACATTTTCTTTCTGGCAAATTTGAATTACTCTTGCCAATACTTGTGCGTCAGAGAGTTTTGTATATCGTAAGATAGCACACCGGGATTGAATTGGCTCAATAATCTTTTCACTATAGTTACAAGCTAAAGCAAATCTTGTGGTGTTGCTGTAAATCTCCATAGTACGTCTGAGAGCTTGTTGTGCACCTTCAGTCATACTAAAAACTAAACATGTAGACTGTTTTAATACCTAATATATATTATATTCCTTACCTATCTACTTCATCTAATATAATGATTTTATGCCTGCCAGGGGGTAAAGTGACTTTTTGTTGAGCAAACATTTTTATTTTGTTTCTAACTACATCAATGCCTCTATCGTTCGAAGCGTTTAATTCAAGTACTGCCTCTTTAAATGCAGAGCCCAACAATATCTTCGCTAAACATAGAATGGTAGTAGTCTTTCCTACACCTGGTGGACCCTAAAAAATAAACAAACTTAATGCAATATTCCCAAAAATATAAATAACATTACCGCAATGATAATATTAGGCACATTGCCCTTTTTAGCGAATATTGAGAGGCGTGTTGTAGTTTCTTCATTACCCATGATCTCTTCGAAGGTTTGAGGTCTATACTTTTCTATCCTAAGAATATTTTAAATATAGTATTATAAGATTTTATTTAAAACATCCCTACCAAGGAAGGTTAGAAGTCTTTTTTGATACTTCAGTGGATTTCGATGTTCCTGGTTGTGGCGAGTCCGTTTCCATCATTTCACAAGTGTCTGCCATTTTTGAAAACCTATTTATTGAAATTATAAACCTTAAAACAATTAACTCTTTTTATATTTTTTATTTTCTTATTTAAAATTATTTCCCTCCAAAAATGGTCACTTGTCACTTTGACAATTTTGACAGTACCAACGTTCAACCAATCAGAATGTTTTGTATAAAACATTTGAACTATTCCAGATTCCAGTCGGACAAATATCATACAAATATTTCTCTGAAATGTCAAATAGTTTCGTAATCTTCGTTTCTGTGGGAGTCCGTCTTTAAAATTTTAAATGGCATTTTTAATACGTCAAAATAAGAAATGTTTACAACATTTTCAGGTCGCTTTAAAAGTGTGTCGGTATTATAACGGTAAAGCTATGCCCATTACTGAAGAACACATTAGGAGTAAGTTACAAAAGGAACTCGAAGCAGCATATGTGGTAAGTCTGATAAATTTCTTATTTTATCATTTCTATCTGTCAAAAAACTAACCCTTTTCATCGATCTCGTTTTCCGCCAAGCTATTCCTAGTTATCCGTCCCTTTTGCCACATCAGTACGAAGAAAATAAGTTATTTTTATAAGTAGACGTATCAGTCAATAGGAATTACAAAGTTTTTTCCGCAAAAAGAACATGCATAATGCTTCTGTATTGCAAAATTAGTAGTGAGATTTGGTTGGTAATATTCAGTACCATTGTCGCTATTTTATTGAGATGTTGCACCAGTCTTCATTCATACTCAGGAGAAGGAACACCTCCAATGTATGGAGATTATGAAGCACAAAGACATTGGATGGAAATAACAACAAATTTGCATGTAACAGATTGGTATCAAAACACTACAGATAACCACCTCAACTACTGGGGATTGGACTACCCCCCCTTAACGGCCTATCATATGTTTTTATGTGGAAAAGTTGCAAATTTTATCAACGAGAATTTCACCAAGTTGCACGACTCTCGTGGTCATGAAAGCGAGACACATAAGTTGTTCATGAGATATACTGTGTTATTAAGTGATGTAGCTTTATTTATACCAAGTATAATTATTTATTATTACACCTGTATAATACCAGAGAATAAGCAAGATAATGTTAAAGTTAAAAATCATCAAAAACCTAAAAGCAATATAAAACTGACGATAATAGACTCTTCACTTTCAGTGATTTTAGCTTTGCTTTACCCAGGAATAATTTTAATTGATCATGGCCATTTTCAGTATAATTCTATATCTTTAGGACTGTTTATATTTGCTACTATATTTATTTTACACAGAAAAAATATCCTTGCTTCTGTATTTTTTAGTTTAGCACTAAATTACAAGCAAATGGAGCTGTACCATTCCATACCCTTCTTTCTTTATCTCTTAAGTATTTGTGTTCCAAAGCCTGGTCAAGGTACTATTTCTGGATTGTTTAGACTTATAAAGATAGGCTTAACTGTAATAATTACTTTCACCATAATTTGGTTACCGTTTATTTTTGATTTGGGCGTGTTCTTACAAGTTTTGCATCGTCAATTTCCCATTGCTCGAGGAGTGTTTGAAGATAAAGTATCGAATGTTTGGTGTGCTTTAAATATATTTTATAAATTTAAAAATCACTTTGATAACCATCAAATGATGCGTTTGTGTTTGTTTACCACGTTGTCAGCGATCCTTCCATCAAGTGCAGACTTATTTCTTCGGCCAAATATTAAGAAATTTGTATTGTCTTTGATCAACTCGTCCTTAGCTTTTTTCTTGTTTAGTTTTCAAGTACACGAAAAAACAATACTTTTAGTTGCAATTCCGGTACTTCTTTATTTTCCGTATTCACCCTTTGTTTGTTTGTGGTTTTTATATATTTCAATTTTTAGTATGGTACCTTTAATAATTAAAGATAAGCTACTTATAGCACTTATAGGTTTAACTGTATTTTATATGATATCGTCACGAATTTGTCTGGAACATGCTGTGAAAAACTCTTTTAAAACAAACACTGGCTTGTCAGAGTATTATAAAAGACTAATTAATGCCTTATTTCGTAATGACCCTAAAAATAACGCTAAAATAGAAGCAATTGCAATGTTTACATGTCAACGAGTATTAAAAAATAAAAATAACGCCAAAATAGAAACAATTGCAATGACATATCAACGAGTGTTAAAAAATAAAGAAGCCTTATTTGCTTTAATTCTTCACTTGAGTTTGTTGTTTTCTGTTGTAGGGTCGATAACGTTGTTTTTATTTAGTGTAATTTGGGAACCGCCCATAAAATACCCAGATTTATATCCTTTGTTAATTTCTCTTTATTCTTGTGTACACTTTTTGGGATTCTTTGTATATTTTAATGTAAAGCAATTTAGTATACCTCAAGAATTTGATGATATTAAATATGTTAAAGTTAAAGCTTCATGAAAGTATTGGTAAATAAATATGTTAAGTAGTGAATTATAAAATTTGAGAATAAATTTTTTAATGTTAATAGTGTTTATTTTTTATTTAAAGTCCTATTTATTAAATGTTTGGGGGTACGACAGTAATATTAGTACTGTATAAAATTTATTAATCTGTAAATATACTGTGCAAAATGTGATTTTTTTTTTATAAAACTCAAAACCTTTAAACTCCTATAATAATTCATTGGTTGTCTTAATTAATTATTATACAGAGTAGCTACACTAAAAAAAATACATGCAAACCTAAATATTAATATTAGCTGAAATTCGAGAATAAAATGCTGTTGTTTGAAAGATATCTAAAATCTTGTGGGAAACAAAGATGTAATGCCATTAAAAGCTCCGATTAAAATGAAAATATGGATATATAAAATTATTATTTTGTGCCACCTTGCAATGAAAAAGAGAAAAGTTAATGATTATTACGTAAAGATATCGCATTTATTTGAAATATTTATTTTAGTAAAAGATTTTGTAATGTTAAATCACTGCTTACAGCTAGGAGTAACATTAGCATTCATTTAGGTAAATCGTAACGACCGACGTATTGACGCATTTTGTATGGTTTGCTTTTTTTAGGAGGTCATAGATCATTCGGATGGTTGTGGAGAGAAATTTTCGTGCCTAGTTGTATCTGATAAGTTCAAAGGGAAGCCTCTGCTACAGAGACATAGGTAAATATAATTATAAAGTGTTGATATCTCCAAAAAAATCCTTTATGGGTATTTCGCCACTGCACTGCAAGAAAAATCTACAAAATAAAATAGTTATTTTTTGTAAACACTTCTGCGTTAAACCTAAACGGACACTGCTTGTCAGAAGTTATGTTTACAGTAATAAAAATTTGCCTAACAAAGCAAAAAAAGCTTAACGTTTCGGAAAGTTTATCTCTTTTCGTCGTCGGAAGCAAAAAATACAAAGAATAAAAAAAAACTATTTAAAATATTTAAATTCAACTATTCGAGAACACTTTACTTTTTTCAAAACAGATACGTCTACAAGAAACCGTTGACGTTCTGTTAAAATTCACCGGAAATAACTACAACTTTTGATTTTTAAAAACATTAGTGTTTACAAAAAATAACTATTTTATTTTGTAGATTTTTCTTGCAGTGCAGTGGCGAAATACCCATAAAGGATTTTTTTGGAGAGATTAATCCGCCACATAGGTATAGACCAGGTATAGACATTTTTTAAAGTGTTGATAGTTACAAAGGAAAAAATCAAAAATTAATTAAGGTATGAGACACACTAAATATACAGCAATATACTTTACGTGGGTTTAAGTTTTATGAAATTATTGTATGGATAATAGTATGAATAATTTAATATTTTAACTTATATCCTCTTATATTAACCACCATAAAGTATACAGGGTGGCGCACCTTATTCGCCTCGGTTGATTATACGAAAACGGAAAGATGTAGAAACATAATTTTTTATGGGTATATGTAGACAGGCAATGTGCATAATTTAAAATCATTTTCAAATGTACAGAGTGTGTCACTAAGATTTATACCAAAGGTATATTTTTTCTTATGGAACATCCGGTATTTTATTTCATTTTTGGATTCTTGGGCATAAAATAAGGCATTTATTATAAGGGTTTAACATGCTTTGGTTTTCGAGATATTTAAAGATATTTAAATATGCATGCTATAATAAAAAAAATTGTCAACACCCTGTACATTACTTTTCAGAGTTAATTCTAGTGCTGACTCTGAAGCCAGGGAAATAAACTTTACTAACAAAATGTATTGCTTCCATAAATGTATACAGGGGTATCAAAAATCGCTGGTCTATTTTAAATATTTATTTTACATAAAAACCTCGTTATTTCAAATACAACACCCTGTATTTTTTAAAATAAATCCAAGCAGATTTAAATGCTCTTTCAAACTGTATTAGGGTTTCCTATACCTACTTGGCTCTGATTTTGAATAATAAGCGATTTTTCAATAAAATTGTAATCAAGATGGCTGGTGTCGCCATGGCAATTTTCTAGTGACACTTACTAACTATTTTCAAAATCGACATTAGTTTATGGACTTCATTTAAATTTATAACAGTTTACTTTTATTTAATTTTTCTACAATAGTCTAAAAAGTAAGTATTCATTATTTTATTGAGAAAAATAAAGAAGTAGTTCTTTTTGATTTATATTACGATGACTAGTAGAAATTGGATTTTCAATAAAAGAACCAATTAAGGTAAATTAATTTCCTTCACTTCCAACGACAGGTTTCTGCCTAATAGGTCTTTCATATACCACAGTATCAGCTCTGCGAAATAGGAAAAGTTGTTTTTCAAAGATACACTTGTCAAGAAAATTTCTATTTGGATATTTTTAAGCATAAACCCTTCAGGCTAGCCTCCCCCCCCAAGCAATTGTCTTCAAAAATCCTGCATAAACTTAAGAAAGCAATAACACTTTTCTGTAAAGTTTGTCTCTACCTTTAAATCAACAGAAGAATTAATTCTGAAAAGTAATGTACAGGGTGTTAATAATCCATTCTATTGTAGCATGCAAATTTAAATATCTTTAAATATCAAAATAACAAAAACCAAAGATTTTAAACATATTTAACCCTTATAATAAATGCCTTTTTTTGGGCCCAAGAATCCAAAATTTAAATAAAATACCGGGTGTTCCATAAGAAAAAATATAACTTTGGTATGGATCTTAGTTCTGCCACACCCTGTACATTTCAAAATAATTTTAAATTATGCACATTGCCTTCCCACATGTACCCATAAAATATTTTGTTTCTACATCTTTCCGTTTTTTGTATAATCAACCGAGGCGAATGAGGTGCGCCACCCTGTATAAATATATAATAAAGAACCAGTTTGTGTTACGTCAAATCGCGGTAAAATACATTTGTGTGCAAATGTATATGGTGTGTTCAGCGAAAAAATTTATGACAGTGACAGTTGTCCTTGACAGATGATGCACTAGTGGAGAGTTTTTCACTAAAAATAAACATATATACTTTACGAAGGAAGGCATCTATTCATGCATTGTAAATGGTACATTTTTGTTTTAGATTAGTTAATAATATTCTACAAGAAGAATTGAAAAATATACACGCCTTCTCGCAACAGACGTTGACGCCCGAACAGTGGGCCGAACGGCAGTAAGACATGTCAAGTTTGGGTAGTAAATCTTTTAGCTATAATAAAATTCGAAACGGTAAGTTTTTCTAAATTTTTCCTGTTTAGCCTCTACGGGTGCGTCTCAAAAATGGCTCACCCCTATAACTTTTTTATTTATCAGATAAAAAAACGAGATTTGGTATGTTAGTATATGACATAAATTAGGATTGGTTGAAGTATTCAATTATTTTTGGTCACTTCCAGTTTCACCGGAAATAACTACAACTTTTTATTTTTAAATAACACCCTCGGTATTTTTTTACTTTATTCGATAGAAAAAGACACTCTGAATAGAATGACATATCATATGTCAACTTTTGACATTTTCCATATGGTTTATTTGAAATTATAACATGCGGTTCATACCAAGTGTGGGGTATCAAATTATTCACCAAAAAAATATTTTTCCAAATATGCTAATGAGCAACCTTTGTTCCATTTGAAAAAATTGAGATATGATTAGAAATACGATTTGGGCATCTTTTAACCGGTCAGGACAAGACACAAAAAACAGTAGACGATCAAATGTATTTTTCCAAGACTCCGTGACTAAAAATTAATGTTTTTAACACAGCCACGGCACTCTAAAATGAAATTTAAAATACGATTTTTTAAGCGAAAATGTCAAAAGTTGACATATAATATATCGTTCTATTGAGAGTGTAATTTTCTATTGAATAATTTGGTACTACACAGTAACAAAATACCGAGAGTGCTATTTAAAAATCAAAAGTTGTAGTCATTTCCGGTGAAACAGGCAGTGACCAAAACCAATTGAATACATCAATCAATCCTAATTTATGCCATATACTAACATACCAAATCTTTTTTTATCTGAAAAAAAAGTTATAGGCGTGAGTCACTTTTGAGATGCACCAGGTATAGTTTATATCATAGGATCGAAAAAAACGCGAGATTATTATGTCAATGATTATAATTTCCCAGCCAACGCCGTTTTTTGGATCCTTTGGTATTATTTGTTAATAAAATACAATTAAAATTTGTCAGTTAGGAGAATCATGTAATATCTATTATGGATATTAATAAATAATTATTAATACATATAATTAAAAAAAACATTTCTTTGAGATTTATAAAGAACTTTGCTTGTGCAACTATGCAATAAATATACCTGTATGATCTAATGAAAAAAGCGTGTCACAGTACAGACGTAGACATAAGTAATATGTTCTGTTAATGTGTCATAATGACATATATATTATCAGTATCAATAAGTTTGCGACTCTTTGTTGTAAAGAATAAGAAATCAATCAGTAAATAATAGTAATTTACACTAAATACATTTTAAGGTACTGAATTTAATGTTTCTGCTCCTGGCAAAGTAATTCTCCATGGCGAACACTCAGTAGTTTATGGGAAGCTAGCCATAGCTGCTAGCTTAGGACTCAGAACTAGGATAAATCTAGTTGAGATCGACAGTCCCGATAGTCTTGTTTTTAAAATTGTACCTATGGATTTTGAGCATATTTTTAGTCTAAAGGTAAATAAAAAAGTTCTTTTTTTCTTTTAAGAAACGTCAGCTTGACTACACAGTTAATTGTATGAACAAATGAAAGACCACGACTCCCTTGGTTTTCATATTTTTATGTTAGAGCACTTCTAGGTTTGCCTATTTCTCTGAGTTGGAAACTTTTTTAGCAGTTACTATTTCGTTATTTCAGGATATAGAAAAATTACTCTTAACGGAATCCCCTGCAATCAGTTCCGACGATTCAAAGTTCAACTGGGAAAATCCTAAAATGATAGAACACCAATCACAGTTGAGGATAGTGGAGACTGCCTTGGACGCCACTTTACAGTCTCATCGTAGCGGACGCTACGAAACAGCATTGAAATCTATAAAATGCTTGTTTTATTTCATTTCTGGTATTCTGTCGTCGACCGTTGTCAAATTGAAGCCGTTGCTGATTTGTGTCGATTCTGATCTGAAAATGGGAGCTGGAACGGGCAGTTCGGCAAGTTTCTCTGTTGCCTGTAAGTTTGTTTTGTTCAGATTTGTTTAGCTGTAAAACGTAAGCATATCGATAACTTGAGTCTTAAAACGTAGGTAATAAAATAGATTCATACTCGTAGTTGATAAATATCTCTATTCACGTTATTAGATATTTCATTGCATATAGACCACATGGATTTGCTTTTATTATCGGAGTTCCTTATTCTACTCTCATATACTTGTGATTTAGCCTTGATTAACAAATTATTATATTCTCTCTTTGTGGAGTTGTATATGTCTCTATATTTAATATCTTTCTTACTAAGAACTAACAATGTGTCCAAACAAAATAAAATCACGATCGCAAACCGCTTATTTTTAAAAGACTTTTTTTTCGAAAAGATAACTAGATAAAATTATTAGATATGTTTCTGAGCATCTGAAATGGAATTATAAGGATATCGAATAATATTAGGGTGTCCATATTTTTTATAACGAGAAAACGTCAGTAATCGCGATAATTTAAAAACTCAAACTTTTTAACACACAACACGCGATAACTCATGAACAACTTTAGATATTGATTTTTTTTTACTTTGAAGTTTGAATCTTTTACAAGATATTTTAAATGAGAAAAAATCAATAGGTTTGTTTTTTTTTCATTCAAAAATTTAAAAAAAGTCGTCCATTTGCTTTTAGTGCAGAGCAATTTTCAGCAATCGTGTAACTTTTTTATTTGTATAGATTTTCATATACTCTTAACAGAAATATTAAGAAAGTTTTTGAAAAAAACTACAATCAATTATTTATAATGGATTTCGAGATATCGATTTTTGAATTGAGAGTTCTAATAGCTCAACCACTGTCGAACAGCAACTCAATTCCACTTATTTTTAAAAAAAGTGCAAGTGCTTCTAACTTGCACTTAAAAATTTTCAAGCTATAGGTAAAATTACAACGATTCGTTAGTAAATAAACAAATAAAGTATCACGAGAAGTAATTAAATCGTAAAGCTGAATACATGATATACACCCTTCTCTAGAATTTTAAAGTACTGATTGGGTCGACCGGTCGACCGCGACGAATCTGCTGTATCCCCTTCCACGTCTCTTAGCAATGTGCATTCTCGGTTTATTTAATACGTTTGGCAACGTTTTTACTATTCTCTCTTTGTTCAGTACATTATAAACGCATTGTACTCTTCTAAAAGACGGTCCACACTTGCTATATAGCAAAGTTATATAACATGTTACATATTTTTTAGTCATATTTATCAAATTTCGCTGCTATATAACTTGCTAGATGTTATCCATTTGTAGTCGGTAAAGATCAAAGGATGTTGTGCAACACTGCTATTAATTGTAACATGAAACAATGCGTCCAGACTTGCTAAATTTCTAGTTTAGCCGCTCATATTTTCAGGGACGTGCGCGACAGAGTCTTAGTGTGGTAAGCTGATATTGGTTTTTTATTTAGTGGTTAATAATATGCCGTATGGTCAATAATAACGTCCGCATGATCGAAAAAAAAAACTGTGTCCAGTCGGCCTCTCGTCCAGTTGGCTCTGACATGACGATCGATGACATTCCCCATATAATTTTCCATATAAAATGACAGCGATCTTCATTTCATAGCCATCGCTGACGCCATTTTTTTTTTCGATCGGATGGTTCTTATATAATTAATGGAATAGAGCCAAGAGCAGACTTGTCAACTAATTAAGTTGTATAGAGATCATACTGTGTTATGGGATATCCGTAGTCCCTCATTTAAAGTGAAATAAAAAAAGCATGATGCATGGTTAAAAATTGCTAAAAGTATGTATTTGGAAAGAGAAAAGTTGAGAAAAAATGCGTTGTCTAATAGGCCAGTTCCAGAGGGAACAAAAGAAATGCAAATCAGGTACTGGTTTAGATAAAGTGGAAAATTCAAAATGGTTTGCTTTTAAGTTATTAATGTGTTTAAAGACAGAAACACACCACCAGAAACAGCCGCGGTAGGTATTGAAAAGGTAAGCTAATTGAATTCAACTATATCTAGATCTTACTTGTACGCTATGGCGGACTCAAAACCGTTTTTTTTTCTCGACTTTCTTTTTCTTTCTTCAAAAAAAATTACGCAATCCGCTGCTGCGAGCTGAACTTCTTTTTTGCCAAAACGATTCATGTTTACGAAAACTATAATGTGGACGGCTCCCGGTATTTTAACATGTGATATGTAACTTGTTAAATAGCAATGTTATATAACATGTTACTAAATGTGGACTCTCCTTAACATACGGAAATCTCAACCCAAAACTAACCTTTGCCAGCCCTTAGTATATCTACAAAAAAATATACAGAACAATCTACTAGCACTGGTCATTTTATTTCCGTGGTCTGTATTTGTGTGCATACGACAGAGATAAATATATACGACCAGTTATAGAGACAAAATAAACAGCGGCCTACAGTGTTGTCGGTGAAATTACATAATAAACAAAGATAATTTATTTATGTAAGCTATTAAATAATAGTGGTAGTAATCGTATTTTGCTAGTATTAATAAACAAAAATGTTTTTAGTGGCAACAACTCTTATTCATTATCTGAAACTGGCTACTCTCGATTTGGACAATGTTTCTAAGAAAAACTTCAAACCATCATCATGGACTCTGGAAGAAATAGAACGGCTGGATGGGCTTAGCGATCGCCAATTAAAAGCAATATGCACGTGGGCTTTTTGTGGAGAAAACCTGTTTCATGGAACACCATCAGGTAATCAAAACATCCAAGCATATTTTAAGTAATTATATTAAATTGGGTAATTATACTGCACAATCATAGGATATATTTTAATCCTATGATTGAGCATTATTTAATAAATATGTGATATTGGAAATATAACTCTTCCTAATATTATTTTCTTCATTTTAAGGATTAGATAATACTATATGTACATACGGCAACATGGTTAAGTTTCGTAGAGGCGAACAACCCACCATCCTCAAACTCTCCAATGCCTCATTCGACGTCCTTCTCATCGATACTCACGTGGCACGCGAGACGTTCAAACTGGTGGCCCGCGTTGCCAAACTTCGCGAAGCTTTTCCCGCTCTCGTCTCGCACATACTGGACGCAATGGAGGATCTGACAACGCGTGCGGCCGATCTTATTGTCGGTATTGACGGCGCCACCGAAACACCTTTGGATGACTTCCACGACTTGGCAACGCTGGTGCAAATGAACCACGGGCTGCTGTGCGCACTGGGCGTGTCGCATCAGAAACTGGAAGAGGTTATCATGATATTAGAAAAGCATGAGTAAGTACCATATAATCGAAAAAAATAGCTTCAGAGTTTGCTTAATTTTTATGAGTTCCTAACATTTTAGACGATAGTAGATATAATTTTAATACATTTTGATTTATTTAGTCTCAAAGGAAAACTGACAGGAGCTGGAGGTGGTGGATTTGCGATTGCGCTGTTGCCGCCTGACTACGATCCAGAAGAAGTGGTGCGTAAATTGAACGAGAGAGACTTTGGAGTGATGTGTACAAAGTTGGGTGGTGAGGGGGTAAAAATTGAGTAATTTTATTGTGTTTGTAGCTTGAACTTTTTTACATGCATAAAATAAATAAATAATTTCATTAATTATTTTTATTGCGTTTTGCTTTCTTTTACACAAATTTTAAATTTATTACATATACCGATTTGGTCATTTTAGAAATGTGGTCTGTATTTTAACGTGTAAGACAGTGATGTAGGCAGCCTAATGGAAAAAGAGATAAAAGTTCGGTTGACACATTTCTTCAATGCGGTATTGCCGCATTTTGCATCAAAAGTTCAAAGGTTCAAACCGCACAAGGGTTGGAACCATATTCTTCACAATTAGTTACTCATTTTACTACAGATGTAATAGATTATATTTAGCTTAGATATATTATCTTCATTTCAGTAGTATACATGACAATTTTTAAATTGGTTTATTTTTTTCCACACCACACTTAAAATCCAGACCACACTTCTAAAATGACCAAATCGGTGGGTACCTATAATTTAAAAGATTTTTAAATACAGTTTATTCGATTTGGCCATTTTTAGGCATAATCCTACTAATAATTTTTTTAAAGCTGAAAAAAGTATTTTTTAATACAAGGGTAAATGAAAAGACTGTCTAACGAATCAGTGAAGATTTTGACAATTACCTACCATCTAAAATATGACAGAGAATGCAATTTTACCTGCGGTGGGATTCTGTAAGCTCCATAGCAAGAAATTTCCTGTCTAGCCTATGCTATTTGTATACGATTGATGAGTCACTAGACAGAAAATATGTTTACAGAATCGCTAGCCTGGTTGTCTCGATGGAAGGACTTTACTTTTATTCAATGTATTTTAGATAAATTATACTTAATTTGGTCTATAGAATGTCTTCTAAATACGGCTATAATAAGATCTAACTGGAACTGCTATTATAGTGAGTTAAATAAAATTATGGTAAAGTAGAAAATTGTTGTGGAGTAACATCAATATATTTTAATACGGGCAATAAAGCTTGATTTTCATGCATCTGTTGTCCGACGATACCAAAGACGATACGATGATACGATATGAATTTTATTGGTTGAATTTAAAGACTTCGATTGGTTAACCATTTCTAACCAATCGAAGTTTTTAAATTCGACCAATAAAATTAATATCGTATCGTCGGATAACGGATGCATGAAAATCAAGGTTAATGCGAAGTCAGTTACGAGGCACAATTGTATACACACTGTCTAGTTATTTTTTGTTTGACTAAGATTTCCTCTAGAGGATGTCGAAACGAGAAAACTCTCATGATTTCTACTATATAATAAAATGTTTTTTGAATTTAGGCAACTCAATATACAGAAACAGTTCTTCCAAAATTGTTGAAATAGGTTTCTAAAATAATTTTTGTTACTTATCTCTATTTTTCTTTAAATCATAGGAATTTCGTAATTACTGTGACAATACCCTTAGATAGAGATTTCTAAAAATTAAGAATAATTATGTAATACAGAAAAAAAATTAAAATGTCAGTAGAGTCACAGAATATCTAGCTACGCAACAGAAAAATACTCGAAATGAAAGAGCTAAAATTGCACAAATAAAATACTAGATGGCGCGACAATATCATAATCAGAATATAATTGGAAATTTTCAACTTTCGGTTTTGGATCGTCGTAGATCGACGGCACGTCGACGGCCTTGAAGCTCGGCAAAATATGCACAGTTGCCAGATTCAAACAGACTTTAATTGACATCCCATTCTTTTTCTGGTGTATAATAATTTCTTTCTATTCTTCGTTTCTTGGCAGATACACTTATATTAATTATTCGTTTGGCTTTTAAAATTAGAATAAATTAATAAAAATAAAAAAATAAATTAGAAAACATATGCTCTCAAAATACATTTTTAATATACACTACTTTATTATGTTAACTAAGAAAATAACTTTAATTACCTTTAAAGGAAGGTACACATTTTATATCTGTTTTATATTTATGTTTTTCAATATATCTATTTAAATTTGTTCTTTAGGGGTATTTCCTCAACAGTCAGACGATGTATTGAGAAAGAAACTGGAAAGGAATATGCTGCTAAGATTATTGATTTAAGTAACGATGATGCTTCTTTGGAAGGCACCAAACAAGAAGTAAATATACTTAGAATTGTTGCTGGACATCCGTACATAAGTAAACATTTATGTGCTCAATGTTCACTGATACTATAAACTTATTTCTTTTGTAGTTGAATTACAAGATGTGTTCGAGTCATCTACATTTATATTCTTAGTATTTGAACTGTGCAAGCACGGTGAATTATTTGATTACCTCACATCAGTAGTTACTCTAAGTGAGAAGAAAACAAGGTATATTATGAAGCAAGTGTTTGAAGGTGTACAACATATACATTCACGAGGGGTAGTGCATAGGTTAATTGTAAAAAGTATGTTGAAAATGTGAAATTATATGGCATTTTCTAGGGACCTGAAGCCAGAAAATATTTTATTAGATGATAATCTAAATGTAAAAATTACAGATTTTGGTTTTGCAAAGAAGTTAGAGAAAGGAGATCTCTTACATGGTAAGCTAATTATTCAAGATTTACTGATGTCCCTTAATTGTTATTTTTTATAGATTTGTGTGGTACTCCTGGTTATTTGGCTCCAGAAACCCTCAAAACTAATATGTTTGATAATGCTCCAGGATATTCCTATGAAGTAGACATGTAGGTACAATACACTTAATATTTTTTATGTATCACAATGTGTTTTATGTTTGTTTTTGATATTTTTTCAGATGGGCATGTGGAGTTATCATGTATACTTTGTAAGTAGAGATAACTTTGTCATAGTTTTGTAATGTAGTTTTAATATACATTTATTTTCTCTCAAAGATTAGTAGGTTGTCCACCTTTTTGGCATAGAAAACAAATGGTAATGTTAAGGAATATCATGGAAGGAAAATATTCTTTTTCATCGCCAGAGTGGACTGATATTTCAGGTAAATTCATAAAATTATATATGTATTTAATTATCCCAAACACCTTTAACATTTTATAGTCTCTTAATTTCTGTTGCAATGTAAATTTTTACTATTTTATATTTTTAGAATCACCAAAAGATCTCATAAGAAAACTCCTAGTGGTTGACCCTAAACAAAGAATAAGCATTGAAGAAGCTTTAAATCATGAATTCTTCCAATCTGTGGTAAGTACTGTTTATATCAAATATTGATATTAGGTGATAAAATATCTTTGTCATTAGCCAAAATTGAGAAACAGTATTTATGAATATGTAGATAAAAAAGACATAATGCAGATAAACTAGAAAAAAGATAGAGATATTGTAAGGGTTCTTCTAAAACAACAAATAATAAAGCTATTTTGATATTTTTTGAAAAAGTGATGTACATATTTGCATAAGTTTTAGTGATAAATTTAACAAAACATCTGATCATATACAGGATCCAGCAATAGTGCGTCGGGCATCTGTAGCTCGTGGAATAAAAAAAATGAGAATTTTGTGTAAGTGCAAAAAGTGTACGAGGATGTATTTCAGGAAAATATTTTAGGTTCTATATGGTGGTTCAAGAAAGTGTGAGTGGATAGGGATGATTTTTTGAAAATGGAACAGCCTGTATATTATTGCATTTTTGACTTCCTTTCAGATCACGTTACATAATAGAGATGAGCAGAAAATCGCAAACTGCGATTTAATCGCAGCGATTGTAAATTCGCAATCGCAACCTGTGATTCCTTTCCATAGCAAACTGCGACTTGCGATTGAAACATATATCTGCCGATTTTGGATTTTTAGGCAACCAATATTACACCAGTTGCGATTTGCAATCGCAGTGGGCAAACCTTCAAACAATTTGAAATACCTTAAATACAAAAAATTGTTCATTTTTTAATCCTCCATCTACTGAAAAAATAATATACAGGGTATTCCATTAAAAAAAAGGGGAAAAAAATTTATATTTTAGAAAGTTTGGCTTAAAATTTTGAACATTCTGTATGATTTACGATTACCATATTTATAGCAAAGTTAAGTACAGACTACATAAATTTAATACCTAACATAGTTTTGATTTCAGAAGGTTTTTATGTTTTTAATATATTTTTTAAGAAAGGCTGAAAAATATATATTCTTTATTTAGTTATTAATATCTCTGAAAATATCGAAATATATTTACTTATTATGTATTACGGATTATGTAAAGTGATCTGAAAAGAAGCCAAAAATGCCATAATATACAGGGTGTTCCATTTAAAAAAAATCATCCCGATCCACTCACACTTTTTTGAGCCACCCTATAGAAGTTAAAATATTTTCGTGAAATACATCCTAGTACATACTTTTATGTTTACACTTAAACAAAGTCCCAAGTTTTTTATTCTAGGAGCTACACAGAACCCTGTAGAGTCTGTCCAGTGAAAGATTTTGACACATCATCTCCAACAGGGCATCATCTCTTCATATATTATTGGATATATTTTTTGACTATAAAATGGATTGGACATATTATTGACTATAAAATGAAATAATCAACATATTTACTATCGTTCATTTATTACATTGTAAATTATTATTAATTTGTTATTGTGAAGCTTCATACATAGGATATTTGTCCCTAAACTGTAAATAATTTGTGCTTTATATGTTTTTAACCCCCCTCAGCAGCTGTGGGATCAGAATTTATCAAGTTTGAAGCACTCCCTTCGCAAGAACTCACGTAGGATGACCATCATTTCCGAATTGGCGCTGGTAATTTTATTTTCAGATGGTTGTGATTACACCTTTGTTTTTCTTAATTCCCCTTTGCTGCAGGTTATAGAGTGACCTAACGCAACGTTTTTTAACGTTTTAACTATAAGTTTCTAAAATCTATGTGGTTTTATTGATATTAACGTTTTTTTAGATTTTTATTAGTCTACAAAAGTGAATAAAATATAAGCTTCAATTTGATTCCTATGACACTTGTTATGTAGAAAAAGAGTGAAGTGTATGCAACCAGCATTATGGCTGGATATTCAAAGTTCAATCAAAAATCAATCTTGGGACGCATTTTTGGAATTAGAAACGCATATTGTTCATTCTTTTCTTCATAAGCACATTAATGACAAATCTGATTTTACAACATCAAAAAAATATTTATAGTGTATTTTCTTATTAATTACAGTTTTTCTTTTTATACAGTTGCTTGTAGTCAACATTACTGTCATACAAGAACACATTGAGTACTTAATTTTAGAAAAATCATACTTTTTTATCAATTTAGAAAGGAAAAAATATTAAAAATATTACTGTCTAAAAATTAATAAAATACAAATTCTAGTTTGTCCTTGATTCACTTTTGTATTTTTTTTCAGCTGGTTTTGTCCTATTTATCTTTAAAAATGATACAGAGGGACTCTATCTTAAGCCCTCTCTACATATAAAGTTTTACAGTACGTTTTGCCTGTCAGTTAAATAGGAAGACGGTCTAATTATAACGTTTTATCTGTCAGTTAAAGATTAGTGTAAACGTGTGGAAGTTTTTCCTGAGATTTTATATCAGTTTTTGGTAAAGAGCATGGAGGAAGCACTGCTTTTATGAATTATAGCATTGTGTTGAGAGTTACATTAAATTATATTAAATTATTCTGGGTGCAGGACCACAGCGGGCATCCAAGGTAATCCAACGAAATAGCCGATGAGTTAGTACTGGGAATACCCAAATGTAGGGAAAAGCAGAATATCCACTGGAGAAACAGACAGGGGCACAGGCACAGCAAGGCCTTTATCCAAGGACCTAGCTCTAAAACCACAAAAGAACTGCTAATTCTTAGCAGGAATAAAGTGCGGATTACAACAGGCCTCTTGACAGGACACATGGCTGTCAAGTGTTACCTGAACAAGCTCAGAGTCTGCACTGCGATAAAGATCCTGAAACAGCGGAGCACATAATATGCCACTGCGAGGCCCTGGATCGCAAGCGACACCTTTTATTTGGTTTTTTTTTGTTTGTTTGTTTTTTTTTTATTTTTGGAAGCTAGGCTAGAACCGGAGGAACTCTGCTCCCATCCTATCTAGGACCTGCATAAGTTGGTGCCGGGTACAGGGATAGGAGAATGGGTGCAGATATAGAAAGGGGACAAAAAAATAGGCCTTACAGGTCGCAGTGTTTCCGGCAGAGGACAGCCCCTTGATATTGGAAAAAAATTGTGTTGAGTGAAGTTGAAAGGAAAAACCAAGGAATTGCATTGTTTTGGAAAACTTTAATAAGCGACTTAAAATTCTAATAGTTTTTTTAATCAAAAAGAATCAAGTAAAATACTGTGTAGACAAAAAAATCCACCTTTTACTTGAACTGATTTAAGACGGCGTACCGTTTCGCCTACACTAAAACAAATATATAAAAAATAATATGGATATATTAGACCATCTTTAATAAGCGACTTAAAATTCTAATAGTTTTTGAAGATGCTCTAATATAGGTATCCATATTATTTTTATATATTTTTTTAGTGTAGGCGAAACGGTACCCCGTCTTAAATCAGTTCAAGTAAAGGGTGGATTTTTTTGTCTACACAGTATTTTACTTGATTCTTTTTGATTGAACAGGTCAGATGTAAGGTAAAACGTTCTGTGTAGGGGCCTTTAAGTTAGTAAAGTCTTCCTCATTTACTGCTGTTATCATCATTGGCAAATCCTGTCCAGAGTGTTTAGGTATTGCGCAAATAAAGTTTCTAATAATATTTGTTGCTTCTAGTGTGTTATAGTATTTAGAATGATCATAGGATTTTAAAGTATTCTAGCGTCTTCTCATCTAACTAATGTGCTGGATTGATTTATTAATTTTTTATTCTTATTTTAAAATATATTGAATTTCCGACTAATACACTCAATTCAACGCGCTCATTTATTCATTTACATTTGTTTATTTTTATTTTAGAAACTTCAAACCAGCAAATTCAATGCTCGGAGGAAATTCAAACTCGCGATCCTCTTTGTTAGGGCTATGGTTAGGATACAAAGGTTAAGGTTTACTCCCGAACCTATGTCTGTCGATACTGCCAGAACCGATCCTTACAGAATTAAGTTACTAAGAAAGGTAAGTAAATGTATATCTAGATAAAATTCGATAACAAGTTTTTTTAACAAACAATTTGTAAAAGTTTGACGTCTTGTTTATCAAAGTATTACCATGAGACTACCTTCGTATGTCTTATTGAGAGAAAAGTATGGAATTAATTCATGTTTATTTGTTTCATTGTATCTCTAGTCATGCTGTATCATTACCTGCTACCACTTATTTTCTTTTACTTTCAGATTGTAGACGGCTGTGCTTTTCGTGTCTACGGTCACTGGGTTAAGAAAGGGGAGGGCCAAAACAGGGCCGCCCTCTTCGAGAACACGGCCAAAACGGACCTCAAACATATCTACCTGGCTAACCTGAGTCGATAGTACCGATTATTATCGATTGTTAGGTCAATTTTAGTTTAATTCCTAACTTATTTCCATTTAGTTTAGGATAATTCTTAGCGTGCTTTTCGAAAAGTCCCCAAAACTCATAATTTATTTTCGAGGGGATTGTCGTACCAGTAATAAAGAAAAGTACAACCCTTTTAACTTGATTTAGGTGCTCGAAGTTTATTGGCTCTTTAATGGAGGCTCGTAAGATTAAATTCATTGAATAAAAAGACTACAGTGTGAGAAACTTCGCGACGGTCCAATTTAACTTCCGGTTGATCGGTAGAGTTGATTTTTTATGCTGTTCCAACTGAGATCGGATAAAGTATACACCCAATAGCTGGTTTTTTTATTCTGAGTAACGTTAATAATAATTAAACTTTCCAATTGAAATAAAAATAATAAAATAATTATCACAAACTACTGGAATTATAATTAAAGCCCTGTATATATACAATGTCTATCCAGAATTATACACTTTGCATAGAATCAATTAGAAAATAAACAAGAAATAAAATAAAATAAACAGAGAAAAATGCAACTAAGTCAACAAAAAACCAGTTTTTAAAGGAAAAATTCATAGATAAAAGAAACAAGTTTAAATTTGAAAGTGCCCATAAGGACAATGTAAATACTATTTGGCGCTATTCTTACAATTGTCGTTCTCCAAAGCTCTTAATCATGGTATAAAGAAAACAAGGTATGATCGATAGCGGCTCCAATTTCGTTAAGTTTACGCATACCACCTGTGATGTCATACGCCATACAAAAAAAATATCCATATTGTTAAATTGCCACTAATAAAAAAAGAAATAAAATAGGGAAGAATTAGGACATAACCCCAAAAAGTATGTTTTGACATCGAACTTGACATTTGAAAAATTATTTTCATATTTTGACACAATCAAATTTCACAGATGACACAATCTGTTTGACAATTTGAAATTGTCGCGCAGAGCTTGCCGACCAATGGTGCCGTTTATCACCTGTGACGTAGTGACCAACCTGCGCAATATCATACCTTGTATTCTTTATATCATGGCTTTTAATAATTTCGGAGCGGTTCGGCTTTTTCCGGACTTATGTCGCCAAATATTTATACAAATTTATTATTTTTTTTAATTGTGTTGCGTATAAGAAACTTTATTTTAGGACATGTATAAAATACCTATGAAACATTGGAAACCGACGTTATGCCACGATCCAAGATGACTTTTGCAGTTCACAGTTCACACAGCTTTTTAAGTTTTTAATGCCACTTTTTCACAATTATCGCGTGTTTGAGTAAATAAAATTTAAATTAAACTCACAAGATAGCAATAATTACTTTGAGAATGGACTCTGTACACACTTTCCGGTACTTTTTCAATGAGGGCGGTTTAAATTTTGAAATATTTTATATTTTTTTTATGATTCTGACTTTGACAAGAGAAAATTATTTCTGTTCTTGTTTGGCGGTTGTTCGTACCAACCGCTATAGCAGCGCCCTACAACGTATGCGCTCCAAAACAATTATAAGTTTTGGCGGCAAGCTGAGCATTCCAATCTAAACTTGTTTCCGTTATCTATGGAAAAATTGAAACAAAACTGTCAAATTAGGTGTTCAAAATGGTTACCATGGCGGCCTTTCCGTCTTTAATGTATGAATATAAAATTGTAGTACCGTAAGATGAAAAAAACAGCGCCCAGTTGGCTTGGCAATTCCCGTATAATTTTACATGTAAAATGACAGCGATCTTCATTTCATAGCCATCGCTGACTCGATCATACGGTATTTGACTCGTTCCTAGTCTTTTTATTCAATAATTAAATATTGAATAAAGAATTATGATAAATCTAACTGATCAACAGGGTGTTTTTATATGTTACCAACAAAATTAAAATTATTTTTTATATACCTAACGCAAAGCAATTTCCGATGCACGTCATAGCCTTCGATTAACGTTAGTAGTCCGCAGTATTGCCAGACTAACCAAAATTTGTGACGATTTATTTTACCAAAATCGTACTACATCCTTTGAATTTATTTAAATGGTTTATAACGGGTTTTCACAAATTTCGGAAAAAATATTGGTATAGAATTAGTGAACAAAACTAAGCCAGACATAATATCAGTATAGTTTGCCCAACGAGACGATATATGGAAGTGACAGTTGTACCTGTCATTTTACTTTACAGGTCATCTGTCGAAATCTTCTCTGACTCTCGAACAGATTTTAGCATTGTGACAACATCAAACCAATCACTGTAAAGCCAGCAACTTTGAAGGAATAAAATTCAAATTGAAACTAACTTTTTAATTGAAAAAACTAACACAAAATAAATTTATAATATATTCATTAGCAATACAAAATCTCTGTGCAAAATATTTTTTTTGCGAAAAAAACATTTTTTGCACAGGTTCAATGCTGGTGACGTGCATTGAAATTTGTCTTGTGTTAAGTATACTCATATACGCGTTGCTTATGGAGTCTTCACAATACACGATTTAAATTTCTTCGTCTTTCTTTAGATATTGTAGTAATCTACTATGATAAATAGCTCTTTTTGTGATACATAGATTGTTTGCAAATAATATATCAAAGGTATACCATTTTACGACTATTATACATACCCTTTTAAACGACAATGCAATAAATTTTATGTTTTTAACGCAAATAAAGACATTATATAAAAAATAGCTCTTATTTTTTATTTAGTTTCTAAATTTCATACCATCATTAGATAAGTAAATAATAAATTATTCTATTCTTTAAACATGTATGTATATAAAAAATTAAATAATTAATACTACTACATAATCTGGTTTTTCTGATGCATTGATATTTTCATCGATTTAAATCCATACTAAAAGCTTAATTTTGTACGAAAATAAAGTTTTTTTCACAGTAAATAACTGATTGAAAATCACAAGAGGCAAGACTGGCCTTAAACCCTTACAATCATGGGTCCTAATACTTTATCCACATAGTCATACAGTCGCAGACAGTTGGCCTTGGAATTTACGTCAGCACTGGCACCCCACATTACGACACCGTCGATGTCATAGCTGGCCAGCACCGTCAACGTGGTGAACAGGTTTTGCTAGAAAGAACAAACGAACGTCAATGGATTTTTACATTTCTAGGTGATTAAGTCTGCAGTATTTCTTGGAAGGTAGGTGAGTCAATATTTTTTTTATTATTTATAATGAATTAATTATCAATTAATTATTTGTTTACATATTTCTGTGATAGTAAATTATAATTTAAAGGGACTACACACAACCAAACTTATATGGAATCACTATTTCTGACTAAATCTTTTGCAAGGAAAAAATTAGTATACAATTTTAAGAGAACGCTTTTTGTTCTAAATAAACACGATAATAAAGAATAAACGACTGCTGTGATTTATTTTCTTTTGAATTTTGTTTTCATTAGTAAAATTTAGATTGTCCGGTAATTTTCATTTGATCCAAAAAAATGCCTGTTGAATTAACCCTTACAATCATAGGTCCTAATACTTTATCCACATAGTCATACAGTCGCAGACCAGAGGGAAATAATTTTTGCTCACATTGAAGAAGGAATGCCCCAAAGAGACGTGCAGAGATAGTAGGCGTTACCCAGGGTGTTGTATCAAAAACATATGCAAGGTACTTGGAACTAGGAACTCTCAAGAACAGGCCCAGTCAAAGTCGTCACATAGTCACAACTGAACGACAAAACCGCTTTGTGTGCCAAATTGCTAGAAGAAATGCCAATGTTTCTCATCCATAACAATGTTTCTCATCCAAACAAAGACAACTTCTGGCAGCTACAGGTGTAAACGTTTCAGTTGAAACCATAAAACATAGGCTTCGTGCTAGAGGGTTGTACAGCAGAAGACAGTTACGGGTCCCACAGTTATCTCGGCAAAATAAATTTGACCGTCTAAATTGGTGCCTTTAATATCAAAACTGGACAATTGAGAATTGGCAAAATGTTCTTTTTTCGGATGAGACCAGAATTATTGGCCTAAGATCAGATGACTATCGAATTCGGGTTCTCAGAGATCTAGGAAGACGAGCGAGACTCCAGGCTGCCAAATCTGTACCAAAATGTAAAGGAGGAACTGTAATGTTCTGCGAAGATTATGCTGGGAGTAAAAACTCCATTATTACCACTTCAACAAACTTTAACGGGTCAGAGATATGTTGGTTTAGTGCTAGAACCAATCGTTAGGCTTTGAAGAGCTGCAATTGGGGATAATTTTAACTTCATACACGATAATGTACCACCCCATACCAGCAAAGTGGCTAGAGAATGTCTTCAAACGGAATGTGTCATAGTTTTGGACTGGCCTGCGTGTTCACCAGATCTAAACCCTATCGAATACTTGTGGGACAAGTATAAAACAAGGGTTAGAGCTCGTCGAAACAATCCAGGAAATCTCGCACAGCTTGTTGATGCAGCATTAGCAGAATTGGAAAATATACCCCAGACAACGTTGATAATTTAATAAGAAGCATGCCGGCGCGGATAGAAGCTTGCATAGGGGTTAGATGTGGCAACACGGGTTATCAAAAACAAAAAGAAAATTATCAATTTTCTTTTTGTTTTTGCTGTTTGACCATTACAAATTTAAATCTCATTTCGTTTCAGAAACCAAAAAAATACCATTGCGTTTATTTTACGTAACTTATTATTTTTTTATTGCTGTATATGTGGATTATTTTTCATTACAGGTCTTTGGTAAGGACTGAGTTTTATTAATAAACACAAAATGTTCATACGTCTGGAAAATTATGAAAAATAATAGATGATTTCATATAAGTTTGGTTGTGTTTATATCTGATGCAGTGGCGGTGAGTGGTTTAGTACTCTGGGGGTGTACATAGCGTTCAGAACCGAATAGTATAAAAACAGTATATTTACAGTTTATTGTATGATTCTTGGTATACTCACTTGCGACACATACTTCATGCTATCTTGGTATTTATACCAATAATAAACGTAGATATTTTTACGCGATTTCATACTATCCCGAATCCGTACCGCCTCATCTAACCGACCCTCTAGCCTTTGAACGGCCTGGTCCAAGGTCTGGCTTTCCTGCAGATATACAGACGGGTAGAAATTATCTGACATCTCGAACAACCATTTAGTATTGTCATTCTCCTGCTGGACCTGCTTCGAGCACTCTTTTTGCATACTGCCTGGTGAAAAATTGAAGCAGTAAGGGTAGGCGTAGTAGCCCCAGGTAGCATTTGGACGCAACTCTTTCGCAGTTCTTAGAGTCTCTTCCATGAAGACTTGCGATGATTCGTCGAAGCGTTTGGCTGCTTCTTTTTTGACCCAAGGCATTGGCCAGGTGGGGTGTTTCTGGCGTTCGATGTCCTCGGAAAGGTTCTTGTAGAGGGTGAGTTTGCCCCAGTTTTGACGGTAGATTGGTCTCCAGCTTTCGAAATCGATAATAGCGAGCCCTAAAACAAGTATCCTTAAGTGATTAGAAAATATGAAGAATAGTGTTCCATTAAGAATAGATCTCGGAAATGACTAGCCTGTGGAATGAAATATTTACAATTAAAGAGGCCATGAAAAATTGCTGGAAATAATTTTGAAGTTTTGGGAAATGGTCGTTAGGAGGGGTAACTTCTAGTGTAAAATAGATTTTTTTAAATATTTTCTTTAAATAAGAAGTACTGTAAATAATAATAGTGTCACAATCTTTAACAAATGTAGTATTTTTTTGTTTGAACAAGTTTGCCCTATCTTCTAAAATGAAGTTGTGGAGGAAGGTTAGACCTGATTTAGCTTAAATATTAACTCCGGACTGGGTCATCGGAATTCAACAAACTAGGGCTCGTTTAAAAGAGCGTTCCTTACTTTATACTATACCTTATAAATAATAATAATAAAAAAATTAAATGCAATATCATTTGTGCATTCCAAAAAGGATTCCGATTACCCAGTCCGGATTTATTAATATTTAAATAAAAACATATTTAAGCTTTCCCCATCACTTCATTTTAGCTGATAGGACAAAATTATTATGAATAAAAAAATCCGAAATTTGCTTAAGATTATTATGCCATCGTTTATAGTAACCTTTATACCGTATGATCGAAAAAAAACGGCGTCCAGTTGGTTTGGCAGTGACGATCGATGACAGTCCTCATATAATTTTACATATAAAATGATAGCGATCTTGATTTGATTTCATAGCCATCGCTGACGCCGTTTTTTTTTCGATCATATTGTATAAGCAAAATTTTGTAAAAATTCCATTTATTTATTTGGCATATCAGTTGCGCCCTCTATCGGCTGTTCTACAAACTTGAAGATACTTTCCAACAAATTCCCATGGCCCTTTTAGTCATAATACTTTCCTGGAGAGCAACTTCTTAGTGAAACACCCTGAGTGAACACAAGAATGGGAACGCATCCTTAAAATATAAACAATATTATTGACTGATAAAATAAAAACTAACACACAATATCCTTGACACCTTTTATTTAATATTGTCCATTGTGAATATATTTTTTTATAAAACAGCAGAATCCTTATAGTACTAAATTTGTTTATCAGCATTAAAAGGTAAATATATGCGCACATAATATATAATATATAGGTCGTTTCCTATCAGTTTAAAATTTGTTTTTTCTCTTATTAAACGGATAAAAATATCCATATACAAGGCGAGTCTTAAATAAGTGCAAATATTTTCAGGGCTGGTAGATCTCGACAAAAGAAATATATTTTTTCATTACCGTTTTTCAAATAACTCCAAAACAACCGAGTTATTTTATTTCAAAAATTTAAAAAATACGATTTTTTGGTTAAATTTTTAGAACCCCAGGATCTTTTCCGGCTTCCTTGTAAATTTAATCTACCACCTATGTTGCCATATTATCAAGATTTTATGTTTTTCAATTTAAAATTTAAAAAGAAAATCAAATTTCCAGAAAAAAAATCGCGAAATAACCTCATGGACGTGTTTCTGGGGTCGAAATAGACTACCCCTAAAATATTTACATTTATTTAAGACTCACTCTGTATGAATAATAATTACCTGAAAAATTTTTGGATGGTATTAATTGTTCTAAGATTTCTCTGAATATATCTAAATGTTCAGTTAGATTTCCTTCTTGTGGTACTCCACCATTCCTGTAAATACATAAATCGTAATAGTAAGTATAAAATAGTAAAGTAAAATACCATACGATTGAAAAAAAACGGCGTCAAAGACGGCTGGGAATGACAATCGATAATAATATTGACGAGGTCAAGGCCTAGATGTCATTTACTTGCCCTGTACTATTCATTATTTTTTAACGGCGCTCAGTCAGCCTTAAGAAAAAAAAATATATTTTTATATCGAGAAAAAGGCATTTTTAAATTGTATAGTTTCAAATTCGAGAAAAAATATTTTTTTGGAAATAGATTTGTGTGTCTGGAAATGTTCTATCCATTTTTAATCTTTCTATAATAGTGTTAATTTTTTATCAGTTTTATGTTAATTTTTAGTAAATGACGTCTAGAGATTGACCTCTCCAAATTTATCATCGTTTGTCATTTCCAAGCCTTCTTTGATGCCATTTTTTTCGATTATACTGTACAATGGGCTCTTTCACAAAAATAAAATACCCAATTCAAGGACAAAATCTGAAATAGAAGACTATTTTCAGTATATTTATCCAAAAAAAAATAGTTCCATGACAATGAATATTTTTTCTATAGGCCCTCAAAATTTTTTTTTCTATTGCCCTTTAATTTGAAATAATTTTAAAGTGCCAATTGATGACGTATGAAAAATACGCCCAATCACATTGCAGAACCGTGCTCGTGCGCCAGCCAACAACTGGCAACATTGCGATTTGCTTTGACCAACACCACCTCAACTCAAGGCCAATCAACATGATATGGGCAAGGCAAATATGCTCCGATTGCATACCAGAAATAATTAATTATCTCTAGTTTGTTGTGCTTCTGCAACACGTTTGTTTAGCTCTTAGTGTTCAGTGCATGGTGTGATCAGAAAATTGTGATAAAATAACAGTGTAGTAAAAATCCAAACCAGACATTCCACATAGGGAAGTTCAAACTTTTGTGCTTGTCGTACTCCTCTATTATTAATTATTTTAAGGTAAGAACTAGAAGTATTTATCAAGATATTACACCTAAATGAGTAAAAAGCCTTCGCCGCTAGTCTGCATAGTACTTTATACTGGTTACTTACAATAATCAATAGATAGGTATTAAAGGGTAAGCATTAACATTTTATTGTAGCATGTTTTTTACATGCTCTGTTCCAAATTGTTACGGGAATTATAGAGGGGGTCCCAAGGTTTCTGCTTTTATATTCCTCAAAAATGACGAGCTTCGTAAAAAATGGTTGACAGCTATTAAAAGAGATAATTTCACTCCTACTAGTAGTTCTCGGGTAAGAAGTGCATTAAATATGCCTCAAAAAGGCCAAAGGCCCCAAAGCCTCTGTTACCCTAGTCAGGATGTAGTGGCTACTGCTTACACTTACCTCACTATAAGTAAAATATTGGAAGAAGAATCAAGCATTTTACATCAAAAAAGTCACAGAAAGATATTGACAACATTGACATTTGAAAATATAAATGGCCTGGATGTAAGTCTTTTTTTAGGGCACAATTGCCCCTCACATACGTCAGAATTTATTATTAAATCCATCTTGTTCAGAATATCCAATATTTTATTGAAGAACTATGCAAGGGAATGACGTCTTTACCACAAAGACAATGCCCTATGTAAAGAGAAAGAGTAAAGAAAACTAAGCTAAGCGTAAGTTTTACTTACGAACCCCCAAAAAGGCATTTAGTTTTTTTTTCTATATAAAATCTTGAAACACATATTATATTTTTTATTTATCCTCACCTATTATAGTTTAAATTTATTCCCATTTGTGTAATGCTGCAAAACATAGAAAAAATATTCCATATTTTTTGACCCAAGCCAGTGTAGTTTATAATTCCAAGAGCATTTACCAAGGCTTTTACTAAGACAAGTAACTTCCTATACTGTCCATAATAGTATATATTTATCAAACGTTCAGAGTAAATTCTAAACTATGGTAGGTAAGTATTTGTAATTGAATATTTAGTTTATATTGCTATTTTCTGTCATATATTTCTGGTTATTTCTTTTTCCGATGATTTTGAACACCTTATATATGCTACCTCAAGTTTGAATATTTTAACACTACCTATTTTCTTAGAAAGCAGACCTTTTTATAAAAAGCAACTAACTGATATTTTCATAAAAGTAATAATACAAAAAAATCCATACTTATGTGGAGAACTTTAGACTCCCTGTATGTTAAAAAATTAGTGAAATATTACGTAATCTAACCCGACATTTGTGTGAAAAATGTCTATTTGGAAATAAAGCAGGTTTTAAAATACGCGCCAAATAAAGCACTTCTATCTCCGCCATATTGGAAAAGGTTGAATGGCCTTGTGTGGAGGTGGTGGTGGGTCAGCATGGTGGCCCGGCCGCGGCCGTTTTGCCGCTTTTCAACTTGCCAGGTGTGACGTATTAAAAATAAAGTGCGGATTTTTATTCTGGGGTTTTTTGTTTTTATTTATTTTCTTAAGAACCAGTGGCGGATACAGAGGGGGGGCCATGGAGCACGGGCCCCCCCTAAAATCTATAAATTGGGTTAAATATTAGCCTTATGGGTTAAAAATGGCACCCTAAACAGCATATTCTACATTACTTTTTATTTGGGCCCCCCCTAAAATAAAATTCTGTATCCGCCCCTGTTAAGAACGACTTCAAATTTTTCGAAAGTGAAATAGCAGAAAATTCTAGAATTAATTGCTTTATTCAATTATGCTAATTCCAAAATATAGTGAAAGAGCCCATTTTAATGACTATTTTAGAGAGTAAAGAGTTTATTACATCACCCTTAAACGATGACCTCACGCAAAAGTCGTCAGTCCTTGTGTTAAGGTGGTGTTGATTTATTTTTTTATGTGCTTATTTTGCTAATGTTTAACTCTGTATAATTGATTTTAGCTATCCCATTTTTTTTGACTGACAAAACATCTACCTTTACCTTAAAAATGTTCCATTTCCTGTCTCCAAAATTGCTGGAAAACTGCCTGGATCGTACATGATAACGATTTTGTCACCTCGAAATCGGGCGTTGTCATTTTGAATGATGTGATACTTGTCCAGGATAAGTGAGAAGTTTAGCCTGAACGGATCGCATTGGAACGAAGGAACGTTCCACAGTACTTTCAAAGGTTTCTTGGAGAGTTTAAATCCTTGCTCGCTACTAAATAATCAGTATTGTGAATATTTTTAAGAATCAGTATTGTAAATATTTTTTGAGTTGTCTGGTTAAATGTAGGTATTATTTCTACGCTATAATATCATCGCTGATGCACAGTTCACTACAATTTTGCATATTTGTCAGGATTTGATAGTATTTTTGGGAGAAGCCAGAAACCTAGATTTTAGAAAGTAGAATTAACCAATGTAATGGTGGTCTAGTTGCAGAAAAAATTAAGATATTCAATATTTTTAGAACCGGGTGTCCCACTAAGAATAGCTCTCGGCTGTATCTTGGAAAGTATTAGTCGTAGAGCTTGGGGAAAAAATATTTATAACTAATGAGACCATGAGAAATTGCTGGAAATTATTTTCAAGTTTGTAGGACGGCAGCTAGAGGGCGTAACTGCTATGGAAAATAACAAAATGGAATTTTTAAGAAATTTTGCCTAGATACGATGTACTATAAATAATAGCTTCATAATCTTCAGTAAATTTTGGATCTTTTTTGTTAGAACCATTTTCCCCTATCTGCTAAAATAAAGTGGTGGGGGGAGGTTAGATCTGTTTTTATTTAAATATTAATAACTCCGGACTGGATGATCGGAATTCAACAAGCGAGGGCTCGTTTAAAAGAGCGTTTCTTACTCCATATTGTACTATATAAACAATAATAATAAACGTTTGAACGTAGACGCTAGGAGGCGTTGTCTTACAATTTAACAAACATTGCGCGTTTTTTCAATAAAATTAAATATGATAGTATATGTAATTTTAGCTGATGGTAAAGAGTAATAAAAGCTTAACAAGTCAGCGAAAACCGCATCTTGATATCTTTTTTCAAACCAAAGTTATTAGCAAAATTATAATAAATACGAAAATATAAGCCCTTAATTATCGTATTTTTCAACACGATATCACTAGCCCTCTTGATTATGACCACTCTAATAAAAAATAATATAAACAAGATTATTTTATTTAAAATATCGACAATGAACCAAAAAACCATCATACTAGGTGTATTAATATCTAATAATTAAGATACCAATGACGGTGGACAAGAAACGACACCTCAGTGAATTCATGGTAGGCTTTGGAAAAAAGTTGCTTTTAAACGGATAGTTTAAACATCAAAATATTATTATATCAACATTTTGATAGTCTCAGCAGCCTTTTTTTATCTTTTGATTGCTTTTCTCTAAAAATGCCTTTCTTCAACAGAGAAAAAACGCTGCAAAGACTATCAAAATGTTGATCTAATAACACTTTGACGTTTATACTATTACGTCAAAAGCAATTTTTCTCCAAAGCCTCCCATGACTTCACTGAGGCGTCGTTTCTTATCAACTGTCATTGATATCTTAATTATTAAATATTAATAGATCTGGTGTTATGGTATTCTGGTATATTGTCGATTTTAAAATAATCTAATCATTTCTATCTTATTTTTTGTCAGAATGTTCATAATCAAGAGGGCTAGCAATACCGTGTTAGCAAAATAAGGTAATTAAGGGCTTATATTTTCGTATTTATTATAATTTTGCTAATAACTTTGGGTCGAAAAAAGATATCAAGATGCGGTTTTCGCTGACTTGTTAAGCTGTTAAAATTACGTATACTATCGCATTTAATGTTTTTGAAAAAACACGCAATTTTTGTTAAATTGTAAAACAACGCCCCCTAGCGTCTATGTTCAAAAGCTCATAATTATTGTTTATATGATACAATATAGAGTAGGAAACGCTCTTTTAAACGAGCCCTCGCTTGTTGGATTCCGATCATCCAGTCCGGAGTTATTAATATTTAAATAAAAACAGATCTAACCTCCCCCCACCACTTTATTTTGGTAGATAGGGAAAAATGGCTCTAACAAAAATTATTCAAAATTTACTGAAGATTATGAACCTATTACTTATAGTATACCTTATCTAGGCAAAATTGTGTAAAAACTCCATTTTCTTATTTTTTGTTGCAGTTGCGCCCCCTAACGGTCGTTCTACAAACTTAAACATAATTTCCAGCAATTTCTCTTAGCCTCTTTAGTTATAAATATTTTTTTCCGCAGGCCCTACGGCTAATACTTTCCGAGATACAGCCGAGAGCTATTCTTAGTGGGACACCCTGTACAATTAACGATAAGGTTCACTATAGGCTTGATGCATTTCAGTTGATTTTAAAAATTCCGACCGCAGCGCTCCATCGGCAGAAATCAGAAGTTTTCACTGTGTATTTCACGCAGTTCCGATGTAGATAGCATTGAAATAATATCAAAATCGTGCCTTTGTCATAATATTTAAGTAATTTAGTTTTTAATAGTGCATTGAGTTTACTGAAACTCTAAAACACTTGTAGGCCAGTAAGCAAGGGTTTTAGGGTCCGAATTCTGAACACTTGCACTGATTGACGTGAAATTTTAACAGTAAATAGAGATATATGTAAGAAACAAAAGTTACGTAGTAGCGATGTATGCTTTCACCCAGGGGGTGAGTGGCACGACCCCTTCTTAGGGGTGAAAAATAAATCACCCATTTTAGTTGCAATAATCAATAAAGGGGTGAATTCTAAGCAAAAAATGTTCTATAACATTTTTTCAAAAAATTAATATTTTCCGAGTGATTTAGGATTGAAAATGTTGATTTTTCATCTAAAAACTGCATATTTTTCTGCCATTTTTTATAAATAACTCGAAAACCTTGCGTTTTATCGTAAAACTTATATTAAGCAAAAATGAAGCTTTTGCAATAACTGAACGGTTTATTATTTGCTGATTATCGTAGGTATAATAGTAGCCGAGTTATCACTCTGTAAAGGTGACTTTATTTTTTTTCGGAAACTAAATTGCAACCTTTTACCGTAAAATAATGGCGAAAGAACACATTTTTCGAAGAAAATTAATATGACCGTTTTTAAAGTGCTTGAAAAGACCTTTTAAATGCTTCCTTAAAAAAAGTTTGTAGCTCAAAAACTCGCGGAGTTATGATAAAAATACCTCAGACACCTCATTATTTCGGAAAAAATTATCATTTTATTATCAAAATATTTTATCATAACTCCACGAGTTTTTGAGCTACGAACTTGAAAAAAACTTAAAAAAAAGACATTTAAAAGGTCTTTTCAAGCACTTTAAAAATGGTCATATTAATTTTCTTCGAAAGATGTGTCCTTTGGCCATTATTTTACGGTAAAAGTTGCAATTTAGTTTTTGAAAAATAAAATATCAGGTTTACAGAGTGATAATTCGGCTACTACTACACCTACGGTAGTCAGCAAAGAATGAATCGATTCGTTATTCGAAAAGCTTCATTTTTGCTTTATATGAGTTTTGCGATAAAATGCAAGATTTTCGAGTTATTTATAAAAAATGGCAGAAAAATATGCAGTTTTTAGATGAAAAATCAACATTTTCAATCCTAAATAACTCGTAAAAAATTAATTTTGTGAAAAAATGTTATAGAAAATTTTTTGCTTAGAATTCATCCCTTTATTGATTTTTGTAATTAAAACGGGTGATTTATTTTTCCCCCCGAGAAGGGGTGGGGGTGATTTATTTTTCCCCTCAAGGTGAAAGCACACATCGCTACTATGTAACTTTTGTTTCTTACATATTCTCTATTCACTGTTAAAATTACACGACAATCGGTGCGGGTGTTAAGAATTCGGAGGTAATACCCTATTTTTATCCTCGCTTACGGGCCTATTGGTACGGTTTCGGATAGTAAAAATTAAGTGAAAAAGAACCCGAAATGGGCGCCGCTTTGTGTTGTGACAATTTTAAATGTTAATAGAATAATTATGGAAAAAATGTTAACACATAAAGGAGGGCGTAATTACGTGGTTGTTGGGTGCAATAACATTCAATAACTCAACTTTCCCGGATATTCAACTCTCTCGAAACATTTTATAGCTTCACGACTTCTCACACCGGTTTGGTCAAAAGCAAAAATGGATATACCACACACTTTGTTGTTAAATCTTTAAATAAATGATAATAACCTAAGTCATTTCAATTATTTCATTCATAAAATCTGTAACAATATATTTTAATAAATAAATTAATACTTACAACGTTATTTTATAGTATACGAGTATGTGAATCATTTCAGTGCATATACGTAAAATTATTTGGTAACTTTGGTAACTTAACGTAAAATGGTTTGGTTTGAGTCATTTTTAAGTAAGCCTTTGTTTATTTTGCTGTATAATGATTAAAAAAAAATAATGATAATTTTCGTTGCTCAATTTTTTTGTAGCTTACTGGGAGTACCGATTTATGCAATTAAAATGACTAAGAGATTAATTTGTGTTATGAAAATGTGTTTTGTAAGTGTCGAAAATATGAGGAATAATTTAGAAGATCATTTTTTTAACTTACTTTCAGAAAATTTTAAATAAATGAAATAAAATTTGTATAGTATTGACCCACCTGCAAAAAGAAACTGCTGCCAAGAACACAATTTTAAGCAAATTCACAACACACCCCATCCTGTCAAACCGCGTCAACGACTTAGCGCACATAATTAGTATCTTCATCAATTGCTTACCTTAATACATATTTATACGCGAAAAGCAGTATTATTATCTACTGTTTGTAATTTGTGTTACCGGCTTGAACAGTTCATTTTTATGGCTTCTTCATTTAAATGAAATTTACTTACTTAATAAAACAAGAACCATTGCGCCAAATGAATTCAGGATTTCTGTTTTTTTCCGTATTGTCAGGAGGAGAAAGTGAGTAAGATATAGTTAAAAAAATTAGTTTTTAACATCGGACAATATATTAAATATATCGTTAAGAAATAATCTATACTAATATATAAAAATCCTTAAGTGACTGACATACTGATTAATCACGATCCTGATCAAACCACTTAACATAAGAAGCTCAATTTTGGCATACAGGTTGATTCTAGGGTGTAGAGGTTCGATAAGAAGGGATTTTTCAAAATTCCAGTTCCAAGGGGGTGAAACCACCCCTCAAATTTTATAATATTTTTTATTTAAAAAACGGCCAAATTTCCGAAAAAAAGCTTAAACACGTATATTTTATTTTGTTTTTTTACATATTGTAAGATTTTTTAAAAATGTATACAGGGTGTTTCGAAAAATGAATATGGCCATTGAGTAATCACGATTCTGCTTAAACTGCTTGACGTTTAAAGCTGATTTTTGGCAAACGGATTGACTGTGGGGTGTAGAGGTTCGATAAGGAGGGGTTTCTGGAATCTCAAATTCCAAGAGGGTGAAAACCGAGGTGAAAAAACCCTCAAATATTACGATATTTGTTATTTAAAAAACGGTTAGTCTTTCGGGAAAACCCTTGGACATGCATAATTTATTTTGTATTTTAAATATTTTGAATTTTTTTAAAAAATCATACAGGGTGTTCAATCAAGTTGGGTAATTGATTAACCACGATTCTGCTTAAACTGCTTGCCGTAAAAATCTTATTTTTGGCAAATGGATTTTTTGAAAGAATTCCAACGAGATGAAACTACCCGTCAAATATTACCAAGTTATATAATAATATCGCCATATTATTTTTTCTTATGCTGACATAAATGTGAGAAAATTTTATCCAGTTTGTATGTTAATGGAAATTCTTGCTTTGCTTTGTCATCACCATTACAAATGATTAATTCGACGCGAACGAAATCGCGGGTACACGCTAGTATATTAATAATATATTGGTAATATATTTCAAATTTTGACAAATTAGTTTTATCCATTTATTAAACTTCTTTGTCAGTTGTTATACAGGCCATTCCAGAAATACAGTGCCAACAGGGGGTGAATCCTTATAAAAAAAAAAACGGACAAGTGCGAATCGGGTAAAAATTAAGGTTGCCAAGCGTCACAAAAATGGTATCGATGTATCTCTCATCTATGTGAGCTAGGGGCTGAAACTCGAAATGTAGATGGGGCCCTTCGAGCCCTATTTTTCACGATATTTTGACAACGTTTCCTGCACTACGAAACTCCATCATCAATGAATCAAATCAAAAAATCGTCCGATTTAAATTAAATTTGGTACGTCGATAGATTGGACCAAGACCAACTTGACCGTGTACGACATGTGTCGCTGTGACAGTTAGTTGTGACGTAATAAACGTCAAAAGTTTATGTCGTCCGATTGCGACCAAATTTGGAGAGTATGCAATGTGAGCGCAGGTGCACACGGTTCCATCCTGCAAAGTTGGATACGACGTTTCGTTTACATCTTCATCAGGGTGGGACTAACGATTCGACATTGAAGAAAATATGTATAATGTGTCGATTTTGGCATAAATGGGGACGGGATACAGGATAACGCCCTCGACGTTTCGAACCCATGGGTCGATTGGAACCAAACTCGGCACGTGGATAGAGGTACCCGAATGGAGTCCTCAGACGGACAGACAGACAGATGAAAGTAAGAAGTTTCACTTAAAATATGCGCACATAGTGCATACCCATTTTTTTTTTCATTTTTCGTCATAGATCGAAAACTATACAGTATAAAAATAGTTAAAAATCTATTTAAGTTTGTGCCAATGAAACCTTTTCATACGATATCCTACATGACAAGGTTAACTAATTCAAAATTTGGACCACTGTTCCTTGTATAAACATCCTGGTTTTTTGTGATTTAACTAAAAATATAGGCCTTTCAGATTTTTCTCCTCTGTACCGAATTAGTGAAAGTTTTAAAAAAATCTACAAAAAAATTTGGTCGCCCATACAATAATTATGACCGCGTATACCGTTGATTAACCTCGATGATTGATTACGTACTTTAAATGTAGACTAAACTATATTTTTTATGATTTAATTGCAAATGTATAGTTTTCAGATTTTTTCCTATACCTACATGTAGTACTAGATGGTATTACTTGCCAAATTTCATAGTTCTAGGTCAACGGAAAATACTCTATAAATTTTGATTTGAGAGTGTCGAAATATACGTTTTTTGTGGCTTAAACTGCCTTATCTTACTAGTTTGTTTTTTACAGCTTCAAAGAACTGTAGACCTGTTTATATGGTTTTAATTTCAACTCCGTATCTCCACTTGTTCCGGAGGTAAAGGGTCTTGACAGACGGACGGACACATAACAAAGTGATCCTATAAGGATTCCACTTTTTTCTTTTGAGGTACGGAACTCTAAAAATATTGAAATAAGTTCCTATAAACATGAGCCGGAAAGAGATATAGGTAACATCCTGTATCTTTATCTATTTTCAAAGAAAATAGTTTTTTTGTAATTATCTAAAATTTTCTAGTATTAATGACCTAATTTAGGTTCAATTAAATGGAAATTAATGATTTCAGTGGCGTCTCAAGGGACACCGTATCGAAAATAATTTAGAAAAAAATGTACGCCACTGACGTCTCTCGTAATTTTTATATTTCTTTAGATAAGGCAACTAAAAATACAACTTTTTTTCGCTGGTTTTATATGCATATCTAGAATTGATTTCGAGAAAAAAAAAACAATGCATTGCAAAACCCCATTAAAAAAAACTTATAATGGTACTAGCGTGTGCCCGTCGAATTAATCATTTGTAATGGTGATGATAAAGCAAAGCAAGAATTTCCATTAACATACAAACTGGATAAAATTTTCTCACATTTATGTCAGCATAAGAAAAAATAATATGACGATATTATTATATAACTTGGTAATATTTGAGGGGTAGTTTCATCTCGTTGGAATTATAAAATAAGCTTTTTACGGCAAGCAGTTTAAGCAGAATCGTGGTTAATCAATTACCCAACTTTTTGGAACACCCTGTATGATTTTTTAAAAAATTTTAAAATATGTAAAATACAAAATAAATTATGCGTGTCCAAGCGTTTTCCCGAAAGACTAACCGTTTAAATAACAAATATCGTAATATTTGAGGGTTTTTTCACCTCGGTTTTCACCCTCTTGGAATTTGAGATTCGAGAAACCCCTCCTTATCGAACCTCTACACCCCACAGTCAATCCGTTTGCCAAAAATCGGCTTTAAACGTCAAGCAGTTTAAGCAGAATCGTGATTACTCAATGGTCATATTTTATGAAACACCGTGTATAAATTTATAATAAATCTTAAAACATGTAAAACAACAAAATAAAATAAACGTGTTTAAGAGTTTTTCCAAAAAACTCACCGGTTTTTAAATAAAAAATATTCTAATATTTGAGGGGTGGTTTCACCCTCTTAGAATTCGAGTTTCAAAAAATCCCTTCTTATCAAACCTTTACACCATAAAGTCAATCCGTTTTCCAAAAATCAGCTTTTTACGTCAAGCGCTTTAAGCAGTAAAAAGAAAACACCCTGTATACATTTTTAAAAAATCTTAAAATATGTAATAAAACAAAATAAAATATACGTGTTTAAGCGTTTTTTTGGAAACTTGACCGTTTTTTAAATAAAAAATATTGTAAAATTTGAGGGGTGGTTTCACCTCCTTGGAACTGGAATTTCGAAAAATCCCTTCTTATCGAACCTCTACACCCTAGAATCAACCTGTATGCCAAAACTGAGCTTCTTACGTTGAGTGGTTTGATCAGGATCGTGATTAATCAGTATGTCAGTCACTTAAGGATTTTATATATTACCAAATATTACCTAGTATAGATTTCAGACAATTTCAAAAAACTTTTTTTAGCTTTTAATATCGTGTATCTTTAAAACTATGCATTTCCCGACCCATGTTTATAGGGACCTTTTTTCATATATTTTGATGGGAAATCACCCCGTGAAATTTGAACGTGCGTTTATTGAACACCCTGTATACAGGGTGAATCTTATATAAGTGCAATTATTTTCCGTGCTGGTAGATGTCGATAAAAGAAACATATTTTCTCTTTACCATTTTTCAAATAAGTCCAAAATAAACGTTATTTTGCTTTGAAAATTTCCAAAAAATGTCTTTTGCTTAAATTTTGAGAGCCACTAGATTCACAGAGAAGAATTTTAAAAAATGCGAAAAATACCTCATTATCGTGTTTCTGTGATCGAAAGATTCACCCTGTATAGCTTGCCCTTATTTTTGACTTTAAATAAGCTAAAAAGAAGAAAAATTGGCGTTTCTGTTTAAAAAATCGACTTGTAGTTTTGTTAACGTGTGGTAATAATATTTGTAATTTTTTTTATGAGAATCCTGTATCATATTTGAGAAATTTTTGTTAAAATTTAAATATAGTAAAACCAAAAGTAAAACATTTTTTAAAAGACAAGCAACATAAATTTATGAAAAAAGTATCTGATCTGCAAATGTAATTTTTCACATAAAATTGTAATTATTCGAAAAACTGTTAAACTTAAGCATATGACATTATAAACAAAATGTGTTTATTTTTCATTATTTCATTTATGTAAAATTCATAAATCATAAAATATAGAGGGTGTTTCATTTAAAATAAAGAATTAATTTGTATCTATATTAGACTCTACTAGATAACACATTTAATATTAAGTACTTACAGCTTGTGGTGCCATTCGTAAAGCAGTACGCACAAGATACACTTGTGGAACAGCCCCATATCCCTGGAAATGTCAACCGCTGGGGGCGGCACACAACAACTGATTCGTATTTAGCGGGTTTGTTAACATTTCGCTAATAAATAAACACAAACATGCCGTCAAATCCAACCGCAATTGAATACGTCCGTCATTTTTTAAAGCCCCATCTACACGTAACGTTTTACCTCTTCGGTCAAATCTTAATAATAAGCAATTTATAAAAATCTAATATAGACTTTTAAAAAGCAAAGATAGCAGCCAGATGTAACCTGAATATACAGGGTGGTCCGAACTGTATTCCGGAAACTTTGGCAGCATATTCTGCAGTTAATCACTAAAAAAGTTCGTATAAATGTATGTCCTAAATTGTTTAGTTTCAGAGATACAGGGTGTAAAAGTTTCATTTTTATTTCGATTTTTTACAAATAATTTCTGAGGTAGGTAACGTCAATATTTGGATGAAAATTGGTGTCTGGGAGTTTTTTAACATGAGAAATTTGATTTTGATGTCAATACGACTCTTATTAGTAGGGGGGCCACCTACATGTGTTTTAACCAAATACGTTTAAATAAAATATACGACGGCCTCCCCATAAGAGCAATGAGAGGATTTACGTCCCAGTATTGAAGGAGGACAGAAAATCGAGTCGAATGTTCAAGACATAGGTTCATCCTTGTTTAGTCAAACCTCCTACAAACCAAGGATAGACTTATGTAGGAAATGCATTGAAATTCTATAGCCATCCTTCAATATCGGGACAGGAATTTAAGCGGTACCCTCCGTATACTTTATTTCAAACGTATTTGGTTTTAACTGTTTTGAAGAGTAATAACTTTTCGTCCGTACTTGTACAAAACTACTGAGTGAAAAAATATACATCTCCATGACTTTTTACGTAAAAAATGTCTCTTAGTAAAAAATGCTACGAGCACCCGTTCTCAAGATATTTAGAATAGAAATAGTCAATACATGTCATTATTGACAAAAAATAAACACGTCGAATAGAATGAATTATTTGACTGAAATAATAAATTTGGGAAATTTTTATTTTTTTAAATTAACCATAAACTTTTCTGCGAAAAAATGATGATAAAACAGTTTGTGTTGAACTTTTGGCACAAAAACATTTCAAATTTATGATTTCAGTCTAACAACTATTTAGCCAACATGTTTAATTTATGTCAATGATGACATGTATTGATAATTTCGATTCCAAATATCTCGAGAACCATTATTCGTAGCGATTTTTACTAAGAGACCTTTTTTACGTAAAAAACGTTCTAAATGTATATTTTTTACTCAGTAGTTTTATACAGGTACGGACGAAAAGTTATTACTCTTCAAACCAGTTAAAAAATATAGAATATGCTGCCGAAGTTTCCGGAATTCAGTTCGGACCACCCTGTATAGTCCAAGAAAATAGGCCTTCAAATATCTAAAAACGAATTGTGAAAGATTTTTTTTTAAATTTACCCTCGAGCAGGGATGAAATAAATAAATAAAATTATTTGTTCGAAATTTCGGAGAAATGGTAAGAATTAGAAAAAAAGCTCAAATAAAAGTTGTAGAGCGTCCAATTTGACATAAAAATGGTATCTATATTTTTTTGCTCAAATCAAAATTAATCGAGATAGGGTGGATAGAAGCTAGGGGACAGCTTTTATTGAAACATTTTTTTTTTCAAAGTACTTACCGTTTCTCTGAAATTTGAAGAAAAGTTTATTTATATTTTTCACCCCTTCTCGGGGTGAATTTAAAAAAATCTTCATTAAAATTTATTATTTTCCAAACAAATTGAATAAAAATGTTAAATATTTGAATTTTTCAGTAACTTATAATTTTTTTTAAGTCTTCCCGTAGTTTCTAGCCACCCTACCTCGGTTAATTTTGATCTGAGCAAACAAAAAAACAAAAAAAGTATAGAGATCATTTCTATGTATAATTTAACGCCCCACAACTTTTATTTGAACTTTTTTGTTCTAGTGCTTACCGTTTCTCCAAAATTTCGAAAAAATAATTTTATTTATTTATTTCTCCCCTTCTCGGGGGATGAACTGAGATAAATGTTTTAGAGAAAGATATTGTTTTAAAATTACCACACCATCAAATTTGCAAAGCGGGACTTCTAGGCCTATGAAGATGTTTGCTCTTTCCGAGGGGTGTCTCCAAAGATATAAATATCTTTGGGTGTCTCACTAGGGTAAAAAATGTACATACGCACTGCCAAAATATCATTTTGCTGCCAAGCAATTGCCAATGACTGCGAAGAAGACGGCCTATGTCTGCCATATAATTTTTTTTCCATAACAAGGGGCTGTCCTCTGCCGGAAACACTGGGACCTGTGAGGCCTATTGTGTTTGTCCCCCTTCTATATCTGCACCCATTCTCCTATCTCTGTGCCCTGCACTAGCTTATGCAGGTCCTTGATAGGATGGGAGCATATTTCCTCCGGTTCTAGCCTAGCTTTCCCAAATAAAAAGTGTCGCTTGCGATCCAGAGCCTCGCAATGACATATTATGTGCTCCGCTGTTTCAGGATCTTTATCGCAGAGTCTGCAGCAAAGACTTCCTTGATACAGGTTGAGCTTGTTCAGGTAACACTTGACAGCCATGTGTCCTGTCAAGAGGCCTGTTGTAATCCGCACTTTATTCCTGCTAAGCATTAGCAGTTCTTTTGCGGTTTTAGTGCTAGGTCCTTGGATAAAAACCTTGCTGTGCCTGTGCCTCTGTCTGTTTCTCCAATGGACATTGTGCTTTTCCCTGATCCAGAGTTTTAGTGCACTACGGGCCATACATTTGGGTATTCCCAGTACTGGCTCCGGACCAAGATAGGATGCCAATGATCCTTGCCTAGCTAGCTCATCGGCTTTTTCGTTGCCTTGGATGCTGCTGTGGCCCGGCACCCAGAATAATTTAATTCTGTTCCTTCGTGTTCACTCGAGTCTCGACGATACCTTTGGGTTCATAAGCGCCCCAAGTGCCGCCTGACTGTCTGAGCATATATTGATGAGCTTACCTGAATAAGCTTTTCTATTGTTTTCTCTCGAACATTGTAGAATGGCGAAGATTTCTGTCTGGAATACGGTTGAGTGTTTACCCAAGGAAAAGGATAAGCTTGTCGTTGGTCTTTCCCCAAATACTCCAGCTCCTGTTCCTTCAGCGGTCTTTGATCCGTCTGTATACCAGGTTAGTCCATCCTGAAGGAATGTTACATCTGTCATATAATTTTAGTCGAGTGCTGTAAGACTGATGCCAGCGACTGCCAAGAAAATGTTCATGTAATTCCAACAGTAAGACATCGGCTCTTTCAATAGATTTTTGAAAAATTTAGTTAGAAATATTCTAACCAACTGCCGCTAGTTCTCTTTTAACTGATACGCAAAACGTAAGATAAAACGTTAGGTGTAGACGGGCCTTTAGATGGCGCAGAATCGGGCCTTTGTTGCTTCTAAACACCGTGGTAATTGGATATTTTTCCGATGATTGGGATTTGGTTGGTGTTTATGTCGTATTTTATTGCTGTTTGCGGCGAGATCGCTTTCATTAAGATATGATTTCATTGCGCGTCCTAATTGCCCATCAATCGATATTTAATTACCTTGACCGTGTAAATTATACTGTGTGATCTCTGGGATTTGAGTTTAGGCATTTGCTAGATTTTAATTTTATTAAATTTATTGGTAAAGGTTGCCTAACACATACAGTTTTTACTCTAGGCAAAACTGTGCCGTCGAGGTCTTGAAGATTGTGTTTAAATGCGGATGACCTATATACAGGGTGGTCCGAACTGTATTCCGGAAACTTCGGCAGCATATTCTGCAGATAAAAATAAATAAAAAAGTTCGTATAAATTATGTCCTAAAATGCTTAGTTTCGGAGATACAGGGTGTAGAAGATTCATTTTTAACCTCAATATTTGGATGAAAATTGGTGTCTGGGAGTTTTTGACATGAGAAATTTGATTTTGATGTCAATATGACTCCTACTAGTAGAGGCGCCACCTACATATTTTTAACAAGTTTGAAGGGTAATAACTTTTCGGGCGTACCTGTATAAAACAACTGAGTAAAAAATATACATTTACGACGTTTTTTACGTGAAAAAGGTCTCTTGGTAAAAATCGCTACGAGTAATAGTTTTCGAGATATTTGAAGTCGAAATCATCAATACATGTCATCATTGACATAAATTAAACTTGTTGACTAAATAGTTATTAGACTGAAATCATAAATTTGAAATGTTTTGTGCCAAAAGTTCAACAGCAACTGTTTTGTCATCATTTTTTACAGAAAAAATTATGATTAATGTAAAAAAATAAAAATTTCCCAAATTTATTATTTCAGTGAAATAACTATCTACTCAACGTGTTTATTTTTCGTCAATAATGACATGTATTGTCTATTTCCATTTTAAATATCTTAAGAACGATTGCTCGTAGCGATTTTTACAAAGAGATATTTTTTACGTAAAAAGTCACAGAGATGTATATTTTTTCGCTCGGTAGTTTTATACAGGTACGGACAAAAAGTTATTACGCTTCAAAATAGTTAAAACACATGTAGGTGGCGCCCTCTACCAGTAGGTGTCATATTGACATCAAAATCAAATTTCTCATGTCAAAAACTCCCAGACACCAATTTTCATCCAAATATTGAGGTTACTTCTGAAATTATTTAGAAAAAATAGAAATAAAATGAATCTCTACACCCTGTATCTCTGAAAGTAAACATTTAGGACATACATTTATACGAACTTTTTACTTATTTTTATCTGCAGAATATGCTGCCGAAGTGTCCGGAATACAGTTCGGACCCCCTGTATAGACTAAGATTATGTCAGTTCGTCATGGCGTTAATTGTATACGTCATCAGCTGATAGTGGCGTATCTAGAGACTGAGTCTGGGAGGGGTAGTGGCAAGTAAAGGTTTACGTTAAGTAAATTTACGCTGAAAGTTATTGTCACTGCGGAAAAAATAACTTAGGTTTGAAAAAAAATAACTGGATTTTCTATTTTGATTGGTGTTGTTAATTTTATTTTATACCACGTTTTAACTCATTTTAATTTCTTCCTGGGA